CGGTCGACAGGTTGTTCGGTTGAGGCTTCTTCAATCTCTCGCTTGCTCGTGGACCTTGTACGATGTTGATCCCTCGTCCAAACCGACCGTCGTCCTTTGTGTTTCCTTGTAAGTCGTTCCTTGACGTTTCGTTGTCTTATAGTGTCCGTCCGACAGTCCAAAAGTGACTCCTCCTGACGGTCGGTTGCGTTCAGGTCGGGTCCGTGTTCCGCGTCTCGAACATCCTTTGGAGCTTCGATATTTCGAACTTGTTGCGTCACTGCAACTACCTTGTCCTTGGGGATGTACACCTTGTATCCCTTCGTCTCAGCACCCTTTCCAATGATGATACCTGCTTTACCACGTTCTCCGAGTGATTTATTCTTGGCGTCGACGTGCACCGTGCATGTCGATCCGAAGGCGACAATGTCTTTAAGCGCAGGCACCTTGTTCGTAAGAATCTCCATTGGAGACGCTCCTCGTAGGTTGGCCTTGGTCCTACTTCGATTTAGTATGAATGACGCGTACTCGGCAGCGTCACCCCAGAATGTCTTCGGTAAGTTTGAAGCGAATAGCATGCTTCGAACCATATTCACAATGGTTCGATGCATCCGCTCAGCCCTGCCATTACTGGCTTGATTTCGAGCCTCGCTCACTTGACGGGACACACCAGTTGTCGAGTAAAATCCATCCAGGGTCTTGTATTCACCTTCCCCGTCCGTGCGCAGTACGTGAATCTTGCAGTTGAACTCGCGCTCGAAGCTCACCAAGAAGTGCTTGAACTTGAGGGCGGCAGCATCCTTGGTCTTGGACAAAAAAATGCGACAGTAATTTGATCTGTGGTCGATGAAGTTGACCAAATAGCGATTACCCAAGCGATCACGCGGGGTCATCGGACCTTTGAGGTCGGAACATATCACTCCTCCTATCACGTCGATAGGGGAATTGGCTCCTGTATCCTTCCTTGACTGTGTCACTTTGCTCTGTTTTCCTTGGGCACAAGCCATGCACTTCGCACGTTTCGTATCCGTCAGCCTTATGCCCGAGCCTGGGTCTTTGGCCATCTTGACAATAGTTTCAACACATAGGTGCCCCGGTCGGCGATGAAATTGCATCATGGTACCACACTGAACATCCGAGTCGAATTCATATTCAGGTGAATTGAGAACAGCCATCATCCCCTCTTGTGGCGTGTCAATAATGCCCATCCTGTGGTGTTGCACTGCAATGACCAGTACGTTGTTACACCGCTCCACATCCATGACTGGGACACCACCAATTCCTGAGGTCAACACACGCTTCCCTCTTCGGTACTCCAGTACGCAACCCTTAGCCTCAAGCTTTCCATAGGAGAGTATGTTCCTCTCGAGGTTTTCCGCGTATTGCACGTCGAGGAGCGTCACCGAATTCATCACTCCGAGTGCGAGGACTTTAATCTCAACAGTTCCTTGATGGGTGATTCGCAGCACACTTCCATCGGAGGCTGCGGTCAGACATTCCTTTTGGCAAGGAGTAGGGCTGATGAGGAGGCTGAGATCGTTAAATAAATGACGGCTAGATCCAGTGTCGAGTATCCACTGACTCTCATGTATACCCGTGCTGCCGTCAATTGTGAAAACGAAGTTCGCTCTCGGGTCCTTTTTCTTCCTTTGCTGAGGACACATCGCCCTGATATGTCCTACTTCTCCGCACAGGTAACATGACCGATTGTCGCTTCGCTCTTGGCTCTTGTGTTTGATCTTCGCCTTCGCATCTTTTGGAGCCTCCACGACGTTGACGACGTCCCGTCCGAGGTTCTTGGCGTGCGTGTCCACCTCAGTAGACTGCGCAAATTGCGCCGATTTCTCAGCTTGACGCAGATGGTCCACTCGATGAATGTTTAATTTGGACAACATTGTCGTGCGCATCTGCGGATCGGCATAGTGTACAATGTTGTCCAGCACCAAGCTGTCTGCACCGCCGCAGGCATCGCTGACAGCTGTGAGGTACAAAAAATGGTCTGTCCAGCTTCTGTGCGATGCCTTGGGTGCCGTGAAGAGCTTCATGCTTTGCGCCGGCGATATCTTGGTGCTAAAGGTTTGCAACAATCGTTGCATTGCATGCTCCAAGGTTTGGATTTCGTACCACCAGGTCTCGACCTGCCGACGGTAGAACGTCTGGGCCTTGCCTCCCAGGTGTTGTCCAAGGACATCAACCTTGATGTCCTCTGGCCATCCAAAGCCGCACGCGCGCTCCGCGAAATCGATTTGGCGGACAAATTCTTTGCCCCATTCAAGGAACCCGCTACCCAGACCATGGTAGAGTTCCTTGCCGTCAAAAGGTTAAATCGCGAGATTCAGTTGACGCGCGTCCGGCATCCCTGCAGCTTGCTGTCCAGGGTGAACATACATCCCGTTCGGCATACCCACACCAGGGGTCAAGCCCGCAGGTATCTCTTGCCTAGGTTGTGCTGGTCCTGGTGTCGGACCCATGTTGACGTCCGCCACGACCGGGTTCACTGGTCGTTCGTCACCATATCCTTGCATTTGATGTCTTGCCCCGAAATATGTCGCTGGCGACACATACGGGGACCTTTTGGGAGGAGGGGTGTGCTCCAAAGCCTGGAGGGTCATTCCCGCTCCTACTCCCAGGGCCGAGCCAAAAACTAACTCTGGTGACCCCTGCCGGTCCTTGCCACCTTGCTTGTTTTGAAAGACCTCCATCCGATTCATCCGTTCGAATAGGTCCCCGAGCATGGCTAGCAGTTGGTCCATCGCCCCTCTGGGCGCTGCCGACTTTTCTTCCAGGTGGCCGTCGGTAGCCGTGTTGGAAACACCGACGATCACAGTAGGTGCAGCTTGATCGGCCGCACCCGCAGGGCGCTTAGTTGGGCTCATAACCTGTTAGAACGCAGTAATGCACTTGGTGCAAAGTAGGTGGAAGTAAAAGTGAAATATATTGAGTGTTTAGCATGACCTTCCTCAACACTACGATATGTATGACCAGACAAAACGAAACTGCAACTTGACCATAACAAGTCACATATGACGTCCGTCTCTCGCAGTCCCATGTGTCAACCTGTCACATGGCGACCGTCTCTCGTGGTCCCATATGTCACCCTGTCACATGGCGACCGTCTCTCGTGGTCCCATATGTCACCCTGTCACATGGCGACCAGCCAATCAGGTGACACCGTACCATGGTATAGTACTTGAACCTAGAAACCTGTCAAAGACGATAGTTTCTAACAAAGCGTGTATGAAGCGTCATCCAAAGGACGTGCAGACATGACCCTAGAAAATGATACTCGCTTTTAATACTCGCTTTTGCTCGCTTTTACTACAACACCACGAAAATTTGGCGCACCCGTTGTCCCTTCCGATTTAGCCGATATGCAAAGCTTTTTGACAGGCTCATTCATCCACTAGTATGACGAATTCGTGGTGCTAGACGTCGTCGTCAAGTATTGTCGCTTATCACAGCAATTTTATTGGCGTCTCCGTTATGTACGGTCGGGTCAGAATTGGGCGTGGCGGCAGCATTATCTCTTCGGCATCCCCCCCAATTCGTTATGAATATGACTGGGTCACTGTGAGTCGGGGTTGCGTCGTGGGAGCTCGCAGGAATTCACTAGAGGAGAGAGACGGAAGGGTGCAGTTACGCCAGGGCTCCGATGGGCTGCATTGGTTGTTTCAAGACGGCCTACCCGAGCTCCACACGGCGTCGGACGGTGACAGCCAGCGATGGGCTACGCACATCCGGCAGCACGGCGTGGTCTTTTATGCTCACCCAAGTCACCACCACTTTGCGTGGGGAGTACCCGAAACGGTTCCTAATGGAGCTCTCCGTCAGGCTATTTTGCACCGGGCTTTCTCGCTGCACAAACACCGACTAACTCGGCCTTTACTACCCTTATTGGAGCGGCTAGATGCAGTCTATCGAGAGGATTCGTGGCTAAGGGCGGCGGCGCATCAGCAACCATCCCAACTTTGGAAACATGATAACGGACTCTCCGACTATCAAGTTTGGACGGCGTATCGAGTCGCCACCAAGCAGCTAAATTTTCATCATGCCGGGCGGGCTGCCGACCCCAGCTGCCGGGCCCTGCCTACGTGTCACGGGGTGCCCGAAACGTCGAGGCACGTCTTTTGGGATTGTCAGAAGGCGCGGGCGTGCTGGGCTAAGTTCATCAGCCATTGGATCGGCGCTTCTGTGTCGAGTGCGGTAGTCCATAGTTGTCTCAGCAACTGTGCGAATCGACAGGCTCCGGCGATCCCGGCGTTTCAGCGGTCTCGGTTGCTCGAGCGGTTTCACGATGATGCCGCAGCGGGGGAAAAGGTGTGGCGACGGATTTGGTTTTTAATGTGTTCCGTTTGCATTACGCATTTATGGAGCGAGCGCAACGATGCCGTGTTCAGAGGCGTGCAGTCTACGACGGCTCAAAGTGTCGTCCATTTCTGGACAACCGGCGTCCGTCAATTAACGGCCTTGGCTATGCGTGAGCATAGAGGGGCGTCGACAGTTCTTCGAGGGGCTCGTTTACATGCCTCCCTTGAACTTTTTACTCTTGAGGCTAGCGGAGTTTCGCTACCACTAGAGAGGTGCCTTGATCCACCGCCGCGACCGGCGCTGTATTCTAGGCTTAGAAGATTTCAGACTTCTAGCGCGTAACCATCATGTGCAATAGACAGTCATGAATCTCTCTCTCTCTAAGTATTGTCGCTTATCTTCAATTTCTATGCACCTGTGAGCCTTTTGAGAGTACCCATTTGTTCTTCTAGCACCTCTTGCTTTCTTACTTATTCCATGCCTAATCTAGTATTCTGGAGTATTTATCCTAAGAAATAGCGAGCTCTTTGAGGCTAATCGCTTAAAATAGCTCAAATGATCCAAGCATTTGTGTCTGCCCAATCCACAATCGAACGCCCTGTGCGCTACATCGACACGGCACTTCAGCTTCGTCGCACACAAAACGACTGCTGAACTGTACACTACGAAGTGTACCTACTTACCATTGCAAGTCTCCGGCTGTACGTGATAGCATGTCGGAGGAAGTAATGGACGAACCCCCGCGGATGTCCGCCAACCCATCGGAGGATGGCGAAGGATCACAAAGTGCCGACGACGCCGCGACGACCGACGATCTGCGGTCTCCAGCAGCCGGCGGGTCCGCTCCGTCTTCAACTCGGGCAGCAAATTCCCAGGACCACACCTTTCTTCGGGCGAGTGGTCCGCTTATGTCTGAAAGCGCCGCGATGTCTTCTTCGGAGTTGCTGGGGCCACTGGGTGTCGAGCGAGACGGATTGGGCATCAAGGGGTATCTCTACATGCGCGATGAAGGCGTGACGTACCACCGCATGAAACGCTTTTATTGTCGCTGTGTTGGTGTCAACTTCTCGCGGTTTGCGTCGCGCGACACAGCTTCTGCAATGATTGCAGCAGTTTTTAGCGCAGAGGTGCAGAAGGTGGAGGAATGGGACGGTAAAGGTCTTTGGCACACGTATCACCACTCGTTCAAGTTGTCATTTACGTCAGGTGTTGTGTTTAATATGGATGCTGACTCGGATGAAGACAAGTACCAATGGATTGAGTACATCGAGACAGCATTGCAAGGAACAGAGGCTGCAGTTGAGAAGTGGACAGCGCATGCATCAGTGTGTCCCACCATTATGGAACTCACTCCAGGCGGTCTCACGTTTACTGAGAAGAAATGTAATCCCCCCAAGTTTAAGAATGAGGTGACGTGCTGCCACCCAGGCTGCCACGTACGATTCGATACCACCGGAAAAAGACAGCACCACTGCCGAAATTGTGGTGGGTCTGTATGCTCAGACCATAGCTCTCGGTTTGCCATGCTTCGACATTTGAGCACGAGTTATCCTGTGCGAGTTTGCATGGGCTGCTATCGTGTACAACGATTTGTGCTGTGGCTTGGAATGTTGTTGCAACGTTTGTACATCGCTCAAACGGAGGAAGAAGGCGTGGAGAAACCTGTTCTGTCCGATGCCGATGAGGAGGAAGTAGAGGCACTGATTGCAATATTTGAAGACGACGCCTTTGGAATATCCGACGTGATTCAGGTTCTTCACTTGCATCGTCATGGGTGCGATGAAGCGTATGCTTACGCAGTGAATAAGCTGCTGATGCTTTCAGCGTCCAACTTGTCGGACTTCGAGTTCTTCCTCCCTCAAATCTTTCACATGTGGCTAACAGTGGACTGGACGAATAATAACATCAAAGCTGCGCTACTGTTTCGAGTTTTGTGCTACGCAACCCAACTGCACATCCGCCTCGCAACATCTATCTACTGGCTAACCCGCGCAGCAGTTGACGATAGCTGCGGCTGGGGCTTTGGTCAGTCGGAGCTGTATGTGCCCGATTTCCTGTACCACAAAATGAGTAGATGCAAGCTATTGATGATGAACGTGGAGCTGCAGATTTCTCGTGGTGACTGGACATTTGAGGTGGACAAGGATTTGCCGGCCTCTACAGCGCAAACTGCCATCATCAAGTGCCTTTTCGATCGTATGTTGATCCTTGTTCACTTGGATTCAAAGCCTACTCTTTCTTTAGGTGCAATTTGTGGTGCCATGAGCAGCTGTTCCATCCCTCGGGGTTTCTTGCTCCCTAGTGATGCACTTCCAGAAGACTGCTGTCAAGATGGTGGGGAGGAGCGTCGGATATTCACCACACAGATCGAGTTCATTACGGAGCTTTGTGCGATGACAGAAAGGTTGAGGTTCTTCCCCCCCAAATGAGCGGAAAAAGGCTTTAAGGAAAGAGTTAGAAAAACTTGAACTGCCGGAGGAAGCCTTTTGGCCATTCGGCTCTTGTGACGACCCGCTGCAGCGACTGCTTACGATTGCAAAAGACGAAGGAACGATATTTACGACGAGAGCCCGCGCACCGACGCTAATTTTCTTTGAGGTAGCGAGACTCACAACGGCTTTTGATAAGAGTGCGTGGTTATACCGCGGTCGATCTCTCCTCTTTGGCGGCCAAATTGACAAGCCATGTGATTCTGAGAGTAGTCCAAACATCGGAGGGATTAAAGCCCTGCCTCCTACTTCTGAAGCCAGAGTTGTTAAGAACGCTATCGAGATGGCCACGAGCAGCGATATAGCGCAAGTAATTGCAATGGATACGTTTTCCGGGGAAGGGAATGAGCAAGACAATGACGATTTTACAGACGAGCAGAAGCGTTCAGGTTATGATGACTTGGCGAGTAGCGCTGGTGAGGAGAACGACCTGCAAGAGCTAAGGGACCGTATTCCGTCTGATCCACCGCCATCGCTGGCCTCCCTGGCTTCTGACAAGAAGAAGCGAAATTGCCGTGACCGACCGGGCTCGCTGATGAACTCAACATCAAAATCTTTGGATTCCATTATTGCTTCTTGCGCCGAATCAATCAAGAGTCGACGGAAGCGCTCAATCAGCGAAGGCTCTGGTTTCAACGGCAGTGAAAAACCACACTGGAAGAAGCAGGGCTCCATGCCAAACGACATCGAAAACTTCACTGATGAGCAATTGATCTCGATTGCTCAGAATATGGTGACTGGTTTGTTAGAAAGCAACCCGTCAGGGAACGGCACTTTTACGGGCAAGCAAGTCGTGGAATGGATGACAGAGAACGAAATCGTGTCGAACGCAGCGCATGCACTCTGGCTAGGAAGTGAACTGCTGCGCAGTGGCGCCCTCGAGACGAAATCGAATTTACCTGGCTCCGCCGAGAGCTTCGAGGCCAACAATGAGACACTGTATCACTTGAAAGAGCAATTTGGCACTCAATCGTCAGAGCACAGTCAAACCTTGATGTCTGATGCTCTTCCAATATCGCCACAAGGTACTAAAAAATCGACCAAAGAGTGTAACGACTCTATGTTTCGCACGTCTTCGCGCATCATGTTGAAACCTCAAGAGGTGAAGGTGGATGTTGCCGACTTAGCTGATGCAGTCGGTGCAAATTTGATCGGCACAACCGCCGAAAGCGCTCCGAATTCCATTTCAAAAGCTTCGAAGCCACTGAAGGACTATCTTACGAGCCCGTTTGACGAAAGGCCTTCCAATGCTTTGAACGTCCATGATGGCTCATTTATTTTGAAGTTCGAGCCTGATGTAGCAATGGCAGCAATGGACTCAGTGGAGCAAACGTTGCAGCAATTTGTGTTGTTACAAGGAGTCGAAAGTGCCACCCAACTAAGTGAAGACCTTCATGTGCTGAGGGAGCAGCTAAGTATCGTGTACGAGTATGTCATCGCTAAACGGAAACGTCTTCACGTTGCTGTAGAGTCAGCATTTGGGGAAAGCTTCGAAGAAAAGAAGGAGCGTTTGCGCGATACATCATCACATGTCGCGGCATTGCAGCCAAAGGATTGGGATTGCGTTGCGCTGATTGTCAAATCTAACGATGACCTGCGGCAAGAGGTTCTGTGCCAGCAGATCATCCGTCAGCTGCAAGATATCTTCCAGAGTGCGGACCTGCCTCTGCGCTTGCTGCCGTACGAGATCGTTGCAACTTCAGCGTCTACAGGCATGATTGAGTACGTCAAGAATGCAGTATCGCTTGATGCGTTGAAGAAGAGGGGCAACTACACAAACCTGGCAGACCACTTCGTGAAAACGTATGGTCAGGCGGATTCACCGGCGTACAAAACAGCAATGACAAATTTCGTGCGCAGCATGGCTGCTTATTCCTTGGCATGCTACTTTTTGCAGATTAAAGACCGGCACAATGGCAACATCATGATTGACAGTGATGGCCACGTCATTCACATCGACTTCGGTTTCATACTCGGTATTGCTCCTGGGGGCCGGTTTAGTCTGGAGACAGCTCCTTTCAAACTGACGAGCGAAATGGTCGACGCAATGGGTGGCACTCAGTCGGACTACTTCAAGGCCTACGTCATCTTTCTCATTCAAGGATTTTTGGCTCTTCAGGTAATGTCGGTCTTGTTTGTAGTGCGTAGTTTCCGATGCTAATCAATCTCCTACACTGTTGTCTGATTTGTGCAGCAACACGCCGATACCATTCTAATGATGATCGCGATCATGGCGCAGGAGTCGTCTTGTCCGTGCTTCTTATCTCAAAATCCGCGAGACATCTTGAGCGCCACAAAACTCCTCTTCCGGCTCGACTACGACCAAAGTCAAGTCATCAAGCACGTGATCAGTCTTGTCCGCCGCAGCCACAGCAGCTACCGTACTCGCCAGTACGATGTTTTCCAGCGAATGACAAATGGCATTTTGCCCTGAACGGCGACTAGGCGGGTTTGCGTTCTATTGGATCAATCCGGACATGGGTGAAAGAAACGAAACAAAGTAGACGTACGAACAGTTCCGTCATCTGCACTGAATCTTAGCTTGATGGTTCTGGTCCACTATTCCAGCTCAACTTTACGAGGGCGGCCGCGCGGACGGTCAGCGGCACTGCTAGTGTCGGCCTTCGCTTTTTTGAAAGGGTTCTTGGACGACTTTTTCAGCTTCGCCACAGGCATGCTGCCGAGTGAAAACCGATTCCGCGAAAGTGACCGCAACAGCACGCTATTCGACTCTTGCGCTACAATCACAATCAAGTTAATGACATAGTTAGACGCTGCGTTTATGCAGGACAACGATTCGGCATACGTTTTTGGGTAAGTTCCGACGAAGGCATGTCTTGCGACTGCTCAGTATCTTGAGAGTGGTGTGCCGAAGGATCGCCACGAGTTCTGTCGACCTGCTTCGATTTCTCACCATTCTCGGAAGCAATCAACCCATCTTCTTTATCTGCAAGACACCCCATCTGCATGTGAGATCATCATATATTGCAATCACAGCATAACAGCAAATTCTAACCATTCTTCGTCAAGTCAGCCAGAAGGCTCTGCGAGTAATTTAGCCCCTCCTCGTCCGACGAAGAAAACGAGTCACTCTCCACAAAAGTAGCCTTTTCTGGAGAATGCTCAACGCGCTTTCCAACGATAGACGAATGGTCAGAGTCTACGGAGGATTCGCTCGCTGTACTATCCACAGACTTCACAGACTGCTTTAAACCTTGCTCGGGTTCAACAGAGCCGTTACGGGCACCACTAGCTTCTTTTGTGGCGGCAATCCGCTTCGATGTCTCCGCCATGATTTTCTTGAAACCCTTTAGTTCGCCAATCTCCTTCAGCTTTCCGGTAGCCTTCTTCTTGGAGACGGGAGTCTCTACCGCTTCAGTCTCCTCACCGGAAACAACCTCATGATTGGAAGATTGAGAGCCATGGCTCGATTCTGTTTCAGGCGTTGCAACCTTTACCGCCGGCATCACTTTTTCCGTTGTCTTCTTTACGGCAGATGTTTTCAGCGACTCACCCTTCTTCGCACGCTTGGCCACTGGCTTCTCCACGTCATCCGACTTCGCGCCAGCTTTCTTTTTGGATTTTTGACCAATTTTTGTGGTCTCGCTTGCTGTCGACGAGTCGTCGTTAATCTTTGGTTGTATCTCGACGGTGACAGTTGCTTTTTTCTTCGGTACAGCTCGAATCTTGTCATTGGCAGCTGCCGCCTTTTTATTCGTCGACCTTTCTGCCGTACCCGTCTCGTCGTCAACCAGCTTTGACGCTGTCTTTGACGATTCAGCCAGCTTTACCGATTTCTTCTTCTTTAGAGGAGGCTCTTCGGCAGGCTCTTGGTTCACTTCCACTGACGAGGCTTCAGTTTCACTGGCCTTCCGCGCACGCTGTTTTTTCGACGGTCCGTCCTGAGAATCTGCATCAGACGTTTGAAGCGCACTCGTTACCGAAGGAGAACCTGCCGTTGACGCAGATTGCTTTGCTGCAAGCATCTTTTTTAACAGCGCATTCTCGCTTTTTTTCGGAACAGCCTTTTTCGCAGCCTTCTTCACAGGGCTTTTTTCGTTCGTCTCAGCAACGATCTTCGTCGGCTTTTTTTCTTCGTTTCCTTCACGTCATTCGTCTCCTTCTTGCCAGTCTTCTTTGACTCACTCTTTTGCTCCGTGCCAGCTTTTGTCGACTTATACTTCAAATCAGCCTTCTCACTACTCTGCTTCGCCACCACCTTTTTTCTACCACCAGTGCTTTCATCAGCAACGTGCTTCTTCGCGTCGGCCGTCTCCTTTGTGGCGGCTTTCGTGACACTGCCAGAAACATTCTTTTCCTTGACCCGTGATTCAATCCCAGCAGAAGTCTTGCTGGGTGCATGTCGCTCCTTCTCCACAATCTTCTCGTTGCGGCCTGGCACTTTCTCCTTTGCGCTGTCGTTACTCTGGGTTCCAATTGCAGCTTGGCCCCCTTCCACTGCTTCCACAATCTTCTCCGGAGCCTGCGGTTTCTGCGCGCCCTGAGCCTCACTTTTCTCCTCTTCCTCGCGAGCTACGATTGCGGTTGGCTGGGCCACAAGTGCCTTCTTCGGCTTCAATTTCGCGTGGGTCACAATGTAAATCTGCTCCATGTTGTGAAAGACGTTTCCGGCCTGCACGTTCTTCGCCAGATCCACAAATCTATGGGACGCCTCCTGATGCACTGCAGTATGTGCCCGACGGTCTAACACCAGCTCAGGCGACACGCACTTCTGGAGGCGCAGGCCGCGGCTGAGCGGGGGCAGGTGCGGAAAGACGCGCGCGTACTCGTCTACGATAAAGTCCTCCAAATCCCCGACAGTCTGCAAGCGTGACGTCTGCACTAGCATCACGCGGCTTTCTTCTGGAAGCATGGCCAGCAGCACCATTTCACCCCCCGTCGCTGTCATCTCCGTTGTTGTCATAGGGCCAGAGACCTTCACGACTTGTGGCCTGCTTGCTGTATCGAATGAAAGAGTGACACCATGCGAATGGCTCCGAGCCACTCGAACCTAAACGGGTAATCGCTGAAACCGCGCAGCAGTTGCTTTACCGGTTTACACGGTATTCGTGAGAGCAATTTGACGTTGCAAAATGGCCGCAAAAGCCAGCAATTATCGCTAGACACTTGTTGGTCGTGGGATGACGAGCAAAGTGACGTAGGGCTCCATGCATTTCCGTCGTTATCCTACCAGCCCTTGCATTCACCCCTGTTTCGTTTATATACCTTTCTTTTGGCAACAGCTATCATCTCGAAACTCTACTTCTCCTTTGTGTAACTTTACAGCTCCTACCAACAACTCATGTCAAATGCTGCTGCGTGTGCTAGCTGTAACCGGTCTCCTTAAGCTTTACTGATGATGTTGCGTGGCACAAACGCGGATAACAGCGTAGGAAGAAGAAGCAAAAGGTCACGCACACAGGACTCATGGAAGTATGTACAGCTGAATGGTAGACTCAATCATTGATATTTGTTGTATGTAACAATAGAGAGAGAGAACGATACGGTATCATGATAACCCTCTTTATGTAATTCAGTCAAAATTATACTTAGGTATGGTCTAGCCATCCAAAAATTGTTGTTAAAGATACGTTTAATCCTAAGCCGTAAAGGTTTCTACGACTGCACATTGATATGTAGATGATTATTCAAAATGGGCTCGTCAAAGTCTGAGCGATTCGGTTACAATGAGCAAGCATGGTCGGTCGATAATAGCTGAACAGCAAGTTTACACCACGTAACTACCGTCTCCTCCATTTGCTTTCTTTCTAAGACATCGATGGTCAAGCTACATTGTAGTGCTGTAACTTTTGTTATACAAATTGCTATGAGCGACAATCACGATGTCACATACATGCATACATACAACTTCTTGCTTATCACTGATTTCGCGAGTCAGATTTCGATATAAGTTTTGCTGGCGTGTCATAGCCTGTATCAGACAATGAGCAGTGTGTAGTCAAATACCGCCGCATACAACTTTCACATGTAATACTCTCGAAAGTTACAGCTCAAAGTCATTTATACATTGACATCGTAGTTCGTGTCAATATTATGTGACAGGTGACCCCGTTGTACCAATCCTACTTCAACGCGCAGTCGTAAATGAGGGAAGCTTTGATCATTTCTTTTTGCTGTAATTAGAAGACCTTAATACGTCAGGGTGCGATTTAAGTTCCGTTGACTTTTCATGATTGTGTATGCAACAACAGGACGTTATTTCAGGGCCCATGATCGTTTTCGTGGTAGCCAATCGACACAGGGTATAGGATTGCAAAGTATAGCTTGCCAAGCGTCTATCTCTAGAACGTAAAAACATTTAGAGCCTACAGCATGCGCGAATCCCTGTTCAACAGCGCTTTGCTGGTGATGTCAAGTGCATCTTTTTATTTTAGGCACACGACATCTGTCATCGACACCGGTCTGACAGCGATAACACATCTTTTGCGAATATAGTAATGCACGCTCTTCGAAGCGAATGGCGGCTCAGATGCTCTCTTACTCGTACTAGTGGTCATTCGGGCATACCACTCTTCTGTCTGGTCAAAACTCCAACATGACTTAGCGTGCTCATTTACCGCAGCGAGGAATTTACAATGATCAAGTTTGGACGTAGTGCTTACGCTGCATTCAGCTTCTCTGGATACAGCGTCCCGTCGAGAAGGCTTTCTCAGATAATCAACTGCATCAGCCTGCAGTCTTCAATCGGTAATTACGTTCGACTTTCTCGATCTCTCTCTGTGTCGCTAACATATACTTCGTAGTAAGTGTTGGGTCCTGGCCAGCACGGTTAAGCACGTCAAGACTATATCGAAGCTAGCCCCTGGTATTACTACGTGTTCTACCATATAAAGCCTTCTTGTACATAAGATAGAGATGGATTGAATGCTGCGTGCGCTGCGAGGATCAAGTGGAAGGTCGTAGAGATCTTCAAAAGCAGTTCAGTGTTTTATCGTACATCAAGTAGATGGCAGGCATCACGTACGACAATGATTCTCCCAGTCCTAATATGAAGCTTTTTGTGATGAGGGCTCATTTCCATTGAATTCAGGATGTTTCGTTATCGTCTGATTTCAACCAGTCCAGAATCTCGTCTTTGGCCAGCTCTGGCTGAGCGCTCTCTCCTCTTCGATGTGGTAAAGAATCTCCGATGTCGACATTGGATTCCGATCACGCAAAGAGATGAGTTTAGCTAGCCGCTCCTGCACAAGCTCAGTCTCATCCTTCGGTGCATGAAAGGCATCTTTATCTCTCTCCTACTCCATAGCCTATAAGATGACAGGAGGTTTATCAAATATCTTGGTGTAGTTATTGCAAGTAACGGTGATAATGAGCGAGTTCCGGTTCAGGCAACTATCGACCAGTGCGTGGTAGCAGCTTGACCGGACTTTGCAACGTTGTTGATCTCCCACGCTTGCCACAATTGATCGCATTCTGCAGATGACAGCGGTCGGTGCACCGCCTCACAATCGAGATGATGTTGACATCCATAGGCTGGATGTTGGCACTTGTATTTGGTGAAGGAGCTGAGCTTTGCATTGCAAAACTTCAGCTCGTGTGTCACGTGCGCTTTTCTGACTTCAAAATGTGCGTCTTCTGAACCCATAGCTTTTCGAACGGAACACTGCAGTTTAATACAGGCCGCGGCGTCTCGAATAAATGCATCAATAGATTGTGAGCGATAGTGTGTTGGACACTGTCTGCTGCCCTCGACAGCTTTTTTGACCGCAGTAGCTCGACGTCTGCGACTTCGACGTGATGAGAAATTTCAGAAGTAACAGAGCTGGAACTGGAGTCATGCGCGACAGAAGCAAAAATAGAGGTGTATCGTTGCCTGCATATCTGACACGATACATGGAAAGAGCGAGACCGTTGTCGTCGCACTCTTCAGATCTGGCGTCGACTGCGACTTGCGCATGATTGATCCAGTGCCGGATGAAGAGCCTCCGGTGCGACAAATGCATGCGCCAAGCCGCTCATCAGCAAGCCACTTGTGGCGCCAGTCGATGGCACTTGGCGTACGCAGGCTGTGCGGTTGTTTGTTAGGTACAGTGACGACTTCCATAGCCCCCTTATCTGCTCGAAAGCTCCTTTGGTGACCTCGCTTGTACTTCACGACAGAGACCACTGCGTAACAAAAGTTAGTCGTTGACCGTCGCCGCAGGCGAAAACTGCTCGGGATCGGCATTGTCTAGCAGTGTCTATGGAAGATCGCGGTCACAGAATTGCCCAGTCCATTCGTGCATTGGGTTTGCTCAAATCATCATCTCCAATAAATCATGTTGCTAAGCCATGCGCTACCAACGTACCACACCGTCCGCCTACTTAAGTTCCGTCGTAGCTGTAGTTGCCATACCGCAAACGCGTGGCGGGCACGACTGCTGGATATTGTCCCTTTCAACCTACTTTGTAGCTCGTCCGAACGCTTGTGCTACACGCTTGACCGCTCGGTCGAGAAGGTCAACCACAAATTTTGTGCATCTTCCTCCATCAGATTCACGAAACGACGGGTGGCGCATGCGCAGTCGAAACCAGACAGTCATCAAGTCTCGTTTCGGGTCGCTTGAGGCATTAGTCGAAGAGATCTTTGCGATCCCCAAGAGCCCAGCTTCAATCGATGGTGCCGTCAGACCGCGTGCGCATCAGCGGCGATGATTGGCGGTGCCTTCTGGTGGCACAATCGTGGGTCGCCTGGCACCACAGCAAGGGCACCTTGTCTTCATACATGCACTACCCGCATACGCACGTGCATGCGCGATGCGTTTGCAGTTGTTCTCCAAGGGGCTGCGACTTTGTCGTTGCAGTTGCGCCGCACCAAGCCAGCAGCTGTTTATTCTGCAGATCGCAAAACCCTGGAGCGACTGGTTTGGCAGACTATAGAGACGCCTGCGTCAAGATACGCTCCTACGACTCTGACCAGATTCATGGCTGCATGCCGAGCTGACTCGTGTCTGCCTCGAATCAAGCCCGACAAATCCACAAGTCCGTTTATCGCACGTGAGATATACGCAGCGGCTGTTGAGCCTTTCAACATTTCGATCGCACTTGCGCCCTACGGCAAAGGCTAAGGTCGCGTTTGTGACGAGAACGACATCACTTTAAACGCCTGAGACAAGAGGGGATGGACAATAATCATCCGTTGATTACGACGATACTGGCCACAACATGCACGGAACTGGTCATCATCGAAAAAGAATGTGTGGGTTCACATAACTCAAACAATGGTCGATGATGCGGCACTTGGGATCTATTTTCTCCGAAACTTAATTCGCTGGCGCTGATTGGTTGGCTCGCCGTCGATTCACCGCGCCCACCAACGTGTCACGCGTGCCAGCGGGTCCTACATGCAAGCGCTGACGACAAAGCACTGTATCTCTCTCTCTCTTGTACTCGTCTATTCCGATAACCGCGCAGACCTTATAACCCACAAACCCCATCGCGCTCGCTTTTCAACGGTCATTCCACCTCTCTCGTGTGCGTGTGCATCGTATGGGCATATTGTGTGCACATTGTGTGCACATTGCGTACAAGAAGAGCAAGTGCGAACAATTGTCCATAAAAAGCTCGGGCTCGCTCTCCTGACCATCATCACTGTGCGGCGACCTTGCCCGCGACACACGGACGAAAGTCGGCGCCAGGCAGCCATAGTTCAATCCGCCGCCCCGTTTCCACCACCGCCAGCTACCCAGGAGAGAAAAAACGAGCCATGACAACTTCGGAAAAGAACAGCGGCCACCGCCGCGTGAAGCAGATGCAGGGGCTGCTGCTGCTCGCGCGTCTGGACGGGGCGCCTGCTCGTCGTGAGCCACTGGTCAGGCCTCAGCGCATGACGGTCCTGCTCCAGCCGCAACGCCAGCAGCTCGTGTACTCGGCTCGGGCGGACCAGGACATGCTCCAGCCACTGGGCCGCGTCAATCTGCGCGGCGCGAAGCTGGAGCAGCTCGCTGACGGCTTCATCATCCACGAGGCACGTGGCGGACTTGGAAAGGTCAGTGAGTGTACGGGTGTGTTGAGTGGTGCTATGGATCGAGCGAGTCGAGTGGAGAGGAAACGTGTGGACTGGCTGAGAGACTGACGGATTGATTGGTGTTGATGGTCAATACTATGTGGACACAGACGCTCAAGCTGCAAGACAATGACAAAGCTACGATCGACGCTTGGTTCTTTGCAGTCTACTCGGCCATTACAGAGCACAAGCGTCCTTCTGTCTGCTATAGTAGCGGAGATAATGCAGGGCACAGGTTCTCGGCTGTGCTAACGTCCAGCATGCGCGACGAGCACACGGACGTGATGGTGAGTGGGTGATGTTGTTGTAGTCGGTATGGAGAAGGGGGTAGCGGAACTCATGGTCGAGTGATGGATTTTGTTTATATTGTTGTCGCTGTTTGTTTGTTGGTTTCGTAGGAGTTTGAGCTGTCATGTCAATTAGTGCTGCCCCTGCACGAGCGGAATGAAAAGTCGAGCATCAAGTGGACGGTTTGGAAAACCCTCTCGGAGCTTCAAGCATTTGATGAGTGCGTCACGGTGACGAACCTGGCTGGAGTAGGGATTGCTGGAGCATGGGGATCGTGTTTCTGACTTGCGAGTGTGTATTTGCTTGGACAGTGAGCTGCGCGTGTCTTTTGGTGCGCACATGACGCAGATTGCGGTGCCTAGAGACCGTAGACGGGACTCACTGTTTGGAGGTATGCGGAAGAAGTCATTGCGGGAGCTGAAAGAGCAACAGCTTGCGCTATATGTCGAACAGGTGTGCTGCTTGCGATCGTGCTTTCTACGTTTTTTTCTTGTACTCACCCTGCGGTGATGCACATGCGTAGGTGTTTCAGATGCTAGAAATTTCGACTGAACCTATGTTGGTCGAGAAAGTGAGACAGTTCCTGGGCTTGGACGCCTTCTTCGAAACTGTGGTTAGTATTGTTGGCTGATTGTGACATGCACGCACTACTATTGGTTGATGCCTAATGCGATGTCTTTGACACCATGTAGACACCCTCGTTGAGCGAAAAGGACACCGAACTCACAGACGCACCCGCAAGTGCTGATTCGCGTGCAATACTCTTCGCCGATACTGACAGCGCGAGACGCGTATCGGATGTGTCAATGCTGCTCGGCGAGCTGGAAGAGGACGTGACCCCTCTAGCAAGCTACGTGGCCCAAGCGCCTTCCCGCCGATATTCGTGTACGGAGTTTGCGGTACCGCCTGTATCGTTGACAAGTGAGAGTTCGACGGGTCTAGAGCAGGGGGATGGGGAGATTGTTGAAGTCATCCCGGAAGCCGATTCGAGAGCAGCGAAAAAACTGCACAAGAAGATCATCCAGACGGTCCGAGAGCTTGTGGCGAATGACGGAGAGCGTGTGCAGGAATTCCAGGACCAGACAAAAGATTTCGGTCGTGAAAGAATGTCTGCGAAGGAATATTGTGCTTTTCTTGTTGGGGCAGTTGGGGCCCAGGAGTGTTGCAAGCTTGTTTTGGAAATGGCGCGACTTCTTCCTGATGAGGCGAAGAGAAATGAGTTGATGCAAGCACGAGCTGTTATTTGGAGGCGAACGCACCGCCGACACCGCAGGCGCTCGAAGCAGATATCAGAGAGCGTCGTGATGAAAAAGTCAAAGGAGGAGCAGCAATCGGTCGAGACTGCACTCAGTAAGATGCGTCCGAAGTCCGACTGTCTTAGCACGGCCAGTTGGGACGCAGAGCGCGTCCAGTCTCTGCGAATTGCAAGCGGAAAAGGAACGAGTGAAAGACTCGCGCCGGAGATCAGTAGCGAGTTGAACATCCAGCCGAGCAAGAGCGTGCAACCAGATCCTGCGCACCGCGTCAGATTGGCTGATCCGCGACGCCACTTGAATCGAAGAGCGTCTTTCAACACGATATTCGGGGAGACATTGGAAACGAACCCGATAGAGGAAGAGAATCCGGCCGACAATGAGTCTGACGATGACAGCTACGACGGTCTGCTGGATCAACAGCCATGCGCTGTAACCGATGAGGCGACACCGATCGAGAGAAAGTTGTCGATGAGCAAGCCTGTGATCCTCAGACGGCGCCACTCTTCGTTCTTGGACAAAGATGATGAAGACGAAAGCACGGGAGACGACGATGAGAGCGATATCACGAGTCGCGCCTGCCGGTCTCGCAAGAGCCGTCACTGTCAACAGAGCGGGGATGGCAGCGGCGGTCTCGAGAGACGGGATCTGAAAGAAAGATCAACGTCTCGCGGGGGCTTGACACGAACGCGCTCTCGGCAGAGCTCATTTTTCGTTGATAAAAGGGTCGACGACCGCAGCGCAGAGGAAGAAGACGACAGCCACTCTCGATTTCGCAGGAACCAACGCCACGCGAGTCGGAAATTCGACGAGGAAGCCAAGTGTGGGCCGGTGGTCGAAGAGGAAAACCCGGTGCTGGCGCGCCTCAAGAAACAAGGGGCAGTAAATTTCATGATGCAGCTTCGCTAAGCACTTGCATGCACGTTGTGTCGATAGCTTGTGTGCGATTGAGCAGGTGACGTGTTTTAATCGATAAAAGTAAACCGTTGTATATTGTTTGGTGGAGGCTTCCCGTCGGACTGAGGCAGTCTCGATTTCTAGTGTGCGGCGCGAGCAGGTCACACACTCGAAAATGACGCCGCCAGTGTTTGTCCATACTTGCTGTCCAGCTAGAACTCGCGTTTGCGTCTGCAATGTACCATGGGTAGCAAGCCCGTACGATGAACATGCATCACCCACAGAAGACTCTAGTGTCAGCGCGGTTCAGCCGCTGATACATCCATCTTGCATCGATTACCGGTTTGGCCTTCGATGTCAAGTTGCTGGCGTTGCCGTGCACTTCAAAGCCCCGCAACAAGCTCAGGCAACTAGCAACGGTGCACCGTGTCTGCACACCCGCCAAGCAGTGCAACGTAGGACTCAACTCATCCAATCGAGCAGGGACCGCAAACCAGCTTGACCCCTTCCAAGCTCCTGGAGCAGAGATTGGAGTGGCAAGGCAGGGAAGAGTCGTCTCCATTGATTTGGATCAAATTCCGGTCGATGGCACGCTAGCGAGGGACGATCGGGAAGCGCTTCATGTTCAGACCCATCTTTGCAACAGTTCAGCGAGTTGAAAGAAGAGGTGGCGCTTCAGTAGCCTATTATTGTTGTAGACACCAATCTTGTCGCAGAATCTGCCGTTGCGACGCCAAGCAAGCCAGGGCCCGAGAGACCGTCATCCTATGAAGGCAAGCCACAGCGACGTCACGACTTTACTGCATCGATTGTCACGTGGGCTTCAGCGACTTGTCCGAGAGATCCAGAACGTACTGCGTCTCGTTTGACGGGCAACTAGGTGAGAAATGTACTTACATGCAGCATGTTGCAGTCGACTTGGATCCAACCATGTCAATGGGTGTGCGGCTTCGCTTTCGATCTCGTTGTCCATTCAGTAGGTCTAAGTTGTGGTATCGCCATGCTAAAGCGAAGGTTGGTCTTCAGCGAGCATGAAGTCGAAGAATGGGTAACCGCGCACGTTGCTGCTTTGTTAAGGAGCCAGGTGCAGCGCACGGGGGTGGCATTGCCTGGGCGATTCGTTGTAGTTGCAATGCATCTATGACGATCTCTTTTCCATGTCTATCTGCAGTCCAGATGAGTCTACTGCATCATGAGTTCCATGCCCTTTTCAAACACGACGGCCATTACCGCAAAGCCTGCCGCGCCTTTGGCTGTGTTTCGCACTAGCACTGCAGGCACACCAACTTTCAGCCCTCCAAGCAGCCCACCCACACAACATCAATGGTCGACAGCATCGTACATTTTGTGCCGGACGTCCGCGCTGCCCACGCGCCGAGCATGCCGCCCGACACACCGCCAGCCAAGATGGGGTTCACAATGTCGTGAGTCGCGCGATGGCGCTCGATCACACACTCGACACCAGCAAAGATGCTGCCCACTAGCGCAAACTCCTGTGCACAACACAGGACACCGACCGGATGATTGACACGTCAGCCACACGCGCAGCTCACTACAAGTCGAGTCAAGAGGCGCTTGTCTTGCCTTGGAGAAGTAGACGCTACGCACGTAACCGGCTTTGATCGACTTGCTAAAGCCATTGTAGAGCTATAGACAGACACGCACAATACCGTTCTTGTCCATGCATCAGCAACCCACAAATGCAGCAATCCAAACACTTTTGCCGATCAGTCCGTCTGCCATTACCTGCTCACGCATATTGCGGCCCACCAATTCTCCATGAGCGCCTTCGAACGTGCCGAGGAACGTGCCGAGACCAACGCCCATAGTCGCACCAGCGACACACGCCACGACGCTCCGCTTCCAGCAGCTCTCGCGAGACTCTTCGGCGAACTTGAAGACCCGTGCGACCGCAGTCTGCGACATACTCGACTTGTCCATGGAGCTCGTCTCTTGCACCATTCGTCCAAGAAATGCATATGCTTCGTGCCCGACTTGTTGTTGTAGCGCGGCCTCCCTCTGATAGCTGTTGTACCTGTATCATTACATACAACAAGTATGCGTCGAAGGTATTCGTTTTAGCGTACCTCGTGGAACAAAAAGAGCCGAGACTGACCACCATACGTAGTCGCTGCACCGCCACCTCTGGCCAAAGAATGCGCATGAGGCTGCGCGCGCCAGAGCCCGAGAGCAGCCACGAGGAGAATGAAGACGATGGTAACAACAGCGAGTGCGCTGCGGCCGATAGCAGCCAAACTCTGCCGCTATTGGACGTTGGATCGCCCGAGTACATTGAGGAACGACTGGAAAATCTCAAGCGACGGTCCAAGTGGACGGACTTTCTCGACCAGTACGTGCAGGACCATCCAGAGAGTGACAGTGAATCGGATACGAGTGAAACAGAAGAGATAGCAGTGGTTGGCGCGCCTGGTTTCATCCGTTCGGTGCTCTGGTCGCTGCTGGTTGTGGCACTAGCACCGCTGCTCATTCTTTGTGCGCCGTTTGTGCGACATCAAGGATATGGGTACGCAATGTATGGTATCTGGGATCGTTAAGCGTAGCTATGCTAATTCTTTGCTGTATGAATGATGTGAATGACAGCTTCTGGCCGTTGCGGTGCTGCTCGATGAAGGAGCTTTTTGGCTGTGCCGTGGCGAATGTGGTTTCGATGGCGTTTGGACTTGGCTTGCTGTACTGGACGATCTGTCGCGAACTGCCGGATGTGTTTCACGTTGACAACACACTGGTCAAGCTGACTGCACAGATTGACGAGATACTGCACGCGATGGACACGTGTCACGTGGCTCTGCTGCAGTGGGAAAAGATAGTTGCACAGGAATTGTGTATGCCTGTGGCCATCGACGTTGCATTGCTGCTTGTCAATGCATACCTTCTACTGCATTGTCATCGTCGATGGGCTAGGTACCTAATGGCACTGATGGTCGCAATGTTTGTGGCGGATGTCCCTACCAAATTGTACGACGCCACATTTCCAGCTCCAGAGATCCACAAGGTGGACCCGAATTATGCCATGGTGAATGAGGAGCTGCTGGTTGCGGTGGATGGAAAGAATTTGAAGCAGGGCGGAAGCGTTGCCTGGGTAGCGTATTGGGGCTGTGCCATCACTTCAAATGTCAATGCGTGCGAAACGCAGTTCGCATCGACGTTCGAAGCCGGTAACGTCGCTGTGACCTTCAAGTCAATCGATCACTTCATTCCTTGCTATCGAGACCCACCGAACCCGCTGAAGGCGCAGGAGTATCAGTGCTTCGAGCATGTTCGCATTCGTGTGAAGGACAAGCGCAGTATTCCTGGATGGTCCCGATTGGCGATCCGGTCACCGTTCGTTTCGCAGTCAGTACAAGCCGTGACATTGCATAGCATCGAAAGGCGAGATGGTGTCCGAATTGCTGCGTTTGAGAGTGACGAACTGTTGCCGTCCTCTACAAGATGCCAAGATACCATTGAGCCAGCGTACAGAAAGCAGGATATGGTGACATGGGTGGAGTCAACCTCAGCGATTGGAATTCCAGAGCCGTCCGAATATGCTTTGGTCGACAACGACAGATCATTTGGGCTGGATAATGAAGATGTGGAGCTGCCAGGTGATGGGGTTTCACGAGCAAATAAAGTGCCTGGAAGCGGATTGGAGTACGGCTTGTTGGATGCGGTAGATAAGGAGCCGATTGAAGCGGAAGTGACGCCCGATGCAAAACTGAAGACGATCTCTCTTCATGCTGAACCCAATATGAAGGGTCAGAGTGAGAATACCGCCTCGTCATCGCAGAGTCTGCATGCAGTAAGCTATACCCAGAAAGTTTTGTTGGACATGCCACAGGATGAAGGAGAACTCAACTTGGCTAGCAAAGCGGACGAGCTAGAACCAATGCGAGATGTGACCGAGGTGATGATTGTTAATGTCAATGTGTATGGAGAAACCAAAAGTATGGACGAAGAACTTGCGGGGGGCACCATGACCGCCGCTTCGGACAATGGAAAACGTGTGCAGACGACCCACCCGAAAGACCAAGGAGGAGAACGAAAACGTCATACAAAGCTGAAGAAGACACTGGAGTGAGCATGTGCCCGGCTACCTCAACCGAGGCAAGCACGTCTGCGACTAGCGCACAGGAAGAGCGAGAAACGGGCAATTTCTACATACTTTGAGGCGAGACTACTGTATCGACATCGCTTGACTTGGTCACTTATTGTACGCAGCTTGAGATCAGCAGAAAAGCGAGAGAGCACGAAGCAAGCAACAGCATTGTCACCACGGAGCAAATGCATACATAAGAGTTAAGCGTTTACAGTTCAAACAGCACATCTCTATTCGTCCTGAATGTTGTCTCCACGTTCGAGCACGTGGGCAGACCGACACATACAACTACCAAATTTGACAGCAATTACACTATCGACGCTGTTTCAGATGAGCTTTGTGCTCCCATGATCGCGTCTCGCAACAACTCAGCCAGACGGTGGAACTTGGCGTTCTCGAGTTGCGCGCTTTCCCGATTCGCCTTGCACAGCTTCTCCTGGAGCGCACTCTTCTGCTCCATGTGCTTCTCCCGGAGTGCCAGTTCACGCTCGCGCAGCTCGACTTCCTTCTTGAATCGAGCCTTCTCAAACTCCAGTCTCTCACGGTCCAGCGTGATCTGTTCCGTCAAATGTTTCTCGTAGTCAAACGTGCTCCGGACACTAGAAGATGCCGAAGCCGTGCTTGACGATGCGCCTGAAACTACGTACCAGTGCACAGAACAGCGCATCAGCTCCTACCCGACCAACAAGACTCGGCAGGGGAGTGTGTCCATACAACCTACCGTTTTCTGACTTGCCATTGTAAGTCTATCGAGAAGCAAAACCAGCTCACATGCTCACGGTTACTATCAATACTGAAGCCCCATCAATCTCAATCAAGCAGCAAACGCACCATAGACGCCGTCATGTGTGTCGTGCTATGACCGCCGCCACCAAGTCCAGTCGACGTCGGCACTGCCACAACTTGCACTGCCGCTTGCGCAGCAGCGTGTTGCGCCTCACTGATCGCCGACGCCTGTGCCAGGACCTGTGCCTGGTCGTACGTCATCTCACACTCGGCATTCAGCTCCGGGCCTCCCAGCTCCACGTCGTCCACTATCGGGAGATGGTCATACGTCTGCAGCTCCCCCTGCAGCTGCAGGTACCGCGCCCGGACCGCATCTTGCTTGGGCAGCATCTCGTACTCGGCCCATCGTCGCGGATGAGCGCCCTGCAAGTGGCTGCGGATGTTGTCCACGCGGAACGCTCGAAAGAATTTGGTCGTGGTCAGCGAGCGTCGGCGTCGCTTCTTGGCGTCGTTGCCCGTCTCCTGGTCCTGCTGGACCAGCTGCTCGTACTTCCCTTCGCGCCCAAAGACTTTGCAGAAGCCGCACATGGCCAGCAGCACGTCCCCCGACACCGCGTCACGTTCGATCGCCAATAGGCCAAACTCCACCTCGTACTTGGGCTGCCAGTTGTGGCGTCGCGACTGTTTCGCTGCAGTGGTGCGGCGCTTCTGCGCTTCCTTGTCCTCGTCCTCCTCGTCGCCGCCGTCTCCTTCGTGGCGCTTCCGACGTGCGCCGACAATCTGCTGCTGCTGCTGCTGCTGATGCTCATGGTCCTCGAACTTCTCCAGAGCCGCAGCGTGAAATAGGAGCTGGTCACTCGAAGCTGATGTGTCGGCCATGCTCGGCTTAGTTTAGGTTTCGAGCGGGACGTGGGCCAGCGCTTGACCCAGTTTAGAAACGGTTTCTTGTAGTTGAGGAAAAACCCAGCGAAAAACCCATTGGCTCGACGAAGCGGAGGGTGTTCGTCGTGGGTTGACTTGTCTTTTTTTCGAAAAGAGCTCGAGCGAATAGAGGAGCGTAGTCGATCTGTTTGATACGGCCATAGACGACGCTGAACATTGCTTCTGTAATCTACTTTCGACCGTGTTCATGTGAACGAATCCAAAAGTAGAGCAATCGATGTGTATCTATAAGTGTAAGCTTACACATGCGCGAAATTGACAGCGCGTTGGCTTTTTGTTGCGGCTAGCCTGAAGTGCCAACAACCTTCGCAAGCTTTAACGTACCCTATCGCCAGCCTGAAAAACGTCGAATAATGCGCGAGTGAGACACGGCAGAACGTTTAAAGTTGATGCCACGACTCGACGCGACGCTCGAAAGCGCTCGCGGCTTTCACTTTTGTCAGTCCTTCGATGACCCCACGTTTCATTTATCAAGTCAAAACTCTGCACGTCCACATAACAATCGACGTACATCGTTGACCCCTTCTGCTCGCTTACGCATATAGTGGCTCTTGACAATCGAAGGAGATTGCTAAGTAATGCAATGTGAGTGTCGTGAAGGCCCACAACACTGCCGCTTGGCAGATCCGACGTAGTTCGTAGACAAATCGCAAATCGCGCGTAAAGCTCTTGAAGATCATTGTGGTCGTGTTAAGATGTTGGAGCCGTAGCATTTCTCGGCACATCTTTCTTTCGGAATTGGTGTCGAGGCTTTTTGGCTTGTGCGAGAACGTGCTCGATGCATAAAGCTGCGTGCTGAGGGTTCCTGTCGATGAAACTCACACACAAGAATGGAGTGCACGAATAGAATGCACGATGCCGAGCTCTCGACTCATTTTTCGTGATAACATGCTGCAGCGGTCGAGAAGAGAAGTCTGATGGTTGCACACAGCTCTCTCGACTATAAGCGGACATTGCGTGGTGTGCAAATCAAAGTGGCGGGTGATCACAACGGAACTACCACAAGACACCAAAGACCTTATTGTCGATAGAGACCGATCTGCAATCGAGCTGTGACGCAGCGGTGTTACTGTAGCATCGATGATGTTACCGCATCCTCAACGCGTATATCTTGTGGTCGATTTCGTGTCAAGTCGATAGAGTTGATCTGAGACGCTTAACGTTTGCTCTATTCAATGGTGAGCAGCTTTGCTTCGGTCACGTGTTTGCCGAACGTACGGCATCATCGCACATAGTCAGCAAGATGGACTTTTACCCGTAGCCCTTGTCACAAACACGATTCTAGCTGCACAATCGCAACAAAAGTCGACTGCGCGCTGTAGGGTCTACCAATAGTTTGACAGCGAAGCGTAAACGTGATACCGACTCGAAGTACCTAACCAACAAAGCTCAGTGTCGATCAGTCGTCTCACTCGTGCCTTCTTCTGATCTGCAAACGACGTGAAGACATCCTGCTGATCCAAACGGATATATTCAGGCAAATGAAGACAAACGTGTTGTACCTCAGAACTTCTATGTGGTGCTACATTCACGGCGCTACTGTAGTCGGGGCGAGCGGCATCTCGGATACCTATATTGCAACCGGCTGCAAAAGCGAAAAGCTGCCTGTGCCCACCCGCGGCGGCTGGCCAAGCACTAGACGAGCAGACGGACTCTCTAGCTTGTCCACTAGACCACCTAAGGCGGCCTGCGACAGGAACTTCATAGACGTCTCGAACGTGATCTGCTGCAGAGACGAACCCTTGTAGTTCATACCCATTCGGTTCAACGGCATGTATCCGCCCTGTGTCGTCATATAGTCGGCCAACAAGCTCAGGTGACGCGGATCGACACTGATGCCGTATACGCCAAACACGTCCGTGATCTGTTTCGAAATACTGGCCCGTGCTGCCTCAACGCCATATGTTTGTAGCACCTGGTAGATGTCGTTGGTGACAAGGTTGTTAACATCCAGAATGTCGTCAAAGCTCCAAATCTCCTGGAAGTTGAGACCTTCCGTCTGCACGCACGGTTTCTCCGTTTGCGACTCGCCAATACGCTGGTTGATCAAGTAGCATCGTGAAATACCTGGACAGCACTGCACCAGCACTTGCTTGGCCACCCTCTCGACAAGCGGTACCATTAGCAGTGTCTTCGAGTGCGTCGGGAAACGCAAATGTAGCTCCACAAAATTCTGCTTCTCGTTCCGTCCACAGAATACAAAGTAGGGGTTCTTGCGCACACTGGTAGGTACGTCGAGCGCATCCATACCGCCAGCAGTAAAGGTCTTTGCCTTCTGGTTTGCGAAGCCGTCCTCCGTGAGCTCGTCATCCGAAGCACCCGAGTCGTTACTCTTCTTGTTGTCCATCGTGTCATCGTCGATATCCGAGTCGTCGTTGGTCATTTGCGACTTTCGGATTCTCTCGTCCTCCTCGTCCATCTCGCCATAGCCCTGAACTTCGCCACGGCTACCAAACCGGAGGGTGCCCTGCTCATCGTCATCGTCATCATCATCGACGTTCTTCTTTTTTCTGTTCGCTCCAGATCCCGACGGCGCGCTAAAGTTGTTCTTTTCCGCTGCTGCAGATACGGTCACACCGCTCTTCTTCATCTCACGGCAAATAAGCGTGAGCAGCTTGCCCACAAAGCCTCGTCCGACCGAGTTAAATATCTGGTCGCCGCTCAATCCGAACACGCGTTCGATCTCCTTGAGCTTGAAAAAAGTCAAACGAATGTGGTAATCGCGAACCCACAGTATACCGTTCTCGCTCTTGTGAAACCGATCCTCAACACGAACACCATTCGTACTGTTGATCAGCTCCGAAAGAGCGACCTGGTTCAGTCGCTGCTCGACTTCCTGAGCACGTGAGGACTCCACGTCGTCACGAAGCGGGATAGTCATCATAGGCGTCGACATCTGCTGACTAGCCGTCATGATGATTTCACGCAAACGCGGAATACCCAGCGTCACATTAGCGGCACCATGCCCAGCAAGATGGAAGGTGTTCAGTGTCATCTGCGTAGACGGCTCACCGATGCCCTGGGCAGCCAAGATACCGACATTCTCACCAGGAGCGCACATGCTACGCAGGTAGTTTACCCACACAAGAAACTGGAAAGCGTCGGGACTCACGGCATGCTTCGTCTTCATCACATCACGGTCAATCTCGCACTCTGTGACACGCTCACTCTTCTTCGACTTCTTTTCTTTCTTCTTCGCCACCTCCAAACAATTAGAAGGATTGCGCTTATTGTACTGACGCAGCTTGTCCTGAATGCGCTCCGAAATCAAACCGACGTGCTTGCTCAACGGCAGACTCTGCAACACTGGGTCCTCGGACGACATCTTGATAATATCGACGCGACCAGACATGGCACGAGTTGTGCTCGTTGACTTGCTCGTCTTGAACGTGGTAGTACGAGGTACGTCAAACGCCTTCAGACCCGTATCCAGGTACCTGATGTCATACTTGCACTGCCGGGGATCGTCTATGGCATCACGATTCACCGCCACAATTTCAGCAGCATAGAAACCGATCTCAATGTGACCGCGTTTCCACTTCGTCTCTCCTTGCCGCAATCGACGGGCCATGACCTTCACGCCAGGTTTCAGAATAGACGACGTGCTAGTGTAGTCATTTTCGTTGGCTTCACGAACCTCTTTATGGAGCTTGATTGGCTTCATGATGTCTAGCTTTGTTCTCTCGAAGAACTTGGCATCGATGCCATGCTTGTGAGAAATACTGCGATGGTTCATCGCTTGGAAATCAAACTGCGCATCCTTACCAGACAGCATGGCACTTTGCACCGGATCAATGCCATCTTCGCCATACAGGAACTGAACCACATTGCCGTCACTATTACGCACAGTATGGTCGTAGCCGACCTGCAGGTCTTCAAGGTGCTTGATCAGACAACGTTGAAGATAACCACTTCGACTAGTCTTCACTGCCGTATCAACAAGACCTTCACGGCCAGCCATACAATGGTGATAGTACTCTTGAGGACGTAGGCCAGTGAGAAAACGGTCCGTCACATAACCTCCGGCACGTGGGGCAGGGTCAAATGGCTCAAACGAAGGCAGTGACCGGCCACTACAAAGGATAGGGACACGACGGCCCTCAAGGGCCTGTTGGCCGAGACCACACGAGATCTGCGAATGGTTTACCATAGAGCCCTTAGCACCAGTCAGCACCATAAGCGAGAAGTTGTTCTTCGGAAATGCCTTCGACTGACCCGACGGTAGGCACGTCTTGATGATGTCACTATTCGATCCGTGCACGCATCCCATCATGTGAGCGTCCAGAGCCTCCGCGTTATTGCTAGCGTCAGGTCCAGAGAGCAAAGTACGCATACGGTCGCGTATCTGCACACGCTCCTCGTCGTTCATGCGACGCTTCTTACCATCCTTCTCAGACGCACGCTTGTTCTCGAGCATGTCCGTGAGACCAGCAAATTCGGCGTATGCCTCTTCGCCCATGACTTCAGACTCTCTAACTAGTTTGTTGCGACGCTTCTCGGCCGCATGGTTCAGCGTCAAATCCTCCAATGCACAAGTGTGACCGGCAAACTGTAGATAGCACGTAAACAGGCGACCAAGAGCAGACAAGAGATCGGCTGCGATGCGTGCGCCGTACACTTCGTAGCAAGCGTGGACCATACCGTACATGCTTGCACCGAACTGGCTCTTGTCGAGAATACCCTGAAGCAGCTCTCCGTCGCGAAAGATCACAATGTGCTCGTTGTTCGTCGTGCCGTACAAATCACCTTTGATCTTAGCTTTGCTGTTCATGTTCAAAGGCGGCAGGCCTTTCGTCAGCAGCTTGAGAACTGAAGTGACCAGCTGCTTACCCGTCCAGAGCACCTCCGGCTTTAGAATAGCAGGCGGTACGATCTCTATGTGCGCCTTCTCCACTCCAGCATCTTCCAGGCTAGCCCAAGCGTTGTACAGAAGCTGCATATACATCTCCTTTGTCAGGAACGTATCACGTTGAGTGAGCTTTACACCAGAGTCAACATGATCCTGGATCAGGCCACGCAGCGGCGACCCGTCCGTTGGCACTATGTACTGGTTGTCGTTACACGCAATATTATATGCCTCTGACCGCGCCAGCTCATTTTGGGGAAAGTGCATGTTCATCTCATCACCATCGAAATCGGCGTTGAACGTGTTACAATTTGCGTAGTGCATACGAATCGTCTGCATCTTAGGGTTCGTAAGGACACGCGTGGTGTGGGCCATTATACTCGGCTTGTGTAGGGTCGGCTGGCGGTTCATCAACACAACGTCACCGGTCTTCATGTGACGCCAAACGCGCTTCACACGGTTCTTGCTTGTACCTCGAGCACTAGCCGAGCGTGTAAGCAGTGTCTTACTGATGGCTTCACGCTGGTGCGGAGATCGCTTGCTCAGATCGATCAGACGGCCGCTCTCGCTCTCGACAAAGTTCGCACCGGGATGCACATCCGGTCCGTTGATAACGAGCCGGCGCATTTCTTCCGCATTCCATGGCGTCACTGGCTGAGGGTATGTGAGCGTTCTGGCAAAACGAAGCGGTACACCAATCTGACTAGTACTGATGTACGGGTCTGGAGAAATCACCGACCGAGCGGCATAGTTGACACGCTTACCCATCATGTGTTTGCGAAACAGGCCTTCTTTCTTCTCAATGACCTGTTTGATACCCTGAGCAACATCAGCTCCCGGCTTGGCTTTGCTGCTGTCCACGAGGAGGTTCACGGCAGTTTGAAGCTCTGTCCACAGAGCAAGCTTACGCGATAGATTCACCTGCTCCTCCTTTTCGGCATCATCTTCGTCTGAAGTAGTAGCACCCTGACGCTTGTAGCTATCACTTTGAACAATGCTGTCGCTGAGGGTCATAATCTTCGACAAATGAGTATTCTGAGAGTGTTCGAACTGCTTGTCACCCATAAACACGGGCGGACGGAAGCGCGAAGGTGCAACCGGAATCACGTTCAAAAAAAACTTGCGCCAGCCACAAGGCTTACGTGCAGGCGTTCGGCCACTGGCAATGTTGCGATCGCCATAGAGCAGCTCCATCAGACCATCTTCGTTCTGCCACATCAACTGCAATTGTGACTGCACCTCCAGAGGCGGAAGGTACTTGCTGCGCATCGAAGACTCTTCCATCGTAGCGTACGCGTTTCCATCTTCGTCCATTTCCGACTCGGAATCGTCGCCATGCATTACTTCGTCGTCCTTGTCGGACACATTGCCACGAATCGTGTCCAGAGCTGATGTCACTGTCAAGTTCTTCGATTGGTTTAGCTTGCGTGACCGTGCACTGAGTCCCTTGAGAAAGATTTTAGCGTTGGCATCCTGTCGAACAGCTGACGAAATAGCGCCACAGTTTTCGCACTTGTTCTTCATTCCTTTCAAGAACTCGGTCGCAAGTTTCTCACGCGCTACTTCCGCGAGACGAGGCAGCGGACGCAGCAACTCCGGCGCGCCTTTGTTCCTGTTGCTGCTCTTGGATAACGCGAGACGTTCGTACTCGTCCAGAATCGCCTGTTGACGCTGGATCGTGCGTTGCGGCGGCTCGTCTTCCACGCCATTGCGCTGCTCCAGCAGTTCGCCCAGCTGAATCGCCTCGTTCTCAAAGCCGTTGTCCAGTAAGAGGATCTTGACACGCACTTCGCGAGAGCGCGAGCTGGCGACACGGAACTTGTGGCACGCGAAGCACTTGCGCTTGAGCAGGTTCAGCATTTGCGTAAAGAGAACGGGGTTGTACACGGGCACTGGCAGCTCAAGGTGGCCGAGATGGCCTGGGCACTCCTTCTGCGTCTGGTGGCACGTGGGACAGATCATGTTGAAGTCCACAGGCCCCAGTGCCGGGTCATACAGACCCCCGATGACGGGGTTGTTGAGCGCGTCGAAGCTCAGGTGACTCGTGAGCTGCTTCACGCTGAGGTTCCGGATCTCGGCGTCGCTGTAGAAGCCAAAGGCCACCTCGGCCACCTCATGACGGAGGATCGTCTGGTCCGTAGCCGAGTCCATCGCGGGTCCCGAATGTGCACTGCCGATGGAATTTACTGGTGGGCATTGCGATGCGGAATTGCGACCAGTCAAGTGCGACCAGTGATTTTAGGCCAATGACGAACGAGACGTGAGTGCGGGTCAAAACTACTGGACGATGGCTATATTTGAGCACGCGAGATACGGAAGTGCGGTGGCACACACACACACAAGAGCACGCCCTACTGCAAACCTATGCGTCCTCGTACGTCCCGCAGTCGGCAATGACGACCGGCAAAGTGGGTTTGTCGCCCTCGTCCTTGTCCAGATTCTCTATGCGCTGCACAATGTCAAAGCCCTCCACGACCTTGCCAAATACCACGTGCTTGTCGTCCAAGTGCGGCGTCGCCACAGTCGTGATGAAGAACTGCGACCCGTTCGTGCCTGGACCGGCGTTCGCCATCGACAGTAGCCCTGGTTCCGTGTGCTTGAGCCGGAAGTTCTCGTCCGGGAACTTCTCGCCGTAAATGCTCTCACCGCCCGTGCCGTCGCCGCGCGTAAAGTCGCCGCCCTGGATCATAAAGTTCTTGATCACGCGGTGGAACAAGCTACCCTTGTAGTGCAGCGGCTCGCCCGTCGAGCAGTTGCCCTTCTCGCCCGTACACAGCGCGCGGAAGTTCTCTGCTGTTTTGGGGCACACGTCCTCGTACAACTGCATGACAACCTTGCCAGCGTCCTCTTCGCCGATCTTGATGTCGAAAAACACCTTGGGGTTGTTCGGATCCAGCTCGATCTCACCTTCCGGCGACGCCTTGTCGTCGTACATCGACACCTTGCCAAACAGACCGCCAAACACATTCTTCTCCTTCTGACGTGCCTCCTTCATCTTCTCTTTCAGCAAGTCTAACGCACGACGCACGTCGCGACTAGCTGGGTCCACCTTGCCAGCAGCAAGCAGATCTTCTTTTGCACGCTCCAGATCGTTCAGGTGCATGCGGCCTACACCACGTCGATAGAGTGCCTTGACGTTCGTCGGCTCATTGTTCAGTGCCTTCGTGGCCACGGACACGGCCTCCGCATAATTTTCTACCTTAAGGTACGCCATCGCGGCGTTCAGGAAGCACGTCGTCTGCAACTGCTTCATAGTCTCCTTGTCTTCGTCTGCCGCATCGTACATGTCCTCCATGTACGAGGCCGCTTCAGCGTACGTCGCTGCAGCCGCATCAAATTCCTTGGCCTTGAACTGGTCCGTGCCCTTGGCCTTGAGCTTGGTCGCCTCTGCAATCTTTTCGGCCGCATCCATCTCCCACATCTCCTTGGCCTTGGGGCTGAAGCCCAGCAGCTCCACGTCAAACTTGAGCGTCGCGTTGGCGGGAATCTTGGGCGGACTGCCGCTCTCTCCGTACGCGTACTCCGGCTTGCACGTCAGCACAGCTTTCTGCACAAGCACAAGCGACGCCACTGTGTCAGTACCACATGGCTACGCCCCGTCACTATTGCAGCGTCACGCGCACGTCGTACCTCGCCAACTTTCATCGATGCAAAGGCCAAGTCCCACGCCTTGATCACGTTCCCCTTCCCCAGCACGAACTTGAACTCGGCATCGCGGTCTCGCGAGCTGTCAAACTTGGTGCCGTCCAGCAACGTGCCCGTGTAATGGGCTGACGATAGACGACCGACACCGCGTCAAGAACCAAGTGGGTACATAAAGAGCCAGAGACAGAACAACGCACCGCGAATCTCGTCCCCGGCCGGTGGGCACTCGCCCGAACCCTCTTGGTAGATCTCCTTGAGCACGCCTCCGTCACCCGACAGGTCCACACTTTCCTGCATCGTCACGTCTGTCATACTGCTCTCGTGCGCTCTTTGTGTCTGTGTCGCTGGTATCAAATTGCTGACTGCAGCTAACGAGGATCGAGGACGGTCCAAGTTGATGATCGGTTTCTACAGGGGTTCACGCCAATGAACGAGCGGGTGGAGTCGAATGTTCTGGAAATCGATATAGTGCTTCGTTTGTCGTGGACTCACCCTCCAGTTGGCAGCCGATCGCCTTTCGGAGGGACGCATACAAAACACGCGCGTGGGTGGACAATTGTTTACTGCTGCGTTTTCTTCTTGTGCATTTCGTGATCCATCACCGCCAAGTTCCTGCGCCTGTTACAACCTGAGTGCGGCAAAAGTTCTGGAACTCGAACAGTCGTTTTCGCTGTAAGTCAATTGGAGCACAAGCCGACTGGCGTCACTCACGCACCGAACCGCCTGCGAGCACGCGCACGGTAATAGTACGTTTATCCTGGTCGGACACGTCCAGAGGACTGGAAGCGCGTTTCGATGCCCTTGTCAAGTGAAAGGTAACGCGCTATTGTGCTCGTGTTGCGTGAGGTTCCACTCGCATGCGATTGGCAGTGGATTCGAGGTGTCCGCATGAGTTTGTCGGCAACGTGGCCGACTATTGGCACCTGACCAGCTCGCAACATCTTTTGTGTGGTGGTACTGCAAAGTGTGGCTACACTTTGCCAATTGAATTTCGATACTATGCACCTACGGTCCCGAACGACTTCGATCGATAAGACCGATGAAGATACGTTCGTAAGGCTGCATATATAATAGGTCAATGCAATGAGGCATCATCTTGACCGCGACAAAGGGCTAGTGCATGAACAGAAGCGACGGCGACAAATTGCTACTACACGTGATCTTAGCTAAAGAGCCGAGAGGATGTATTGCTACTTTTTGTTCCAGGAACAACTCTTTCGAGGCACCTACTGGTCAATTGTACGCAGTGCGCAGCTATCTTGCACACTGGAAGCAGCAGCTAGCTTTTCGAGTGGAAGGCTCGAATATAAGCGCCCAAAGTCCACGCAGTAAAGTAACAACAAGTATTTGTGAACTCACAGCAAGACGATGGTGTGTCATCTAGTGCCTTGAGCCACGGTGACCATTTATTTTTTCCTCTAAGCTAGCGATGCGCTCTTCGAGTTCCTGGATCAATCGAGCTTCGCGATATTTAAGAGTAAGTGCAACATTCAGGGCATTGACTACGCGTTGCGGCAGTTGCCACGTTGGTGTGCGTTGCGCATTGTCGGTCAAGAAATTTGTAGAAACTGGGGGCTCTTGCAGCAGTGGCTGGCCTGACCAGTGCATGAACATGGCATCCCAGAGTGCAATTCGTTTCAGCAAGCCAGCCAAAGGTGGACTGAGAACCTTCTTCGGAACATATGTCTGCTCTGTGAGCTGTGACCGGAAGCCATTCACCCAGGTCCACACAGACGCGGTCCTGTTTTCCAAATCAACATCTTGACGGTGCTTCTTGCAATCGAACAAGAACGTCCCAAAACGGCACGAATGCAGCGCATCGGCTACCAAAAGCAGCAGACCTTCGTTGAACCTACGAGTAAGCAGCATGTGGACACAGCAATTCGTTGGTCAGCTCAACCCCGTGCACCAGACGTTTTGGCCACTTACTCGAAATAGCTCGGGTAGATTCGAACAAGCTGTGAAACGCAGTCTAGGAATTGAACAAAGATCGGCGACTCCTGTGTATCGGCTTTCTCCCCCTGTGAATGGCGGAGATGAAAAGGGTGCCCAAACGACAGCCATTCCTTCTCAATCAGCACCTGAAACCCTTTCCAGCTTCGAAAATACGGGTCCACAAAGATTTGGGCCAGCGACGCAATCTGGCTCGTTCGATCCCAGCCGTGGCTGCAGTGCAGTAAGACCGATTCGCCCGCTCGAAGTAGTGATGTCACATGAAGGCCTGCTTTTAGAAGCTGGCGTATGTAAACCAGCCACTTGGTGTCCTCAATACTCCCGAGCCACCGCATATTGTCACACGATGGCGACGCACACAGGGTGCGCAGCTTTTTCATGCTGAGCATTTCCATTAGTGTAATGATCAGTCACAGTACGTTAGCAAGAGTTCTCAATCGCATACCAGCCATCTACATAAACGCCCACCTTTCTCGCATAGAATGGATGTTGGGGATCTCCATAAAGCTCACAGAGCTACTTTTGTAATTGACAGAGCTCTCGACGCCATATCCTTTTGCGCGATTGGCCTGCACATTCGTGAACGCAAACAACAATGAGTCTTTCGCTTACGTAGTGCTTATCGGTAAACGTACCAGTGCGCTTGACATGGGCCTGCAATCAATGATTTGCACTTGGTCCTGCAGTAGGCTTGATGACGCGATTGCAGCAACCAAACTTTCATCAGCGGGCGACGTGGCTTTTGACATTCCGACTTTCGGCTGGCTTGACCGACACAAAGACGCTCCATTTACTCCATTCAGCCATGTCAGACAAGGGATGCGACCGAGCGAGCGAAAGTTGATGGCGTCTAGAAGTACCTACCGCATAGAACGTGAGTCGATACCCAAAACGGAGCTGCACATGTAGCACGCAATCGTACCTCGTCCGTCACGTCAACTGGCACGACAAGACGTTCTGGATATGTTTCAATCGCACCAAAGCCTTGATTGCAAAGCGATATTCTCCACTTTTCACTTTCACACACACCCTGCCTCTTCCACTCGGCTTGGTCGTCATAGACGTCCCAGTCCAGAGCGCAAGGCAGCAAGGGCTCTTCTTCCAACATATTATCGGACAATCTATCGCACCCGTCACGGCGTTAGTATGGACAACGCAATGTCGGCTTATACACGCAACGCATCTACAACAGTGTCTTTTACCTGTGGTAAAAAGCAAACAAGAACTCGATTTTATCCGGAAACACATACGTCGTCAGCACGGAGAAGATCTACAGACATGCCATAATGCACACAGTAAGGTTCAGATAGCATATAATAAACGTGCGGACATGTCCTTTGTCCCTCACCTTGGTGACCTCTGCGGCATCGAATCGGAACAACAATTGGCGCAGGTCTTTCGTGACAATCTCCACAATCAAATTCTTCTTCTTGATCGAAGCAATGCAGCCCAGAGGGATGAGAAAGAAACTCTCAATATCGTCGTCACTTCTGTCCAGGAAATGACGTCGCACGTGGTCCACGTCGAGCTCGTTTGGCACGAACTGGAAGCGGAACGTGGTCATGAACACGCGCCCTTGGCAGACTGTAGCTCCGGTTGCTTCCTTCTTGCTCGCGTGCTCGTCCAGGTACTCACTTGCAACAGCTGCGAGTACGTCCGACTCACCAATGAGGTGGCCGCGAGCGCCAACAGCCTCTTCCTCCGCCATTTGCACCAAACGTCGGACGTCGGGCGGCAAGTCAGGTCGCAATGTGAGAAAAAAAGTCCACTAGAAAGCGCTTTTTATACCGACAGTTATCATGTTGTTCTGCCATTCTGGACTACCAGGTAGCACCGCGCAGCATCCACCACGGGCACATTTCCACCAATCAAAATCTGCGCCCGGAGCTCTTCTCGTCTCTTGCGCTCTTCAACTATCGCGTTACTCGTTCGCATATTCATTACAGAAAACGGAGAGCCTCTGCCCGAACTCGTGTGGGCGCAATGGCCGACGCGGAGCGCTTTGCGTTCATGAACGACCCGACCGGCGACCGCAGCGCACGTATTGCAGCGACTCGCAGTGCGCTGCGTCCCCTCAGCAGGTGCGGTGATCGCGTGGTGTTGTACTTACCGTTTCTCTGCAGCCGCCACGTCGACACCGTACGCGCGTCCCTTCCCGTGGAGCTGCAGGCGCTCGAGAAGACAGCAGTGCTCGAGATCGAAAGTCCATTAGCACGCAATGCGCTGAGTGGGAAGATGATGGTAGAGCTGGCGGACATAGTGGAGCTGCTGGAGGACCCGGAGGTGCACGACAAGCTGACCGCAGTGCTAGTCAGGGGCACGAACGGCTGGTTCTGTGCTGGAGCCGACTTGAAAGTCGCCCAGCAAGCGATGACAGCACCAGAAGCAGGGGATGCGATGGGTCAGCTCATGACGGACACGCTCTCGAGGTTCCGACGGCTGCCGCTCGTCAGTATTGCGTGCATTGAAGGGGGCGCGTATGGCGGCGGCGCTGAACTCGCTTGTGCGTGTGACTTTCGGCTTGTGGAGAAGAACGCTGTGATCCAGTTTGTGCAAGTGCGCATAGGCGTATCGCCCGCGTGGGGTGGCGGTGTGTGGCTGTACAAAATCGTTGGACGACAAGCTGCATTGCGATTGTTGTGTACAGCTGAGAAGCTGTCGGCGCCACGCGCGCAAGAGCTCAAGCTAGCAGACTTTGTTTTCGACGCAGCACTTGACGGCGCAGAGGCAGCAATACGCAGCTTTTTAACGCCGTTTGATGCAGTCGCGCCAGGTACTGCTCATACAAATTGCTATAGCTATATGTTCTGCGCTTTGATACGTGACTTTTGCTCTTTGCTGTTGTAGCGGTTTCACACGGTGCGAAACGGGTCATTGATAGTGCTGATGACGTGGGTGTGGATGCGGTGCTTTCGCGTGAGCACGACATATTCAAGTCGCTCTGGGGAGGTCCAATCAACCTTGAGGCACTACATGGTGCTCTGAAGAGTAAGGAAAAGTAAGTCGGAGCGGCGTGTTGCAAGCTTCTCTTTCCTCATCTTATAGTTGCTGTGTTCATGGTGCGACTGCTTCATTGAGAACGTAATATTTAAACTTGTCCACAATTTGGGCGCGTGATCCAAGCATGTTTGTTTCCAAGTCCTGCTAAGAATGGATAGGGTGCTTGCGTGGACACGTGCTACATTTCAGATATGGCGAAATTTGGAGCTGACATGTATGTGGCTCACTGGTGAAAGATACGTTGACGTCAATGTGTTATCGCATGCTGTGGACTATTGCGGCCAATTGAAGATGACGAGAACGATTGAGAAGTCGCGATGGCACGATGCGCGGACTGTCAGCTACAGGTAAGAGGGGCAAAAAAGACGGTGGCGTACCCGTGTATATATGCTGAGCCGACAAAAGGAAGCAAAACGGCGAGCGGCAGCCGGCGCCATAGGTAAAACGTTTGGAACCTCCAACGGTGTGGACTTTATTACGAGGGTGAATGGACTGGCTAACGAAGATGGTCCGTTATGATAGCGGAAATGGAGAGTTATTTATTGAGAACGAAGCGACGCTCTGAGGATGCTGCAAAGTTTGACCGCTGGCTTGGCCGGAGCTCACCAAATGACATAGAACGGTTTGGCGCTGAGTTTGCTGCTCGATCTTATCACAGGACCGACGTACGCATACAACAAGCACATCGGCTTCTTGCCTTTTGCAAGCAATGGCGAACATGGTGTGGCATTTACGAACATGTGTGACTTGAAGCAAATGCATGAGTCGTTCAGCCAAAGCACTCTATCGACGATCGGGCGGTGACCGGAAGACAAGACACGCACGACATGCTTTGCAGTGCTGTATACGAGTCTGCACCTTGTCGCTCCATGCACACATGGGACCCACAACCTGTCCTGCAATCTGAGAAAGCCATAAAGGAAACAGCTTCCGATGCGCGAAGAAGGTGGTGTGGCCGCGAGATTTCTCGATCAGAATGGATGGCTGGGTCAGCCACTCACATGGTCTTCAGTCATCATGTTGTGGTGCACAAACGTCTCAGTTGACGAAGTAGGCATCTCTAAGCTCGTTGGCCCGTCGTCGGTGACACTGGTTCTGTTCCGATGTCGTATCTGTGTGGTGCTTAGCTGTTCGAGGGCGTTTGCGCCGCCTGCATTCTACTGCCAGAGAATGTGACCCTCATAGGCACTGAGATCGTGGGAGCAACGTCCGCCGACTACGTCGCTACTTCTTGTAGCATGTCTCAAGCATGTTGCATGATGTGACTGACTTCCGAAGGAGACTATTGCACGGTGACCGTTGCCCAATAGGTGTTTACAAACAGTGTTATATCATCGTCACTGCCATCTACGACCGACCGGATACCGTGGACGGGTACGCGATCTCACAAGAATTCACCATTTTAGCAAACCGAAGCGAGTTAAGCGTCTCGTCACGGTGCTCCCCTAGCGGCGACAGGTTGCAGATCATTAGTGTCTTGCTGTCTCCGCCAAGCGAGGAACTCAAAAAATGTGTCAACTTGGAATCACGGAACGGGACGTGCGTCGACTGCACAAAACAGGAGAGGCGAATGTGGTTAGTCGTTCCGCACTAGCCGACACACACAAAGCGATTGATCGTACCTTTTTTGCGAGGGCACAAATCACGTTGCCCAATGCCGAAAGACTCTTGTTAATCGATGTAGCCTCCTTCAGAAGCTCCTTGTTACTATCGCTACCCGACTTTGACAAACGTTCGGATCCCTACGAATTCACCATGATGTCACTACCGCTTGTGCATGCAACTAGCATAAGACAAAGACACGGACAGCGTACCGCCAGGTCGACAAGATTTATAACACCTATTCGTTGGTCCCCGGTCAGCGAATTGACCCCGCGTAGTCTGAATGCAAACCCAATGTTGTATGTCAGCGACTTGGTAGACCACCTATACCCACACGATTAAGACCCTCATCCATCATCTTTCTGTAGGAAGCGCGTACCTGAACGTGGTCACGCAATGACTACGTGAAGATCGGTCATTCATCTTAGTGGATTTTGTCGATCTCCTCGACATTGCTCCTCGTAAGACACGCCACGCCTCTTGCTCATTCTTCACCTCACGGACGCACGACTTTACCACAGTAGTTTTGCCCTCACTATCGAGACGGAGCTCGACCTTGTCTGTAGACTGCACAGCACATAAAAACAGATTCGCTTGTCACATTCGCAAGCTCTTTTATCGTGCACAAAAACACTTACATCAGCGGGCGCAAGCAAATCGCGAAGGGTCTCGTTGTAAATCTCGACCAATTCCAGGCTTGCGGCAAAACTCCATCCGCTTAATCTCAATTCATCAATGCTAGCGAAGATATGAGAAATCGCTCGACCAACGATCCCCATGTCTGACGATGGCTCCATCACAATAGAACCAGAGTCCTCCTCGTTCCCCTGCATCGTGTAGGTTTTCCCGGATCTACAAAGTCCCGATTACGTCAGCCGAATACGAAACGCTACATCCGAGCACAAGTGCAGTCTTACCCGGTTTGACCGTAGGCAAAGATGCACACGTTGTACCCATCCAGAGCAGACTGGATCAGCGCAGACACCTCTACAAAAACGTCTTCTTGCGTACATTTTTTGCCAAACACAAGATCAAAGCCAAAGTTGTACTTCTTGACCACGCTTCTCGATCCATTTTGACCATAGCCGACGTGCGACTTTGGGTTCGCGCTAAGCTCGATCTGTCGTCGCTCCGTGTGGTAGTCGGGAAATGCAAAAAGCTAAACATGTCGCATCAGTCATCACAATCTGCCATATCTAGACAGCATCCATCAACAAATGTACCTCTTCGCCTCGTGATCGTGTGAGCTCGTGTCGCAGAATCGGACGAACGCGGCAGAAAACGCGGATATTCCCTTTCAGTTCCATCACCTGCGTCATACGATCAACGTTTGTAAAAGACAGCGACTTTGACGGAAACGATGCAAAGCATCTACCTTATTATGAAGGCTTCGTCGAACTGCTTCGACGTCAAACACTCTCTGCTCCAACAAAGCCGCACGTTCCCGATATCGTGCAGTGACAGCTTCAACTTCGTTCTTCTTTTGTTCAAGCCGCTCCTTGAGCTCATCCGAGTGAACCAAACAGCGTCGAAGCTTCTCTTTTGCGCCAGACAAATCGCTTTCAAGCACATTTGTCCTTGATTCTTTATCGTTAAGCAATTGCAATTGCATACGCAGCTCACTCAGCTCAGCTTGCAGTTGCGAAATGTGCAACTGAGACCTGTCGACAGCTTGCCGTTGGGTCTCAATCGTCGACAAGTACTTCTTCTCATTTTCCAGCGACTGAGCGAGAGAAGTCTTTACGTCTCTGTTCTTCTTTCGCAATTGATCACACTCTGCCGCAAGATCCGTCGACTTCTGATCACCTTTTCTTACGGAAGCCAGTATTTCCTGTTTTTCCTCAACCCATTGTGTGTGGAGCGCCGTAGTCTGTCTTTCAGCCTGGTCAAGTCCATCCGAAAGCGCTGACCGCGCAGCTTCACACTTCTCGTACAGCAGTTTCAGGTCTTTCAGCTGTGCCGTCACTCGAGCTTTACTCTCTAGAGCTTCTTGCTTCTCACGAAGTGCAGTCTCCAGCTTGTCTTGAAAGTCGTTCGAAAACTGCATTGCCTCGCTCACACTGCTCAAACTAAGCCCCTGTGACATCCTGAGGTCGTCACGCATCTTCGCTGACCGATCCTGTTCTTCGTGCAAGCTATCAATGAGCGAGTTACGCTGACTCAGCTGCATCACGAGGCCTGTGACTTCACGGCACAACGACTGAATCCTTTTCTCTCGCTGGACATCGCTCGGTTCACTGAGTTGCTGCTCACTCATCAATAGCCAGCCACGAAGATCAGTCACGCACCAAGCAACCGCAACTCACACCAAGGAAGCAACCTGACTATACCACACACCTGGTTTTCACTCAGTGCGTTGATAATCTGCGTCTGCGTTTTGACGGTCGACCTCAAATACTCGAGATCCGACTGCTTGTCCTCTCGTTCGCGCTCCAGCGCTGCTGCGTGTTTCAGCAAAGCAACTGCGTGCTCGTACGTATCAATGTATCTCTGCTCCATCGCGCCAACAAGAAAACAACAAACCCTGATCGTCAGACACACGTATCCACCCTGCATTGACCTCAGTCACCCACACCTGTCACCTTTTTGTACAGATACACCTTGTCCTTGTCTGATTTGGAGCTGAGCACTCGCTCCTCTTCTTCAGGATCTCGACTCATGAGGAATTTCACCGACGACGTCACGGGTGAGTACGGCTCTTCCTCTTCCATGATGTCCTCTGTCCTGTCACTCATTTCCAGTGAGCTCCTGCACGTCGAGCGGCCTGCACTAGTCAACGTCTGTGTGCAGGGACCTGTCGCCTCTCTCCTCGACTTCTTGAGACTGTGGCTCGGCGGCGAAAAGCTCAGCGCGTACGACTTGAAGGCTGCTACGTTTTCTGTACTCAATTCACTGCTGCGGTCACTGCTCTCAGTGTGATTCTCGATAACAAAGTCGTCGAACACTTTGACTGGCGCCTGTGGTTTCTTCGGCTGTAGCACTGCACGGCGCACGTCCACTGAGCGGCGTGGACAGTCGCTCTGCTTGGACACGTCGGGCGTCACCAGACTTGCAAAGTGGCTGAGCACGTCGCCGCTGCCGGCCTCGTACCGTCGCGCGTGCTCTGGCGTCGCGTACCGACTCGAGTCCATTGCGCGCTGCTTTGCTGGTGTCAGTCGGAAGAAAGCGATGGGAATATCGCAGTATGCAGCTGACGCAGATATTTGCCGTAGAGAAAATGAAACTTGACATTCGACAGGAGTTAACATGGCTACAGTCCGAGCCTCCGAGCCCATGCACGCAGTAAGAAAGTGGCCACAACAAGGGCAAAGACAGCAGGCAGGACGGACGGACATGGCAAAAGACTGCATTCTCCTCGCACTTCCCTCAGCCTAATGCGCTTTTCGCTCCACTTCCTCACTGGTCCACGTCGGTCGAGTCGGCGTTAATGTTCATGTCGAGCTCCTCGCCTGTGAGGCGCTTGTATAGGTCCAGCACGTCCTCGGACGTCGTCTCAAAGTGGCTCGTCGGGTCGTACGAGGCGCTAATGTAGCAATTATCTTCCTTGCCATCCGCCACGGGCTCGAACATGTCCGTGATACTGTCAAAGCGCTCGAGGTACGGGCCCAGCAACTTGACACCAGGCTCTAGCTCCTGCAGCGGCACCGACGTCTCCGCCAGCGTGCTCACAATGGCAATGTAGATGCCTTGCGGCGCAACGCAGTGGGCAAACGACACGACGGCGACGTAAATGTCGTTGTTGCGCTCGGCCTGAGCAGCGGGGATAATGATCTGCAGCGACTCGGCGTTGTTCGAGTTGGGCACGGGGTGGTTCAAGATGAAGATCGAGCGGACCGCTACGCCAGTCTTGCGCACCTTCTCAGCAGGGAAGTAGGACGGGTCGCCAATCACGAGCTTCGCCTTGGCCACTTCGTTGTCGCACTTGATACCCCACGCCTTGCCGTGCTCGTCCGTGAGAATCTCGTCGACCGATCGGTTCAGCATGAACGTGCCGCCGTTGATAGCACAAAGACGCGAGAAGCTTTCGGGCAACCCGCCCAATCCATACAGCGGGTAGATATACGGCGATTTGCCATAACGCTCGAGCGAGTACGCGTAGAGCTTGATGGCACGCACGGTCTCAATGGCCGGGCGCTTGTGGTACGACTCGTCACGCATCAACGCCATCGCGTGGCCCATAAAGGTCTGCGTGTTCGCGTCCACTCCGTACTTCTCAAAGAGGTCACTCATGGGCTGCTTGAACAGGTCCATGCCCTCATACGTCTTCGGGTCGTCCTCCTCGTAGTTGTAAATGTACATGATGAGCTTGCGGAACTTGCGCTTCTCAAACATGCCCATGAGCGACGAGCGCAGCGCCTCTTCCCCCCGTTGCAGGGACCTTGTGCGTGCGTCCGCCCTTGACCACGTAGCTGCCGTCCACGTTCTTGAACTCCAAGTACCGCGTCACCTTTGTGTGCAGCAACATCTTGACCAGCTTGCCGCACGCCATGATGAACTTGGGCACGAGATCCACATTGTAGTCGCGGTCCGCGCCCAAGTCGCTGCGCGGTTCCTGCCCCGGCTTGAACTTCTTGTACAGGTTCGTCAGGTTCGGCGACGCGCACTCGCCTCCGTAGTACGCGTTGCGGTCGACGACCAGCACCTTTTTGCCGTTCACGGCCAGGAGGCCGCTCAGAATACACTCCTTGAGCCCTGTGCCCAGCACGATGACGTCGTACTCGCCGTCCGCTAGCGCCACAGTGCCCTGCGGCAGCCACGACACGTCCGACTTGCTCTCGTCCTCTGCCATTGTCGTCGCGTGCGTGCGTTCGTCTACTGGTCGCGTGGGAGCGAGGAAGAGAGCGAGGAAGGGGAGGGAGGGGAGGGGGCGGAGCAATGCGTGGAAGAAGCGATCCGTAATTTACTCGACCAGCTGCGTGGATCGACGTGTCGCAACGCGTTGGTGCGGTAATTTATTATTTGCACGGCGCTGTAATAGAATACAGCACTCGGGCGCTTACTGGTGACTACGAAGTTTTGGGTCTTATTTCAGTGCATTGCCGCTTTTGTCGAACAAAGTCAAGAAGCAGCGGCCGGGACCAAAGAGCTCGAGACATGTACTGCGGAGACGACGTCGAGGCGGTCGTGGGCGACGTGGGCACGGCGTTGAGCAAGTTTGGACTCGCAGGCGAAGACACGCCGAAGCTCGTGCTGCCGAGTACCGTCGGGCGACGGCCATTGGCCGCTGGGGAGGCCACGAACGAAGGAGCTGCTGCTGCTGTGCTCGGGGACCTGTGGCATCGACGCGATCTGGAGATTGTGCGGCCTGTTGAGGCCTGCGCTGTGGCCAATTGGGACGCACTGGAGAAAGTCTGGAGCTATGCGTTCGACAGACTGCACGTGGACCCCAAGGGCCATCCTGTCATCACGTCAGCCGCGTCGTGCTTTGCTAATGACGCGCTGCATAACGCAGCGTCTCGAGACGGCGAGAAGTACCTGGAGATGATGTTCGAGACGTTCCAAGTACCAGCGTTTTACATGGCAAAAGACGCAGTGCTGGACGCCTTTGCTTTCGGGCGGTCGCTGGCGCTGATAGCAGAGATTGGCGCCGGGGCTTCACGTGTTGTGCCAGTCTATGACGGATACGCGCTGGAACGACCGGCGCAGTATTCGTCCGTGGGATGCAATGAGTTGTCCGAGTACTTGGAGCACTTGGTGGCCACTCAGAAGCCGCAGCCAGTGGTAGTGAGACCGAGGGGGACGTTCGTGAGGAGGGCGAACGTGCAGACGGGAGCACTAGAGACGATACCATTGCCGGCGCAACTGACGACGCCACCTGCAATGCCAGCCAGCTACCTCAAGTTTGCCAAAGCAGAGTTGTTCAGAGATATGCGCGAGGCCACGTGCCTGATGTCGGAGGTGCCGCTGGAAGATCATGCTGGGGCTGTAGATGAACAGAAAGCGTCGTCGTCGGAACCTGTGCCACTGAACATACTCGAACAGCAGTACGAGCTGCCTGATGGACAGACTGTTGTGCTGGGAAGAGAGCGGTATGAGGTCCCTGAGTATTTGCTGCATCCGAGGAGCTTTGGGGGCGCTGTGGTCAAGCACGAGCAGCACGCAGCAGCGGCGGCAAAGGTCGTGGCGAAGGGTTTACACCGCATGCTCTATGATGCGGTGCATCTCTGTGACGCTGACTTGCGGAGGGACATGCTCACTAACGTCATCTTGTGTGGTGGCGGAAGTCTGACTCCTGGAGTCACCGAGCGGCTGCATGCGGAGCTCACGCGGATGGTACCCAGCACATTCAAAGTGCGCTTCACGACTGTGTCGAAGATTGAGCGACAATTCAGCGTCTTCATTGGCGGGTCCATATTAGCATCATTGGGCTCCTTTCAGCAGCTTTGGGTGTCCAAGCGCGAGTTTGATGAAGTTGGGGCCCACGCCCTGTGCGCTGACCGCTTTTGCTAGCCTACTGTAATGAAGCGGGCGCTTTGTTGAGTGCTGGGCACATGGTTTCGTCGACTTCACCCATACGTATCCATGTCATGCGGTGTTTGGCGTCATCAGCTGCTGCTTTCTCAGATTCTTGACGTCTGCTGTTGCGGGGTCGTGCAACGTGAGCTCGTATCGAAGTGACACGGATAGCTGGAGTGAACATCCTTGTTCCAAATGGATCGACTCGGATCAGGCGTTCGCCGCTTGCTTTGAAGCCGACGAGTTTGAGTAGCCGCTCGGTCTCAATGGGCAGCCACCGAACTGACGCTCGAAGCTTATCCGCTTCTCAGTATGCCACATTCCAGCCACACAGTAAGTTCATGACCAGAAAATGGCTCGATGACGCACATCAGGTACAATTGCCTAGCGCTTGTCTGCAAGTAGCACCGGTGTTGCTGTCGAGCGCTTATCTCGATGGAGCGACCCGAACCAGTTGCCACCAGCGGACGCGACCCGATGCGCCAACGTCGAAAGCTGGTCAAAGTCATGTACACAAGCAGGTTTGTTACGGGATCTGCAACGGCGCGCTCGGCGGCTTTGACCAGTAGTCCCTGGATATCTCGCCGCATGCAACAACTTCTTCACTCCTGCAACGAACAAAATGGTGGCTCAAAGCGTTGTTTGCCCGCGCATCGCTACTTCATGGGCAGCACAAAAGAGCAGGGAGCAGCCGAGCGAGGAAGACACAACTATAAAGACAAAAGAGGTGGATTAGCGCCGATGTGCTCACTGTTACGACTCCTCGTCGCTGTCGATACTCCCTTCTTCGTCTTTGCCTTTCGTCTGCTCACCACCGACGACAGGCAGGGCAATAAGCGCGATGCCGTTCTTGACCTTCAGCTTTTCCCACCGGCCAAGACGGTGCTCCTGACCCACACCTGCCACCAAAAACCGAGCTTTCGGGTCGAAACACAGAGCATTCACAAAGCCTTCTAGCGGGACCGATGCCACAGGGACCAGCGTCCGTCCCTGCACGTCAGCCTGCCACAGTCGAATCTGGCCGTCACTACTTCCGGACGCGACAAGATCCGTGCGCGGCATAACCGCCAGACTGCCAATCCACTTACCACCGTGGGCGTTCGATATGACACAGACGGGTTTCTTGCGGCCATTGAACCAAAGCGACAGAGACCCGTCGTCGCCACCGGTGACGTAGTACTCGTCCGTGATCATTCGAACGCAGTCCATCGAGCCTGAGTTGCCATAGAACACTAGCTGCGTCTCTTCCGGAATCTTCCACACGCGCACACTACGATCTCGACCGCAGCTAACTATACGCTCTTTGTATAAACTGTCCAGTCCATTCACTTCACTTTGGTGTCCAAACAGTGTCTCAATGTATCCCATTTCCGTCAGATTCCAGTGCTTGATCGAGCGGTCAAACGAGCCCGAGAACAGCGAGTGCGAGCGCAAACGGAACGCCAATGCCGACACTGCATCGCGGTGTCCCGAGAAACTTTCTAGCAGCTCACCCTTTTCGACATCCCACACACGCACGAGTTTGTCGTGGCCACCGCTGGCCAGAAACTTGCCGTCCGAGCTCACGGCCAGCGCCAAGATGCACCGACTCGTGTCTGTCGTCGCTTTCTTAGCTGCAACGGTGTCTTTCGGCAGAACCAACTTGTCCTTTGTCAACCGGGCCAAGTCCCATCGCAGCAGCGAGCCATCTTTCGCCGCCGAGAACGCCGTCTTGCCGTCTTCCAGCAGACACACACTGGTCACCGGCAGGCGATGGCCGGCCAGGAACTTGACCGAGTGGCTGCTAAACTCAAACGCCGTATACTCGACCGCCACCTTGGTAAACAACTTGCCCATGGCTTCCAGCGCGTCCTGCTGGAGTCGGGCACCCACGTGCGTCTCGACGCCGCCATCGTCGTCGTCGTCTTTGTCTTCGTCGTCGGTACCGCCTGTCTCTTGTGCCGTGATCTTGCCCAGGTACTCTTTCGCCAGCCGCAGGTGCTTCTCATGCGCCGTCTCCGCGTGCTCGGCGTCGTCGGCATCGGCGTCGTTCAACTCGCTCTCGTCGTCACTGGCGCTGCCTTCGGTGTCCGAGGCAATCACGTCGGGCTCGTCGCCGCCTTTCTTGCTACTACCCGACCAATCGAACGCGTCGTCGTTCAGGCCGCGCTGCTTCTTGCGCGGCGTCGTCTGCGCAGCGGTCCCGCGCTTGATCGCAACCCGGCGCTTCATCCTCGTCGCGCGGTGTTTGATTGGTGGACGGGTGGCTACAATGGCGCGGGCGGTGTCAGTCGTCACTCGAGCGGGGGAGCGTACACGCTTCGGTGTTGCGACTCGCGTGTGTCGGTGGTGTGTGTGTGTGTGGTGCACACCAACAAACAGCGCCTCGAACCCGTCCGTTGATGGAGGAGAACAAGTAACATGGCGAGTGCCAACGACGGAGCTGAGGTCCGCGAGGTCCGCGTGGCGGGTGAGGTGAACCGCATGATCCAGAGCGAAGTGGCTGCGCTGTACCTGCGGCTGGAGGCGCTGCGTGCGCACGTGCGCTTCCCGTCGTTTGCGCCCGTCGATCTCCCGATGGTCTTAGTACTGGGGAACCACTCGTCGGGCAAGAGCACGTTTATCAACCACATGCTGGGCCAGAGCGTGCAAAAGACAGGGCGGGCACCGACCGACTGTACGTTTACGGTCCTCGCGGGGGGCACGCGAGACGAGCGACTGGACGGCGCAGCGCTCGTGCGTCACGCGCAGTACGGCTTTGGAGACGTCGAGCGGCTGTTTGGTCGAGACTTTGTGTCGCAAGTAGAGCTCAAGGTCGTGGCCGGGAGTCAATTGCTGGACGAAGGCGGACTCATGATTGTGGATTCGCCGGGGATGATTGACCCTCCCGGGACGTCGCTCGACCGCACGGACAAGGACCGCGGCTACGACTTTAAGCGGGTGGTGCAGTGGTTTGCAGACCGAGCAGACGTGGTCCTGGTCATGTTTGATCCAGACAAACCTGGCACGACATTTGAGACGCTGGACGTGCTGACCAAGTCGTTACAAGGGATGAGCAGTAAGGTCCTGCTGATTCTGAACAAAGTCGACGATTTCCAGACCGTGCACGACTTTGCTAGAGCTTATGGGGCTCTGTGCTGGAACTTGAGCAAAGTCATTGGACGCAAGGACTTGCCGTTCATCTATACGATGTACGTGCCGCAAGATAAACGAGACGCAGTGGGCCGGTCACTGACGGCTGCGCAGCAGAAGGACGAGACGATGTTTAACGTGCCCAAGATGCTAGAGCATGAGTTTGATGGCATGCGCGGCGAAGTGATTCGTGAAGTCGAACGAGCACCGGACCGTGCGACGGACAATGTGCTGAACCTACTGAAGGCGACGGCATTGAGGTTGAAGATGCATTTGACACTAGTGGAAGCTTGTAAAAACGAGTACCTGGATTTGCGCACATTTTGGAAGCGAGCACAGACAGCAGGTATCGTGGCAGCAGTTGGTTTCACGGCATTCTACTTGATTCGAACGGTGGGCACACGGATGTCCTTGGAGCCATTGACTGTGGAAGACCTGACACAGAGTATGCAACCACCAGCAGCTCCGCCTACAGCGTCGGGTGTAGCGTCTATCAAGCCCTCTAGTACTGGTAATGCATGGGAGAAGAACTGGATAAAGCAAGTGGCGCACTCGCGCTCGCAGTTTAAGTTTAGCACGCTCTGCAAGATCGTGCTGTCGTGCTGCGTGTCAAACTTGGCGCTCTGGAAGGCGTCCGTACTCAACCTGAAGTTCAAGCGCGATAGCGTTCTTCAGTGGCTGCCCTCCACATTCCAGCGCGTGTACGGTCCGTTCCTCTGCAAGTCTGATCGCGCACATGCTGAAATTATGGCGCAGTGGAACGTCGTGCAGCCAGGTCTGAAGTTGGCTCTATCGTCTACAGAGCTGGAGGCGTTTCCCGCAATCGAGGCGATGCACATGACGTTTTTGGACGATGTCCTGAATTTGCACGTTCCGCGACTCGATCGTTGTGTGCGTGATCGCACGGGAGATGACCACGTCTACCTCCGCTTCAAGCATCGTATCAACTTTGCGTCAAGCAGATCCGAAGCACCGACTCCATCTGCAACAGAGTTGACGTGAACGTGTCATCCCATGAGTTGAACACGGCTCACACACCGAATGGGCGGATAGGCACAGCACGGATAATCACGACGATCCGCAGGACACAAAGTAGGATCCGTGTTAGTAGCCATGAATGATCCTGATGCAGCAAGAATTGATCGGAACGAGTAAGGCGCAAAGTGGTTGTCGGTATTGCTGAAGCAGTGCAAACACGACATGAAGCCCGAAGGTATGTTTTTTTCGACTAGTCAGTGACAACCAGATATGACGAATAAGTATACTGGTAAACATGTCTGTCACCCGACAATGCGTCTTCATTGCTGCAGTTGCTGCGAATTTTGTCGATGTAGCCATCCGCCAACAATGACTCGACTGGTGCATCATCCACCTATCGCTTTATGCCGTTGCCGTTGCGCTGAGGATGCTGCCGATCTTCTCACACTCGTCATCATACCGCGTCTCCACGTCAAGCACTCGGCGGTGGAACCGATGAACGGGTGGAGCTTCAACGTGAAGTCTCGTTGCATGTGGCAGCCCAATCGCTTTCCCGGTGCAAACGACTTTTGCACAAATCGAGAGGAAACTGAACGAAGTGCAGCCCAATCGCTGCCACTGCCGTCCTGCACGCACAATGTCCGATCCTCCTGAGTGTTGACTGATAGCCAAGTCTGAGCTTACGACACACTTCACAGCCCATGTGCACAAAGATGGTCTCAATATGTGTTGTCATTGCCAGCAGAAACACGTGCACATGATCGTTACGGAATCCGTAACTACCAGAGTTGACAAGTTCAGAGACAACAATTTTAATGAGACCCGGTCGCGTATGACTCCAAAGCTTCACATTCCAGTCAGCGTCACAGGTCTCGAAAGTCGCGCGCTCGTGGAATGGATCAATGTGCAACCTGTACTAGGGTGACCTGCGAACGGCTCACACAACACTGCTCAGAGCATGCGTTTGACACGTATAAGCTTCTGTCTTTCGTGCTGACGATAAAAATGGTTGCTGAACCACAAGTGGTTTACCAGTCGATCCTGGTGGAGAGCCTCTTCGGAATCATTTTAGCTGCTGCCACGAGCCTGAACTGCACTTCCACGTGCTTCGCGTCATTTCCACGCAGCGCTGGCTACACTGCACCTAGACCGAGTCAATTTCGTTTTGCACCTTTGTCACAGGTTCCCCACACAGTCTAAGACCCTTGCTTTGTTTGCAATCATCATCCACGTCTCGTACGGCTCCACCAGTCCAATTGCTGGGCTCCATACAGTCCGCACTTTAGTAAGCCGGCACTGCTTCGAAACGCGCGATCGCAGAGGCACGGCTGCTTCGTATTGCTGTTAGCTCACACAGTCGGCTAGTCGAGGAAGCAAGATCGCCAGGAGATTATTCAGGCAGTACGTACGGCTTCCAGTCGGGCAAAAGCACGCGCACGTCGATCTCGATACTTCGTCGAGCGCGGGCCACGGTTAAGTTCCACTTCCAGCCGTCGATGCCGGCTCTGTCTCCAACTGGTCGATGCCGGTTCTTCTCCACGTCCCTAACATGCAGAAGGGGTACGTTTTCGTCCCGCCTAGTTTCCACTCCTCCCCGTTTTCCAGTCGGCTGGCCCAGGATGACCGGTCGATGCTTTTTGCTCAAACTAGCACGGTCAACTCACCTTTTCACCAGCACAAACCAACCAGCGGCCTCACTCTTACTCGTCATCTAGTTGACCCAGTTGACCAGGACTTCAACTTCTTTCCATAATGCATCTTGTGCAGAATCGCTTGCCAAACCATATCGACACTCTCCGTCTTTGCAGTGGCCACGGAAAAAGACAGTGTGTCTTTCTGCGCACTTTCTACACGAGAATGCCGTCGTATGAAGCTCACTGCTGGGATGTCTTCTTCTTGACTGTACGTCTTGTGTAGGTCTGCGTCACACGCGTACTGTCGCACAACTGGTTTTTGCTCATCCAACCTGCACAATAAGCCTTTTCGTGTCGCTTTCGCTTCCTCGTTCGCCTGCTCGATCGATCATCCGCGCGCCCAATACACTTCGACGTCCACTTTTGCCAAGTGGGCTTGGACCGAGGCCCCCCTTGCAACTCGGCGTGGGTCCTTTGTCATCGCAGCTGAGCACAGATGACGCACCTTGTCAGTTTGCTACTCATATCTGGTACGAGATGTGCTGGCTCAATCAAAACTAAGAGCCATGACTTCTCCACCAGCTCGCTGCGTCAGGGTCATTGAGCCGCATGCGCCTGCGATCAATGCACACCACATTCTGGTCAACAGCACTGTCTGCCACCTCGTCGTCGTCATGTCTTGTGCCAAGAAGGTACCTCCTGCTCTTGTCCTCCGACATTCGCCACAGTAGTGTCGTCACGTGCAGGTCCAGCGCGGGATCGTTGGCATGGCTGCTACCAGTTCATAACAAAGACTCCACGAGCTATCGTTTACCTTTCGTTCTGACCGGCGGTTAAGCTGGTCCAGCAGTTTCGTGCTGATTAGTATCAGAATGCAAGTTCCGGATCCGCTGGCTGTACGGTAATTGCAGAAGTACATGAAACCAAACAATTGTGGTTCACGGGCAGCGGTCGCATGCGAACGTGCATGCACACGCACGCCCGAATCGCGTAAGTTCAAAGTTGCGATTGCGACGGTACTGTGAGACGCTGGATCGAGCCATCCGTGCCGCTCGTAAAGAACGCATCCTTCGTAGCAACAGCATCGGTCACCCCCCACGAAGAATTTGTCTGCAGTTGCAATCACACGACAGTATCAGCATGACAAGCGCCGGGAGACGGTGAGCGGAAGACTAAGCGCGTGCGTACCACATTGATGGCCACGTTTGACGCGGCATCGCCCAGCAAATTTGTTGCAGCATCGCCTAAGAATGAGGGCTTGACATGCACCTTGCTCAGACAAACAACTTGCCGGAACAGAGGTAGAGACCAGATCTTGACGTCCCCACCAGCAGATCCAGATAACATGCAGTCGCCACTCGGGTGCAACACGAGTGTCTTTATCGAAGTCTCGTGCGCTTTCGAGATTGTGTGCAAGACGCGTCGCTGCCTCATGTCGAAAATGCTTAGTGCACCACTCGCACCACCCGTGATCAGCAACTGATGGGACGATGAAAACACGACTGCAGTGGCACCTGCCGGGTGGCACGACGGCGCCGCAACGACGGCTTTTGATGTTGGCAGGAGTGTATCCCACACGCACACATTCTTCTTCCTGTAAACAAGCGTGCCACCATTAGATCCGCATCGTCACGCACACATGATAGCGAGCGAAGCTTACTCAGACGATAGCCCCACAGTGGCAATGGTGCTACTCGAGTTAAGAAATGCGAGTCCCTTGGCCCCCTTGTCATGACACTACACACAATCGGCGGCACGACCCCGTTAGTGACCTTGGTTTGAACAGGCAAGGAATGTTCCGGGCTGTCAGGTGATCTACTTACCATCATCTCGCGGTAGTACGGCACTCGATCCCACTCGGAGAACTTCCACAGAAACAAACGTCCCGGGGCATCCACAGCACCAAGCTTGACAGAATCACAGCAAACACTCATAACGTCAATGATCGGTAACCTATGACAGCATCTCTGGTGACCAGTACGTACTTGCTGACCGAGACTGTCGAATCCTAGCGCCTTAATGCTTCGCCAGCTGGACGACATCGACGGGCCCGTTGGATAGGGCTACACACAAGCATGTCAGAGCACGTTAGACACAAAGGCGGGCAATGCCGAGTAAGTACACTGCCTACCGCCACGACGTCTTTCGTTTGAAAAGCACAAAGTGCACTGAGCCGATCATAGGACCATAGATGCACGTGCCCTTTGTGGTTTCCGGATACAAAGAGCGGCAAGAACGGATGAGAAGTCAAGGCTGTTGGCTTGAACCTCACCAGCTTTGGCTCGGACGGAGATGCGGGCATTGAGCTTCGAAGAGGCGAGGGCGAGCTGTTGCTAGCAGTAGTCAAACTTGCAGACGGAGACAGCTTTTGACGGAGGCTACTTCCGAAGTTGCCGCTCTGCATGGCGTCTGTAATGTGCTTGCTCTTCGGAGACGATGACAGAGATGCAAAGTGCAACGGCTTGTGCGGGCATGCGTACATGCCCTTGGACTGGAATCGGCTGCCGTCACCATAGGTCATGTAGCTGGCGCGGAAAATACCTTTCTTGCTGCAGACGCTTATTTCAGCGTCGTCGCCGGCGGCACGATTAACACACATCGCTTTGATGGTATTCTCGCTGCGATACACACATTGTACAAGCGCAGCAGTGGCCGAGCGCGCCGATGTCATACGCCGTTTGACTTGCTCGGATGCATTCGTGTCACGCAGCAAAAGTACCGCGTTTTCCTCACCGGCCGACAGCATCATTTGTTGGGAGCGCGTGGATGCAGCTTTCCGTGATATAGGCTCGGGTAGTCGTCCCCACCAAACTTCCCCGTCGATCTTCTCACAGCAGTGTTCCATTCTTGCGTTAAGACGAGACAGAAACTCATTCCTGTCCGTAAACAGTTCCACAAGAAGAAGCCATGGGCAACGCTCGCATTCACATTTCAGCAACTGGCGCCCAACGTCATGTGGCAATGCAGACACTTCAGGTGTATCCGAAAAAAACGCACGGGAGCTACTAGGCGAGCCACTTTGCGCTGGTGAAGAAGGTACATGTGGTGAACCCGTGGAACTTGCACCCGGACTCGTGGCAGGGTCTGAAATCGGCAATGGGTCGAAAAATAACTTAGCCAGGTCACATAGCAAATGCTTTGACGCAAAACGAGCAAGGCGGTTGCTATAATTCTCCCAAGCTTCAACAAGTCTGCTCGCCAGTGTTTTCGTGGGAGACGCTATACCTTCTCCAGTAATTCTCGACAGGTGAGCTGGCATGGCATCAGCCGCCATCATCAGAACTAGTCCCCAGTACGGACAGTATGAGAACTGGCTCGGTGATCCACGCAGTGGCATGGAGTGATGCGACCTGCTCATCTTCATGGCTGCCGTGAACTCAGTCAGCGACACATCTAGTTCACGCACCGTCTGGTACAGCGCTGGAATGTCTTGTTGGAAAAGCGACAACGCGTCCAACTCTTTTGCCGGGGTTGTCGCTGAGTGGTGCATAGAGGCACAGCTTACACATGCATCACCCCTGATCATATCATCGAGCGCTTGTTTTGACCGAGGAGTCAATCCGGCTTTATTCGAAAAGATGAGGCCGAGCACCCGATGAAGACAACAAGGGTTCTTCGAGTAGCGACAGCACACAAAAATGACACTGTGAACCGCTGCAGCGACAGCGAATACTGAGTCGCAGTTTGCTAGTGTCGCTCTCTGTTGTGCAGGCTTCGAAAAGAAGTACTGCGACCAAAGCAGGAGTTGCGTCGCCATGGCTAGCAAATCAGAGCAAGTTTGGTCCACTTTGCGCGCGTGCAGCCGATCACTGATAGTAGACGAGAGGTCCCCCGACGCTACTGTCGCAATTCCTTCTGCAACGGCTACAACCAAATCCAGGACCGATTCCGTGTTTGCAAACTTTGGCAACAACGATCCTTCTGACCGGCTCCACCTCGACACCAAGAAGTCCAAAGCAGCAAGGCGATCAGAGTGAACCAACGACTCTACTACTGCTGCTCGGATTCTGTACAGCAAATGCTCCTTGCTTGTTTCCGGTACTCCAGGTAGTTCGTAATCACCACCACGGTGTACGATGCAATGGATCTCTTTGTCCAGACAATCCTCGAGGTCGAACCGTGTCCCGGATGCTGGTGTAGCAGACATTGTTGTCGTCTCGTGTAACGACTTCAGAAAGGCGGCGCACAGATGATCAACCTGGCGCCCAGTAGCGGCAACGAGAACCCGTTGACGGCAGGCTAGAAATGTTGCTGTATCTGAGCTTGAAGCGCGCTCCCGACGAAGTTCCTGGACAAAGGAGGCGATATCGCGCTGGTGAAGCAGTGCAACGACTCCAAGGCCCGCATCTTGGAGACGAAGCAATGCCGTCGTGTTTAACCTCAGGACTCTTTTTTTAGCTCCAGCTTCATCGGCGCCATCGTTTTTCGAAGAAAACGGATGAGGTCACATGCACCAATAAGACTGTTCCCAAAGGCAGACCAATACATACCAGACGGGGTACACGAGTTGTCACAGTCGCCAAACACACTCCGCATGTCGACAGCAGGTCGTGTAACCAGGACATCAATGGCATTACTGGTCTCTCCCAGCAAGTACTTCACAAGGAAGCACATGTAAACATCCCCACATTGGCGTGCCTTTTCATATACCGTCGCGCGGAGAAACTCAGCCGACACACATTTCGATTCTGATGGATCGGCAGGTGTTGCCGCGATCGAGCTCGTTTCGCGTTGAGCAGATGTTTCACGAAAAGCGGTAGCCATACCGTTGCAAGAAGCCTGTGAAGAGTCTTCGGTACCGGAGCTGTCTTGATCGAAGTCCCATTTCTCGGAAACTCGAGCTATGAGTAACGATAATACAAGTGTCGCGTCCGCTTTCTTAGCGACTGACACCGCTTCGGTAACTTTGCTGCCGAGAAGAAAGAATGCTGCTGAGAGCTCGTATCGCTGTTTAGCCTTCAACACGTACGCATTCTTGATTGCCGCGTTCTTCCAACGCAAGTCTGAAAAGTCGTTACCCAGGAGATCAGAAATGCGCGACTCATTGGCCATCTTAAACAAGCTTGCCAGAAGTCTTGTCTTTCCCAAAAGCACGTAGAAAACAGCAACTGCGAACGGGTTGCGATTCGTGGCATACTCGACTTGTGCCGCTTTCTCCAAAAACTGGATCAGCTTGGCTGCACTTTTCAGCCAGAATGGTAGCCGCAGACGTCTCATCTCTCTCCAGCCCATTGTCCCACCAGGAAAGCATTCCTGAAGCAATTCTGGCTGGTGATCACTAAGTGCCGCCCAAGCTATTTGCTCAGAGCACAATCCATCGATTACCGGGTACCCAGACACTGATGCCGTACTGTCGTTGACTGCCCGTCGCTTCGCCACATTCATGCCGTCTGTAGTTGACTGAGCGCTAGTCGCTGGGCGTGCTTGCCAAAGTAAGCCGGTACGAAAACGAAGGGCGGCTTCATCTTTTTGACGGCCGCTATCACGTTCCCAGCTCACGATGTTCTTGACACCAGCAACGATCGTAAGAAACATGTCCGATTCTTCGCTCGTCATGAATGTCAATGAACACTTGTGCTCGCTGAAAAACACAGAAAACGCGTCTGTTTCCAGTACCGACCTGACATTCCCTGTCGAACAATCTCCCTGAGAGTCATGTGTAGAAAGCGGAGGTCCGAACAGCATGTCTGCACGATCGACACCACTTCTGCTGGCTTCGTACGGGTAGGGCACTTCACGGCTCATTGTGAATAGATCGCTTGCCCTAGCAAGGGTAGCGGGAGCTTTGGAATGATTGACATCCCTGGTGCCCCGACTCTCTTTTCCTCTCAGATAGGTGTCCGACCGCTCGTCACACTTGCTTTCGGCAGACGCAGGATTCCCAAGTAGCTGGCACAATGACAACAGGGGAAGAGTCCGCAGCAGCGTGTCAGGAGTCATTTGCAAATAGCACATCTCCTCATGCTCTAGGACTTTCATCTTCACATGCTCAAGGACCTCTCTCAACGTCTCGAACGACCCTCGCGCTAGCAAGTACATCAGTGTTATCGGGTGATGCGCAGGAAAGACTTCCGTCTGCGGCTGAGAACAATCCGCTTCGTAGCGAGGAGAGCCTGACGGCGATTGGACTGACGGTGATCCAAGTCCACTAATGTATCGAATGTTCAAGTGCGCCAAACTGGATCCGATACGGAGTAGAGCGTAGGGATGATCCGTGAGCGAAGATACTTTCTCGGGCCTCATGCTAAAACGACTGAACGACCAGGCGACGCTCCACTGGTTTGCTGTCGCTAGCACTGAGGGTTCACATTTCAGCACACCGATTGTCGTGGTTGATAGGAACAGGAGATGACAAACCCGCTCTGGGGTCAAACGCGGAGTCCACTCCAACGACACCACTTGGCCAAACTTTTTGTACGGAACCTCAACGACACCTTGCAATAACTTGTCGATTACAGACAGAAAACAGATTCGGTCATCACCTCCGCTGCCTTCACACAGTATAGCCACGCGTCCACACGAGCTGAAGCTGAAGTGCTTGAACAGAGGCCGTTCTCCAGTAGCGTGAAAAGCCACGTGTGAACTTTGCGTCTGACTAAACGCATTCAGTAAGCAGCCGACATCAACCCGATGAACAGACTTCACTTCAAGCAAATCGTCGAGATCCGCAAACGTCCACAGCCTTAATTGCGCATCTGCGTCAAAACTAGCAAAAGCGATCTCAAATGTATTGACCAGCGGAACACAGGCGATACCCAGCACCCTTGCTCCAGGCAAGACAACCGTTGTTTTACGAAACAACTTTACGGAAGAAGCATGCGCGTCCGTGGTTGTCGCCTCGAACGAAAAAACCCAGACAGTTATCGTCTTTCCATCTTTGTGCATTCCAATCACCATACTAAAATCCGTTGTGACATTACTTGTCCCTACCATTGCTGGCATCGTGGAGTGCATGGAAGTACCTGACCACTCAGCCTTGACCGAGTCGGGAATCGGTACACATATCAGTTCATCCAGCAGTTCACATTTGCTACTTTCGTCTACATAGCGTACTGTCAGTGCATCACGCCCCGCGACAGGTAGTATAGCTTGTCTGCGAGGTACGGACTGCTCAGGTAACGAGTCTTTCATAACATTCGAAACCGGATGCATGCCGGTAGGTGCCACCTTCGCGACGTGTAAACGACCACCTGCGAACAAGTATAGCACGCCTTGCTTTTCATACGATGCTGTATGTGTTACAGGGTCAGCAATCTCGTTTCCGACTTCCTCGTGACATGCGACTTCGAGCTTGCACAACGACCTACTTGTTCGAAAGGTGTGCAAGCGCCCGCCAATATTTGTGGTAGCAATCCTCATATCTCGCCCGACCAAGTCAGTGTGCGGAACCGAATGACGTCTTGTCGTTGGGTTTACAACCGAAAGAAATGCGTCCTGAACGTTTGCTCTCTCCATGGCACTCATCATGCTATTGCACATGACTGAGACTTCGCAGCGTTGGACGCTATAGGATGCAGACTTCGTGCAGGTTCCTGCAGGGAAGCTACTAGGTCCAAGCATCAATCGTGCGCAATACAAGCGACTGTCAGCTGTTTTCTGCTGGAGCAGTAGCTCAACGAAAAACGCTGTCGAGTCGCTTTTGTGGCCTGTCACACCATACATAGTATCAGCTGCGGACAAAGAAAGGAACATCGAGGCTTCAATGCCCACCTTGGTAATCCGACGAGCTGACGCGATAGACGTGTCCGTCGACGAGTTGCTCTCGTAGGCCATCGTAACTTAGAAGAAGGGATACTGTAGGAGAAACGCCCTGCGCATCAAAACACCGTTCTAGTCAATATCCAATTGCTGCTTGATGAGAACTGCACGCACCGTAAACGGAACTGACATCTCACGGAATATGCAAAAGACACCACTGCTGAGAACGGCATACAGCAAACGAACAGAAAAGGCTTGTTCGAGTGCTACGTTCCCGCAGATAGGTGCTTCTCCCACATGAGTGTCTGCTGTGGCACCTCTGCGATCGGCAAAGAGCTTGCTATTGGTTTGGTCGATGCTACTCTTGCGCTGACCACCAGATTCAGCTTGGCGCGCTTCATTCAGCGATCCGTAGCCATAGTGAAAAAGACAGAGAGCATCCAAAACGGCACTTTCGCTCAACAATGCCTCTTTTATCGAAGACACAGGCTTTGACGCTTCTCGAGCCCAACTATGATCGACCAGACCAAGCATTTGGATGCGGCTATCGGATCTTACGCCATCTATATCGAAAGGTGAGCAGCAAAAGTCTACGGCAGCAAATCGCTTCCACAACACGAACGATCGCAAAGGAGTGGATATCTCTCTCCAGATCGACACGTTTCCAGCTCGATCAAGAGTAAATAGCATCTGAGAAGCGCCCGCAGTGGTTTCTACATTCGATCGCGTCTCATAAACGTTCGCATCTTTCGACCACGTCAGACACACCAGAGCACGCGTGTGTGCTAGAAACAGTGACATCGGCGTGCTTGCGTGTGCTGACAATTTATTCAAATTCCACACCTTGACGATCCGATCATGATCGCCTGCCGTTGCCACATACCGACCACTTGGCGCCACATCAAAGTGACAAGCCGGCACGACTGGCACTTTTCCATTACCTGACAACGTCACTGTGCGTTGCAGATAAACCTGCACCGAGTCATCCACTAGCTTCCATATCGACAACTTCTCTCCGTATCCAAACAGAAACAAATCGTCTCCATTCTCCACCCACTCCAAATGACTTAGCAAGTGGTCGTCGCACTGCCAACGCATAGACTCTGCCCACCGAGGCAAGTGAAGATGCAAATGCGTCCTCGCGTGATCGTCCACAGGTCCCTTGATAACACCTCGTCTAGCCGCTGGTGACGCTCTTGCACCTTTGTCGTCCATATTTGGAGCTCTCGAGCTCTTTGCAACAGCTGCTGTCCGGCTGGACGTGGCACTCGCCGGCCTCAGGAGCACAGCATGGCCTTGTTCGGTACACAGAGCAAAAGCGCCGCGCGCTGTTCTTGTGCTGGGATTAAACCTCACGCATTGAATCGGTCCATGGGCGTTCCACACCTGCCACAGCTCGTACGTCGACGCGCGTCGCTTTTGGTCGTGCGCTACAGAATTTGATGGGGTCGTTGCGGACGGACTTTCCACTAGAAACACGAGCAAAGACGCAGTGGCGTACAGCAGATAGCGAATGGACTCGATCTCGGCCTGGCACACGAGTCGGTGTGTTTGCGGCCCAGGCGGCGGCGCACAGACAGCGACGATCGCGTCCTCTACGTGGAAAACCATTGCGCGCGGACTTCCGTGCACGAAAAACGCTATCGATCGATCGATGCTTCGTCCGTGTTGTCTTTTATAAAAAACAAACAAAAAAGCAGATTGTTTTTCACGTCTTGTGATGCGTGGCAACATCGTTTCTATTGCTCTTCGCTCGTTTCTAAGCGTGAGGAGATCATCACGTGCAGAGGACGAACGACAGTGGATGTCGATCGGTCATATCACCGAACGATAGATACACTCGCGACTGGTTCTTTATGGCCAAACACAGCGCCAAGCGCGTGCCCGCGTCGCAAGACGCCTTGGACGACTTTGTGACGACGCAGCTGCTGGACAATGGCATGGACGTCATTGCAGCAAAGATCAACGTGCTGCGCGAGAAGCTGCTGCGATGTGGGGATCGAGAGAGCGACGCTCAGACGCACAAGAACAAGTGGGCGCGACAGCTCCAGCATTGGCTCGCTCTCGCCTGTCGGCTGCTGGCGAAGCAGCGGCGCCAACTGAACCACTGCATCGAGCGGGTCGAGAGGGATTACAGTCGCGGCGTCATTGGACTTGGAACAGCCACGCACAAGGACGCGGACGAGGAGACAGACGGCAATCTCTACAGTCGAACGTACGCTCGACCGAGGACCGGTAGCTCCTCAATAGCTGCAGCACCAGACAGCGATGGCTACGTGGGCATCGTAGGGCCGCGGAAAGACGACGTCCTTGCTGTCGGCTGCCACGTTGCAGCGAAAGTGGCCCGCAGCCATGAGCTGTGGATCATGGCGCGCGTTGTGAAGTTCAGCGCCGAGTCGAACACGTACGAAGTCGAAGACGTTGACTCGGGCGACGACGACGATGACTTCGATGCGTCAAGGAGACGCTACATGGTCTCGTGGCAGCAGGTGGTCGAGCTGCCAGGCGACTCGCTTCCGGATGGAGCGTGGATCCAATACGCTGTGAACGAGCGCGTGATGGCCATGTACCCCGACACGACCAGTTTTTTCCGCAGCACCGTCCGCGTGCCGAATCCGAAGGTCAGCTGCGTGTGCATTGATTGAGCAAAGCAAAAGGGTGAGTGGACCGTACAGTACTGCAGGTAGCTAACGTGTCGATGTGCTGCTTGGTGCTCGCAGGGTGCGCCGTACGTGATCCTCAAATTCGACGAAGACGAGGACGAGCACGGCTTTATTCCAGACCGGAAAGTGCCCTTCCGCTTCGTGGCTCCCCTCAAACCGTGGCACCATAAGTGACGGGCGTCGTGATGTCGCCATTCGACGCGAGAGGGTCGCGGCGCATCGGATCCTGACGGTCGACCCGTACCACGCGCTACGACGTACGACGTTCTGCTCTTGGCCTGACAGCCATGAGCTCGTCATCATACACCACGACACAGCAAAAGGTGCTGCATGTGCATCGGCAGTGCCGCGTGTAGACAACCTGCGCCTCGCGCTGTAATAGAGTTGCGGACGGCAGACGCTGCGGACGATCGGTAGGGTCCTGGAACGACAGAGGCAGTCAGTCGCCCACTCTGTATTTGTACACAAGAACATGGACGTCAATCTGTTTTGTTACATTGGCTTAACTTCTGCCTACGAGTGGGTTGAGAGATTATCCGGAAAAAAAGTCACGCAGCGATCGATTGGGACGCCGCAGCGGCTGTCACTCGATCCAGACACACTGCATCGAGCCACAACGACATGTGTGTGTGTGAGTGTGAGAGAGTCACTCGGGATCGCGTGAGTGTCGCTCGTGCATCTAGTAGTCCTGCGACGCCGACGACTTGCCCTTCTTCACGGACGACGCCGACTTCTTCGGCAGCAGCACCGAGTGGATGTTGGGCATCACACCGCCCGACGCAATCGTCACGTCGCCCAGCAACTTGTTCAGCTCTTCGTCGTTGCGGACGGCCATCTGAATGTGGCGAGGAATGATGCGCGTCTTCTTGTGGTCGCGGGCGGCGTTGCCGGCGAGCTCGAGGATCTCAGCGCACAAGTACTCGAGCACGGCGGCCATGTACACGGGGGCGCCACCGCCCGTACGTTGAGCGTAGCGGCCCTTCTTCAGATACCGAGCGACACGACCCACGGGGAACTGCAGACCGGCCTTCGACGAGCGCGTGCTGCCTTTCCCCTTCTTGCCCCGACCTCCCGTAGCGGCTTTTCCTTTTCCAGACATTGTCGTGTGTGTCGCGTGGACTGTATGAAGCGGTCGTGACCGAGTGCGAGTGGATTGGAATGTGGCCAGCCGTCCTGCCGCGTCGAGCGCGCGGGGTCAGTGACGCAGAGACGCGCGCGCAACGCGCTTGGCCGACATGTCCAGCAGCATCGCCGACTCGGTGGGCACTTGGGTCCGGTATCCCGTGCGCGATCGCAGGAGCGAGGTCGTAGGCGAAATTTGGCGTATCGAACCATTGGCTAATATACATTTGAATGAACGTGATTGATGGATCGTGTTGCAGCGACGCTCGGATTGGCGGAACGGCAGCGCGCGAAAAGCGGAAACCCAGCGGCTTTGGGGCGGCCGACGACGACGTACAGTCGACCAGTCAGAAGCGGGTCCAGCGCGCCAAGAGCTCGCCGAGTGCCCGTGGCGAAGTCAGGTCATTCTCCAATTCACTTCAAGTCGACTACACGCGACCGCCACAACTCGACCACTCCATTACCTCCAGTGACTATGTCTGGAAAAGGAAAAGCCGCTACGGGAGGCCGTGGCAAGAAGGCTGGCAAGAGCAGCACGCGCTCCGCCAAGGCCGGTCTGCAGTTCCCCGTGGGTCGTGTCGCTCGGTACCTCCGTAAGGGCCGCTACGCCCAGCGCACGGGCAGCGGCGCCCCCGTGTACATGGCTGCCGTGCTCGAGTACTTGTGCGCTGAGATCCTCGAGCTCGCCGGCAACGCCGCCCGCGACCACAAGAAGACGCGCATCATTCCTCGCCACATCCAGATGGCCGTCCGCAACGACGAAGAGCTGAACAAGCTGCTGGGCGACGTGACGATTGCGTCGGGCGGTGTGATGCCCAACATCCACTCGGTGCTGCTGCCGAAGAAGTCGGCGTCGTCCGTGAAGAAGGGCAAGTCGTCGGCGTCGCAGGACTACTAGGCGATGGATTATTGCGCTCAGTGTGTGCAGTGCTGGCAACGGTGTCTGTGAGCGCGACTCTAGCCGCGGTACCAGTGCGTGTCTAGTCATTGCTACGTGAGTAGTGCTTGGTGTCACCACCTCCCTGATGTTTTTCAACATCACCCATTTGGCGAGAAACTATGTGCAAGTAGTAGTAGTAGTGGTAGACAGAAGAGGATACGAGTCGGAAGATCCGAGTGTAGCACCGAAGGATCGACGAAAAGACTGCCAAGCGGCGCCGCGCTATCGGCTAACGCTCCTCTGTGTACAGTTGGTAGAGTCAAACGGTAAAGAAAGGTCCGGATGCTCTCTGACAGGTTGACCGTATGCGGTATGTGTGTATGCGTGTGTGTATCTGTCGACTATGTGGCCAGCCAAACTCAAACCATCAACTCTAGACTCAGACCTCAAGCAGTGATCGATCATTGTACTTTTTTGATCTCCTCGGTGATGGCTGGACGTCCAGTTTTGCGACATGTTTGCTCTAAACGAATCTCTTCGGCCTTTCACGAAGACTTCAACAACTCGACTGAGTACCAGTGATACTTCTTCCCGAGGTTGCCACTCACTACGTAGGTAGCATAAGGGCCTCTGCTTACCGTCGCTTATCAGCGCGTGCCGTGAGACGACCCTCTTCCTGCGGTCGCCCACTCAGCACGCACAATGGTCCGAAGGGTTTCGCTGAACTGGAACATGAAGTTGAACTGCTTGTCGCGCTCTTCGCTCGACGCGCGGATCTTCTGCTCACAGTCGGCTAGAAGAGCGCCTAAGCCCGTCACGGTCTGCATCAGCATGGGGTCTCCACTCGAAACAGCCTCCTCCACGCCTTTGCGGAGCTCTTGCGCTTGGACCTCGAGCTCGCGTATGTTGGCTCCCAGCTCGGCGCACTTGTTGTGTGACGCCTTCAGCGCCTCCGGCACGTCGCTCCACATGTTGCTGTGCTCGTTCTGCTCGGCAAAAGCACGCACCGAGTCGGAGAAGATGCACACACGAACCACCGACTCGAATCGCTTCTTCATGGCTGCGTCCCGCCGCGCGCAAAGAGTGTTGATCTGCTGCTTCAGCTGCTCCGGGACTGTAATGTTGTTCGACATGTGCACAAACGCGTGTCCTTCTTCTGCTCGCGCCGCAATCTCCGAGTCCAGTTGCATGACCAACACATTCACGCTGTTGTAATCGCTGACCCAGATCGCACGCAGCTCATCATCCTCGCCAAACTTGCTCGGACCGAAGCCTCCCATTGCTCCTGACGCAGCTCGATGTGGCACGATTGCGTCTGGATAACCTGTCTGCTGCTGACGCTGGACACTAGGGCTCCTCACAACGAGATGGCGATTGCCGCCGTGGTCTTGCGGAATCGTCTCAAACGCGGGCACGGGGCTCTGGCGCACCCCGTTGTCGTATCCCACAGATGGAATCGCACTCGCTGCGGGGCCACCGATGTTCGAACGGAACGGGTAGCTCCGAGGCGACGGAGTAGCTGGACCCAAGCGTGGGGCAGGAGGAACAACATTTGCTGGAGATGACACGCGGGTAAATCGAGGTGTCGAAGGCTTCGGTGCAGGAACGATTGACGGAGCCATCGATGCACCTGGCATCGGTGCAGACACGCTCGACGAAACCATGAAGGTGAATCCTGGCCGACCAACTGGTTGGCCAAGTTGCACATGCTGAGCTCGGCTGACACATGGATTGCTTTCGTGCGTCAGTGAGCAAGCCTCACCCGGCCGACGAGCACTCTGGTCATTTCGCAATCGTTCTTCCAGTAGCTGCTGTCGTCGCTGTTCATGAAGATATTCCTGATGCCGTATTGCACCATGACTGCGTTCTCCTTGCTGTCGCAGTGTGTCATGCTTGTGCAATTCCTGCCACCGATGCTCTGCCTGCCGCCGGCTGTTCTGCTCGTCTCGCCAGCATTGCTCGTGTCTCTGCCTTTCTTGTTGCCGTCGCTGCTCGTCCAGCTGCTGCGTTACAGCCTGTCGTCTTTGCTGATCCATCTGCAGCTGTTGCGTCTTCCAGCGCTCGGAACGCTCACCGTTCGAACGCTGTTGTTCGTTCTGCGGCAATTCCGACTGCTTTGGCTCTCGATGCTGTGCTCGTTGGTGTTGTTGTGGTGCACGACCAGACACTTGCGGTTCTCCTTCCTTTTGGCCATGCCGCTGTCGTTTCTGTATCTCGTTTTGAGTCAGCGGTTGATCCATACCCATCTTTGCTGCTGGCCGAGCTTGTTGCACGTCAGATTGTGCTGCTGTCGCTTGCTGACCACGCGTTACCTGCACACAATCATTCGCAAGCATACTGCCATTCACTGTTGGCGTTGGCGCTGGAGCTGGTATCGATCTTGATGCTGCTGCTACTGCTCGTTCACCTAAGGTCCCGGCACAAGCTGGCGTGTCAGGCTTGTCACGCATATCGTCTGATGCTGCAAGTTGGCGCTTTCGAGACTGCGTCTGTGTTGAGTCGGATGTCGAGCTCGGCAACGTCTGCCCACCTGCCGCTGCAGGCAGCGCTGCTACTACTGGAGTTGCCAATGGAGCTGCAGAATTGACCTTCGCCACAGCTCGAGCTCCAGATGAGTCGTCTACAGGACACTGCAGCGGCTTCGACACCGTCGCGGTAGTTACTGCAGGGTCTGCTGCGCCATTGCCAGACAGAGGTTGCTGCCCGCTCGTTTGCGCTGGCACACTAGCAGCCGCCTTTTGTGCTCGCATCTTGTCATGAAGCCGTAGACGGAATGTAGCTTCCATCATTGCCGTAAACTTGTCGGACCACGCAGCGTCGACGAAATGCTTCCCGCTGGCGCCGTCAATAGGAAAGCAGTGGTGCGGTGTGGTGCTTCCTAGCATTAGCACGTGCGGCTTCTTGTGGCACGTAGCACAGAAATAAGCGTCACACTCGACACACCACATGACCGGATCCTTCTTCTGACTGCAGCGCGTGCATTTACCTACAACAACAGCAACAACAACAACATCAACAACAACAGCAACAACAACAATAAGCACTCTCGTCACGACAGACATCCACCGGCTCGACAAAAATATCAATAGAAAACGACGTACGCAGCGTCTGGTGCGTATAGTGGCAGCCATCACACGTGTCGTGGCCCGTCTTGAGTCTCGCCTGGCACTTGATGCACTGGTCCGAGCTAATACCGTACACTGCACGCGCGAGAGCTCCAGTCAATCAACAGCCACGCGCCCCGTATCGCATCAGCAGTACGTACGGTAGAGTCGACGCCCATTGTCGCGTCCGCACTTGGCCACTGCGTCCGTCAAGAGACTGCTCCAGGACTCCGGACTGTCTGCCTCCGGCTCCACCACCGCTGTCATTCGCGCGGAAACGTCACTGATTCGAGTCACACTTGGCGGAGCTGAGACTGGAATCAGATCTGAGTTGACCAGCCGCTCAGGTGCATCTTCCAGGTCAAAAAATGAGCGACGACGGCCACTTGTACCTGTGCGGAGGCGTCGACTACGCTGGCGATAGCCGTCACGCCTGGTTCGACGCCGCGCATCAGTGCATGTTGATGATCTCTGCCTCTTGTGTCTATATGCTGCCGCTAGGTACGTCGCTGGACCCCGTGGCCGGCACAACGTCGGCTGCCTGCGCGTCTACGATCATCACGATGCTGTACGACTTTAACGAGCCAGCGACAAGTTGCAGCCGCCGAGGCGCCGTGCAGCAAACACATTCCCGTACGCCCGTTATGTATCTGCAACTATCGGCTGATAGCCAGTTCCTTGCTGTCCAGCGCAGCGACATCGAAGTGCAGGTCCTGCATCGAGGTACTCGAACATCCTATTGGCTCCTGTGCAGCTCCCGGGCGGGCAACCGAATCCTACATAAAGGTGTAGTCTGGAGCGCTCGCTATGCAAAGACTCCAGGCCTTCAGGACCTGTTTCTTGTGACTAGATTTGGACTCGAACACCATCGCGTGAGCTACAAGCGCCACAGCTGTGTCCTGCACAAGACCGTGGGGTTCTACACGCATAACTTTTGGTACGCATCTTCACATGGAGTGCTGCTCTTGAGCACAGGATCACGGGCAAATGAGATTGTACCATTCGTGATGGGCGGGGACAAAGTGGAGAAACTGCCCAAGCTAGTGTTTGCTACGACGGTGAACAAGCAAGATCTACGCTTGGTTGCCTTGTATGGCCGTATGTACATGGTGTACAGCGACGCCTGCTCGATGAAGCTGCTCGTATACCTGGTGGGAAGAACCAAGGTATCGTGTGTGCGCTCTATGAACCTCACGGTGCCGCCCGGGACGGCGCTCGAGTACTCGGTAGTGGACAATGTTCTCGTTTGCCACAGCCTGGACTTCAACGTGAGCTTCTTCTTCGACATAAAGTGCGATACAGACGATCCGCTCTCGGTGCCGTTGCCGATATCGTTGAGTCCGCCATGTTCGTCTTCGAACAAGAGCAAAACGACTCCAGCACAAGCGTCCAAGAACACCCTCAACGAATTGTATACGAGTGCTTTTCGCGTTGCCAGTAAAAGGGATGGCCATGAACGATGTGTTGAATCGCCGTCAAGCTCTTTGACATCGATTCTTTATGCTCGCTGCGCACGAAGCGAGACGGGCGTGGATCTGGCCAACTTCGCTGACGATAAACGTAATCTCTCATCATCCCTGTCGTCGCCGTCTTCGTCGCAGTTGGCAAAGAAAACATCAGCACGACAGCATCAGTGTGCAACAGTTGTGGAGGAGATGCTGGTCACAGACCACGAAGTCGCTGTCCCACGATTTTCTCAATGGCGCTTTTATCCTCCTGATCTAGTGCAACGATCGCGTTTGACTAACGAGGTTAACCAAATGGAATTCCGGAAGCTGCAGCTAAATTTGGCTGGAATTTGCAGGACTTGCGAATATTGTCGTGAGATTCTTCCTTTCTTGTTGCGTCGAGGTGACCGTGATTTGGCAAAGCTGTTGGTATTAAACGTAGTACGAAAGCACATTGTGGAGCAGCAAGCACATCTTTCTTCGATCGTGCAGTTACTGAGTTCTGTTCAAACGGCGTGTGGATGTGAGGGACGTCATAAGGTATCGTTATTGCTGAGTTGTGTCTGAGTCCACCAAATCTCACGCGCGCGTGGTTTGTAAAGAGCAAGGTAGGACGCAAAACTGCAAGCAATGCAAGTGTTTTGCACCCGAATGATCGTGCACACTCGCGTAGCGACGAGTGCTTCTCGTCAAGGATTGCAAAAGAGAGACCAGCTGCTCGCAATGTCAGCGGCTCCCTGATCTGTATTCAACAGACAGAGTTTTACCGCCATGTGTGGAAGAGCATACTCGACGACACAAATGTACGCTCTGGCATCCATCATTGGAAATGCAATAACCAGTGCGGTGCTTTCACGCTTGATTTTACTTCAGGTCGCTACAAAGAGCAACTTGAGTGTCTACATTGTCGAGTACATCAAGAGTTTGCGAAAGAGAGAGGTGCAAGTGAAGAACATTACGTAAGTCTCGAAGCGCGTCACGGGTATGTGGTGTGGTCGTGTGCTGATAGTGTTTGTCAGCTATCTTGCGCTGGCAGAGTGCTTCATCGCTACAGGAGAACCAGCCAAGCTCTACCAGTTCGTGCGCCATCATGTGATAGCTGATTTCGCAGAGCTTGCAGAATTGATGGTTCAGAATGGCGAAGCGTTTCCCGATCTGTTGCAAGCAGGGACGGATATGTACTTTCGGTTGAATGACAGGGCTGCCTTCTTGCGCACGCTCCTGGACCATGGGCAGGTAATCGGTGCGTGCAATATTAGCGTTTGCAGTGTGCGTGTGACCCACTTGTTGAATGCGTCTGTTCGGCTAGGCGGAGCAAGCGATCGCAATTGCTTGGCAAAACATTGGCTCCAATTCGTGCAACGCATCGGCTCTTCCAGGTGTTGCCTTCTTTGACTCGCTAGTTCGACCCGGTGAGTACGCTCGCTGCCATGCGCTATGCTCACGAACATCTGACAATGAGCGATTGTACACGTAGTCACTTCATCCAAGCAGCCGCGTTCATCATTGCAGGTGACGCAGATGCTGGGACACCTGCTGCTATTCTTGAAAGTGTGGGATCCTGCCGCGCTCGAATGTCCAAGCAAGACTTCCCTGTCAAGGCTCGCTAGTTGCGCTACTGTTCCGTTCCCAGACGAAATGATTCTGCCGAGCTCGCGGCTTACGCTCAGGAAAGCGTTTGGATTCGAAGGCTCGCGGAAGTGAGTTTGCGTGGTGTCGCCGGTCGTCGAATGCAAGGTGGCTCACTTGCGGCTGAAGGCGACGCGGTTCTTTATAACACGGCGTTGTCGTCTCGGATGAAGTTGGCCTGGCCATTTGACGATTGCAGTCTAGCTATGAAGTGCTGGAAATGTACAACAGGCTCTTCGAGTTCCACCACAAGGCTTGGTCATTCGGGATGAGCTGACATGTCACGTCTGCCCGCGATGCCTGGAGAAGTTCTGGATGATGGATGGGCATGTGGTCTCGTGTACGTTTGTACGTATGGCATCGTCACCTTGACGTTACGACGGCTGGCATCGTCGCAGACGTGTCTACGTGTGACCGACAGCGTTCATTTGCACTGGCTTTGGTAGCATTGCGCTTGTGCTTGGCGTGGGGGATGCGCGTGGCTATGGCTCTGGATGTGTTGTACGACTTGGCGAAAGCTGCTGCTCAGACGGTCCATTGGTTGCAGTACTGGTGATGTTAGTCCGCAACGTGATGTTCCGAATCTGCTTCGCGAGACTTGTGAATCCACGCACGCCCGTGTTTGTACTTCCGGTGGATATGCAACTCGCTGTCACGCAGGCAAACGATATCTGGAGGAGCTCACTGAGAACATCAGGGAGCCTTTGTACCTCGCGCGACCACATACCAGAAAACTCACTAACTACTCTCGCAGACGTGAACTCTTCTCCGAAGTGCTATGCACTTGCGATGGCTGGCGAGAAGTATCAAGCGGGCAACAGTGTTCATTGGGGGCTCTGTATTACACAAGCCCTATGATCGCAGCACAAATGCATTGCTGATGTCGGCGTTCCAGAATGCTGGTCCGGAAGCGGCATAAATGAAAGTCTTCGTTAACGCGAAAAGTTTGGTGCAACTATCCAGGTCAACCTCGTTCTCCATCATCTCATTGTGTGTGGATACGTCCCGACTATTCCGACGCGTAAGAAGAGCTTCTGCTTTGTACCTGGTAACTCGACTTGGAAACGTCAAGTGCCTGGTCGCGTGTCGTTGACTCGCCCAAGGAGGTGGTGCTTCGAGACGATCACGTCTTACTGACAAGCTTATCTACATTCTCTGATACTCGGCAGTTGGTCTGCCGACTACGATTACGTTGTGGCGTATGAAGTAAAAGAACGGGTGGTAATGGACAACAATGGCAGAGGTATTGCCTCGCAGTATTCAGGTGGACCAAGCGACAAGAAGTGCGACGTGATTCCTTTGGCAACCTTCTTCGTGCAGTACACGACACGACGCTAAGGCATTCGTCAGCATAGTGCTGAGCAAGCACACGAGTCTCGACCTGATGTGGCTTCACATTGCACTTAACAACAAAGGCGGGGTATCGTCAAGCGCCACGATGTACATGCGTAGACCGCGTAAACAGCATGCTTACTACGGCAAAGCAGAGCTGTCTGGTACTACGTTTTGCTCGCTGATTCTTGTGGAATATGGACAATATGCTACTGCTACAGGTCGTAGTGCTCTGTAATCACGTACAAGTGACATTCGGCGCGATGCTTTTGCACGACCAGCAGAGAATTGCTGTATCGACCGACGATGTTTGCAACAATGTTGCTTGTACGTGGAGCCAGGATCACGTCCGGTGTCGCAGTGACTTGCCATGAGGGGCTGCGTGCATATAAGTGCTGCACTACGCGTATCATCACAATGTCGTCAAAAATGGGTGAACGAGAGCTGTAACACTGAGATGGAAGATCGATTACTGTCACGGCTGCATTGGCAACAACTGCCAGGTAGCTCTGGCTCCGCGTTTTCCGTATCATCTGTCGCCACATCACCTAGCGGACCATGCGGTCATCGAAAAGTGTCGACAGGTAGCTCTAGCCCCATGTTCTCCTTGGTGTACCGCCATCTCTAGCTCAGCGTCGGCTCTCGTGCCCAGCTCCGACAAGATGGAACGGAATGTCACGATGAGCGATGAGCCGATATCTGACGCGATCTTTTCCACGCGTCGTGATGGCGACGTTAGCCGTGTATCATCGATGCTTGCCCGGTGTCGTTAATGCCATGATGTGTGTCAAAAGACGACAACGAAGAGGAAAATGACGACGATCAGCACGAGGAAGAGTTTCAGAATCAGCGACCGGTTGCCCTGGACCATGTGAAAGAGCTTCAGCAGCTCGTCATGCGCCGCTTCTACGTTCGTTTGCCTAGGGAGCAGCAAGTTGTTAACAATGCGAGTAAGAGAACGTCAGACGCCACAATCGGCACAACCACGTACGCGATGTCCATGTCGTCGTCAATGCGCGAGATGATCTCTCCTTGCTCGGCGACCATGGTTGCCATTCGAGTGTACATGCCTGTGATCTGAACCGTAGCACACACCAGACTCGTGGCAGTTGGTCCAATGCTGTGTCACCAGGTGACCGAAACGCACAACAACAGCAGCGCACCTCTACAATGGTGCTCTCCACCTGTGCCGCATTGTTGTATCTCGTCTGGTTGTCTTCGCGAGGGCGATACTGCTGCTGCTGTTGCATGCCACCAACACCTCCTGGTAGCGGTGTGCGCTGCTGCATGAATGGATTAGCCCCGAGGTTAGCACGGCGACGAAGACCTGGCCCGGCATCAAGTGATCCCAACGACGACATTGCCCCTTCAACCACAACAACACACACACAGAGCGAATAGCAAGCATAAGACAGCTACAACCAACCGATGCAGTCGCCAGGATCCTGCCGCCGTACCAGGTTTCGTTGGCACAAGTGCAGCGGATTTCTGCGCGCCGTTTCCAGCAGCAGCAGTAGATTCATGCTGCGGTTGACTCTGCTGCGGCTGCAAAGGAGCGTGGCTCGTCGTCGGCAACACCTGGTGCTCCCGCACTCCTGCAGCAGCTGTGCGAGCAAAGAGCGGCGCACTGAGATGCACCATGGGATGGCCTCCTCCGTGCGAAAACCTGCTGCGTCTCGAGCTGCGCTCGCGAATCGCCGCCGTGTGGTGCTGGAGCGCGTGCTGCAGTCACATCCACCAGTATCAGTCCCTCTGTCTCGTTATGTCACCTGCTGGGCAACAGCACAACCACACAATACACAACAGACACACAGACAACACACGCACATGGAAAGCCTGGACGCTCTTGGCACAACGCGCCTTGAGCGACTGGCACACGATGGAAAAGTGCGCCTGGTGGTGCTGCACGTGGCGCCCGCGCTGCGCGTTGACCGTCTGCTGCAGCAGCTGAATACTGCGCTCGACAGCGCCCAACTCCTTCTTCAGGACGTCCGTCAGCGTCGCAATCTGCGCGCTCGGGTCGTCGCCGAGGATGGACTTCTTGCCGACGAGCGCCTGCAGCTCGCGCAGACAGAGCTCCTGCTGCCGCAGCTGGTCGGCGATCTGCTGCGCCTGTCGCGCGTCGCGAGACAGCGGTCGGTGCGCGCGCGACCGGACGTGCGGACGCGTCTCGTAGAGCACTGTGATGCCCACGAAGTCGCTCGTGACGTCTGTTGCGGTCATGGCGGATAACGAGGTGGGGGTACGCGTAGCCCGAGCGTACCCTCGGGGGAGGGGTACGCTTTTGGCAAACAAAGCGCGCGTGTGGGCACGCATGGACGAAACAAAGGGGTTTGTTGGGTCCTCGGGTGTACCCCGTATACCCGAGTCGCACGAGGTGATGTGGTCAAGCGAGTGTTTAAAACAGCGCACGGAAGGCAAAAAAGACAGCAAAGTGAAGCCATTTACGTTGTGGCTGAGCCAGCACACCTTATGGGCTGGACGTAGCACGCTGTAGAAACAGCAACAGTCGGGTGGTTGGTACGTGACAGCTGGGAATTGAAAGCACCAGCAATGCGTTAGTGTCGGCAAGCTTCGAGAGATCAACGAGTCTTTTTGCAGCTCTTTCGTCTCTCATGCAATGTCTGCAGCATCGGCCACATCTAGAAGACGTCCACTCTGGTGTCAAGGCCGCACTCATTGCGTGTAACCATATGATGGATCGTGCCAGGGATACAGCAAGTGAAGATGTGTGTTCAAGCGATCTGACAACGAGCAGTCGCTTGCTCAGTCTATAGTCTGAGCTCCAACGTCCACACTCAGGCACGCTCATGGACCCTCTTCGTGCGACGAAAAGAGGCAATGTCACCGTGCACTCCCTGCACTGAGCCCGAAGTGATTCTTTAGCAACTGAGCGACGTATGGTGATACTGCATCTCGCACAGCATAGGGTCAATCCCAGCTTTATTTGCGTGAACGAAACGCTGAGATTGTCATTGAGCTTACTTTTGTTAGTCCATGTCGAGTGCCGTCATGAAAACTGTTTGGGAGGCTTCCTGATCTCTAGTACAGCCCATTGAAAATGTTCCAAAGACGATACGACTGGCAAGGTTGTGACGATCAGAATTGCAGCTCGCGTTCCCACAATGGTAAAGCGACACGGGCCGTTGTCGCGAATCTACGTCGAACGTGAAGGAGTCAGACCACCGAGTCGGCACCGTGTACTTTCCGTAAAAAACACAATTGGTCGTCTGATACCACCAACTTGCTCACTGTTTCAAACACCTTCGCAGCTCCCCCACAAACTGATAAACGACCATTTTTCCAAAAAAAGTTGTTTTTGTGTCTCCTGATGTAAAAAAGTGCCAGCTCCAACTGCTCCGCACAGAAAAGAACAAACGCACCCAATTGTTCACCGGATCTCCCATCGCATACCGATATAATCGACTCGATCGTCGACGCAAAAGGGAGTTCCGAGATGGAGGAAGCGACGCTGCGGGCGAAGATTCAGGCCATGAAGAACCTGCTGCAGGCAAAGCGACAGCGAGCAGACGGTGCAGCAGTAGCAGCAGCCGCTGCGTCTACTCGCTACGTCCACAAAGCGCCTCACGCCGGTCACTATCCGTCGCGAACGTACACGCGTCCGACGCCGGTGAACCGCTCGTGGAATCGCTTCTCGCCATCGACAGCTGTCGAGACTCGAAGAGGCGTAAGCATAGGAAGTGCAAACAAAGTTTGGAGAAGAGACGACGCGGCACGTGCGACGACGACGACGACGGCAGCGGCTGTGATACCGGTACCCGCTGGTGGACAGGCGAGTGCGGTGGGGACCGGGAGGAAGAACAGGACGTCGAGCCGACCAGTGAGTACAGTTGCAACAAGGCGGTGCTTTTCGTTGTTGCTGTTGTTGCTGCTGTTACTTGTTGTTGTTGTTGTTGTTGCTGACGGAGTGAACGCGGGTGTAGCTGAAGGTGGCTGCAAACAAGAGCACGAGCAGGAAGCTGCAGGTGCTGCAGCTCGAAGATGGGGAATACGCGAAAGCGCGCGACGGGTTTAGTCTCGTCCGAGCTGGGACGAAGCCGATGGCTGCAAAGCGTGCTGACCTGCGGACTAAGACTGCAGCAGCGCCAATGTCGGTATCCCGTTCGAACAGCAGTAAGCTGAGCTCTTTTTTTGCTGGCATGTGCTGCGTTGCTGTAGCTCAACGTATCGCGTCTTGTGCGAAATGATCAGATTCTGTGCACATTGGTGGCGTGAAGTATGTGGTTGCGAATGGAGGCAAGACGTTGAAGCGGTGTGTATCTGAGGAACGCATGATGATTGCTACTGGCAAACCGGACTCAGTGAGTTTGGCGACCAAAAGCGGGGCTGCCCGTGCCGCGTACGTCCAGCTTCACGTTGTTGTTGTTTTTGCAAAGACGCTGATCCCGCGCGTATGAATGGGGTTTGTTTCGTCAGACTCTATCGAGCGAAAGCTACTGTGCAACGGGCACGGACCCATCGCCTCCACTTGGCGAAAAAGCCGGCAAAAGCCCGCACGGTGTATTGTTCGTTTTACAACCGTTTTGGCAAGTGTCTGAGCGCATGCATCTGGACGTATCACTGATCTGAGGCGTCTGCTGATGTAATTTGCTAATTCTGCGCTTCGATGGGCGACAGGTTTTTGTAAGAACAAGAATGCGTGCAGGTTCATCCACGACAGCCGGCGCGTGGCAATGTGCCGAAAGTTTCTGAAGAACGAGTGCAACGACCCCAAGTGTTTGTTGTCGCACCAACATGACGAGGTAGTGTAGCTGACCAAGCTGTTGCTGCTTTGCTTGCATTGTAGACATTTGCTTGCTTCAGCGCTAAGCATTGGGTGTGTTGGTTGGTGGTTGCTGATTGTGCGATGTTGACGTGCTCTGTTTGTGCTGCCGCGCTTGACATGCAGAACAAAGTTCCTGACTGCAAGATGTTCCTTCGCGGAGCATGTACCCGAGAGAACTGCAAGTATCGCCACGTGAAAGTGAGTGCAACGGCAAAAGTGTGCGAGCTGTTTATCAAGGGATACTGTCCTAAGGGAGGGGCATGTTCGTTCCGTCATGAGCTTCCTCTCTTGAATCGTAAGCTGCCTAGAACTGCACCACTAGAGCAGACTATTGCCAGCAACCCGCCGGTCGTTTCAGGTACGTCGTCGCCTCGATCTACGAGTGTATCCGATCCGCCGCTTGCGTCACCGGGTACAGGAAGTCCTCATAAGGTCCATCTGGAGCTGTCTATTCGGCCAAACATACGCTTTGCGTCCAAGCACAGCGCAGGGTTCCCCTTGCTTTTTGGTGGGCTGCGCAAGTGAGAGCGTATCCCTACTTGTAAAAGCTGCATGAGGACTGTTTACAGTGGACATCTTGATGAATATAGTGCTTGCCGAATATTGTTGCAGCCTACAGGTATTTGCTCGTTCGGAGGCTGTCCATCGTAAGCGCGTCATGGTCCAAGCAGATCTGACAAATCAATGACTGTGGCAGGTGCACATTTCCTGACTGTACAGCTCAGCTTCGTACACAGACGACCTCTGTCGCGACAAATCCGTCGACAGCGCGTATGTCGTGCTTACCCGCCTATCCTGTACCCAGTGCCACCCTAATACAGTGCAGCAAATCGATTTTCAGAGGAGGTGCGTAAGTTCAGTCGAGACCGCACCTCGTCGACAAAAGCGTAAAAGTCGTCTGTACCCTTCTGTCTGTACCCCTCCGTCTCTATCCCTCTTTGCGGTGGAGAGTATCTATCTATCTATCTATCTATCTATCTATCTATCTATCTATCTATCTATCTATCTATCTATCTATCTATCTATCTATCTATCTATCTATCTATCTATCTATCTATCTATCTATCTATCTATCTATCTATCTGTCTGTATCCAATCGACCCATCCTCAACCCCTACTAACTCTTTTCATTACAAACCCTACATGGACGAGAACATCAATGGACCAGCACTGCCACCACCTGCCACAGCGCGTGTCCTTCTTGGCCTTCACAGCGCAGTCCAAAGGCGCTCCAGGCGTGCGCGCGTACTTAACAGGTACAGCTGCACCCACTCCTCCTCCTGCTCTTCCTATTTGCCACTCACTCACGCACTTTGTTATACTGTGCGCGACACCACTTTGTTATACTGTGTACAGGACACTGCCAACAGTCTCACGGCGTTCTGCGCGACCTCAGCGCGCCCGTTCTCCGCCCAAATGACCCGACAGCGTCCGTGACAAGTCGTTCTGTATGGACCAATCGTACCGCGCGCGAGGCTTTGGACGTGGGCATTTGTATGGAGCACTTGTCACGGCGGGCGCAGCGCGAGATCTGGAGCGCCCTGGCGAGCGGAGCGCCTTCGCCCGTCAAAGACAGTGCAGAGGGTCTCGCACGGGCGTTCCTTCGAGCAGCTGGGCGGCCTCGAGCACTCGAGCGTGACGCCTATTGCGTGTCGCTGGCGACGGTGGTGCTCCGTCGAGCGTCAGGCACACAAGAGAATGAGGGACTGGAGAGCGCCGTGCAGACGACCAGCGCGGCGTTCCAGCGGCGTATGCAGCGCTTTCTGCTGCACGCGGTGCAATTGCCGTCGTCGTGCCGAGCAGACGGTCGTGCAGAAGCTGTGTCGCTTGACGAGGACTCGTCCGGTCGGGTCGCTGTCGTACAAACGTGTGACCAGCGGAACAAGCGCCAGCGAACTGCGGTGCCGGAGACGACCAGGCCACATGAGCCAACTCGGAGCCCACAGGAACGCACGATAGCACTTGTCTCGGAGCCGGAAGAACGGCCTGTGCTACCGAAAGAGGTGTGCAAATCGATCAGGTGCTGTCTCGTGGACTCGTTGCTCATTTTTGATACTCGTGTGTCTGTTGACTAGGTGGAAACTCGTGCTGCAGGTCTATCGAAGCAGCTTGCGCAACTTGCACGCCCTAATACTGCGGCCGATGCAGATAACGTTGCTACGCGCACGTTTAATATGCTTGCTGACGTCGTGAACGACGTTCATACCACATATGCAGCCAACGAGCAGAGTTTTCAGTACCTGTGTACGATGTTGCGGATGCATTCTACCAGCGACGACGCGCTCGCCCGCATTATCAGGTGCGGACACAGCACATCATTCGAAGAGGTACCTTAGAGAGAGGTGTGCTATGAGCTAACGCTGTGTGCGCTTTTGCTGCTACAGTGCGCTCGTTGACGCTAACTGGAGTTCACGATACGCGGCAATCTTTTTGAACACAAGTGTGCTACCGCGAATTCGAGCTGCTGAGACGGTGATTTCGCGTGCTCTACTGCAAACGACACTACTCTTTGGCGCTACCTACGTGGACACGCTGATTGACTCACTGCTGCTTCCGCTCTTGGTTGGTGACGAGCACACGACGGTCGGTCCAGCACAAGCAGAAGCGCTGACGCGCATCTTGTGCAGCCCCAATACAGCGCTGACTGATCGACTGGACGAGTTTGTTCAGAAAAGCCTAGCAGTAGTGGCCGCCAACGAAGGAAGCAGCGCAGGCGCTCATTTGCTTGCCAACGAGTCGGCCTTGCTGGTGCTCCAGAACATCCTCAACACCAAGCCGAAGTTGTCATCCTTGACGGTTGATAAGTTTGTCGAAGCTTGCGAAGCCGTATTAGAGCAACCAGAAGCTCACCGACTGCGTGGCTCCCTAAGATTCACCACGGTCGTCTTTACACTGATCACGAAGTACCCACAGCAATGTGCTTGTCATGTGGAAGCTCTCGAAGCGATAGTTGCTCAGCTGTCATCGATTATGGCCAAGGCGACGATGCGGTCGCTGGAGAAACTCAAGATAAAGGAGTGACTGGTGCTACGAGCGTGAGATGGAATAGTCATAGATCCACTGGTCATTGAGCAGAATCTGCAGTGCAGCTATCAAGATACCGGCGATGTCTATGACATGCTACACTCGTAGTGTCGTCCGAGGCGATATTGCACCAGCATCTTCTGTGCCACGGGCGGATGCGTCTTCAAGATGGGGCCGCAATCTCCACCATGCTGAGCGCTTTCCAGTAGAACTTGTGCCCCTCCAGGGTGCACACCAAGCAAATCTGTGACGTCGTACACACTGTCGCCAACCCGGATCCAGCACGAACGCACGTTCTGATGTCGCTTCGTTTCGCAGGACGAGTACTTCCGCTCAACTTTGGAGGAGCTGTCGATTGACGTTGGCGCGTACTGTTGCCATGATGATTGCTGCGCTGTGGGCCAGGTAGCTTCCGAACGTCTCCCGTAGGTCACTTTCAACTGGTACTTTTTGTCCGCACAGAACAAACAGCGTTCGTCGGCGCACACGTCGTTACACCTGGTGCACGCGTTGCATTTATTCGTCGTTCGACGCGATCCAAGTGGCGGCTGGTCAATTGGGCGTTTTGCTCGCACTGCTGGAGGCGCGCGAGCAGGCAGTTTCGGACCGACCATGCCTGGATGAGGCGCGTGAGCGTGCAATCTCGGACCGACCATCTGGGCGTGTTTCCTCACTATGATCACCTTTGCTCTGACGCCACAACCGATGGACTTTGTGGGACTTGTAATGACGTGGTGCTGCGGCTGACTATACTTTGGGGTGAGGCGATCACCCGTCTCGATCTTGTTTGGCCGCCTCAAGAGCTTCTTGGACTGTTCGACCTCGGATGGCTTTTGACGGGGCCTTGATGGTTGTCTATGAGTCTGTTCTTGCAGCGGCGAGTTTGACGGTTCGATTGGATCCAGGTACTCGAGTCTCATGGATCCGTTTGAGTTGACGGCTTCGAGGCCGTTTGTCGTACCAGGGTTGAGCAGCTTTTCCATTGAAGCACTTGTGTGCTCTCTAGCTCGATCGCTCGCGACATCCATCGGCATTTCGATTGTTCTCTCGGTGCCAAACTTTAGTGATTGCGGTTCGACTCTGCTCTTGGAGATCTTTTCATAGTCGTCGAGGAAAGAGCTGAGTGCCGCGATACACTTCTTCCGCGATTTGTGAGAGTTCTCAACGCTCGGACGCGACACCTGGCTGTCACGTGATGGCAAGTGAGGTTTCCTGGCCGAAAAGTGGTTCAATACGAACTTTACGAGTGCAACCGATGTATCGGCCACGCGTCCAAGACGTACGTCCAGAATCGACTCCATGAGAAATTGGTACTTGCCCAGTAACTTGCGTGCCAGAGCATCTGTCTGCACTTTAACTGGCGCGTCGCCCAAGTCGCGTTTTTGGTGCGTGTGGGCCTGATCGTGATTGTGCCGGCCACGTGCCGCACGCTGCTTCTTTGCAGCACTTCGCATGTGAACCACGAGGTGGTGCAGCGTCAGCAGTGTCTCGTAGAACACCACGTTGATTTCATTCTGTACTTGGGCTTCTTTTGCGCACAAAATGGAGGACTGGGCTGACGAGTAACTAGACGAGGTGCTACTTCCGGCATTCGAGTCCGATGCCCAGAACGATGCTCCAATGACAGACGAGTTGGCTGAAGCCGGCTTACAGCTCGATGCAGCAAAAGAGGCTGGGATGAGGTCGACAACGGCAAGCTGGAGTGTCCTATGATGAACAAAGTGCTGGACCATTTTGGTACGCTGGTAACCCGCCGCGTTGGAGTCGGCCGAGACGTTTGGAGTGCGCACGACTAGGAAGCACTGCAGCAGTCGTAGGCACCAGTAGCATGTGAGAATATCTTGCTGCAAAAGAAGTTCGTGCACCGCGTCAAACACTTGTGGTATCTGTTTGAACAAGCAAAACGAGCGTCAAAAGGCAGCACCGATGTTGAAACACGTGGATGGGGACGTACCATTTCATTTGCGAAGCAGGCATCTGGATGATGGTACAAACGCAGCAGCGCTTGTAAAGTGGTTCGAAGCTCGGAGCTGGTACTTTCTCCGTATCGTCGTAATGACGCTACCAGTGTCACTAGGTGCTCAAACACGAGCTCCATGGCTTTGTTCACCACTTCAGCTTGCTTCATCTCGCTTTGGGTGAGCTCGTCGAGGAGCAGGTTCGCATTGAGCTCTTCCATAGCAGTGACAATGCTCACGCTCTCATTCATGGACAGCCCCGAATCCATGGACGTGCGTGTCTCGTGCATGGGATCGGTGACACACCTGTCCTTACGAATACGCCGCTGGAACCAACTGCCGCGTCCATTCGCCTCTGCGTCTGCCGTGCAATTGTTTCCATGAGAAGCTCGCGGAGTCATGCTGCCTCCACGATGCCGTCGCGGGGACCACACGCTACTACTCCGGCTTCTTCCACCACTGTTATCGTCTGGTCCCGCGCTTGTTTGTGTGATTCGTCTGAGCAAGAACATTTCCATCAAAGCTCCAGCAGTATTGCTGCCATTGCGTGCAGCGGTGTCAACAGCATGGGGGTGGTAAAAGCGGCGGTAATTGATGCCAGACGACAGGAGAACGACGTTGTGGTAACCTGCTTCGCGGCACACCAGCAGCAGCAACGTGATGAGTTGATCACGACCATCGACGTCAAGGACCAGTGTATCTTCTTGCTGGAACTCCAACACCAGCGCTCGCGGATCCCAGTCTGGGCGAACAATACTTACCAACGCACTGTATGGACGCGCGATGACGGTGCGCATGGAGCGATGCAGCTCGACCACCGCATCCTTCTGCAGAATGAGCTGAATCTCCTTGTAACGCTTCTTCACATCGTCGCTATCTTCGCCTTCTGGAGCAACTTCGCCGTTGTGGCCTTCCGTGTTCTTCGCTTTCTTCACGTCAAACCGGATGAACGAAGGACGATCCAGTATCTGCGTATTGTGCAGACGAAGCTGCAACGCCGTGAGGTCACTCGCCGTCTTGTACAGCACGACGCCTGCTTCTTTCGCTGCAGCCACGATCTCGTTCAAGCAATCGTGTCGCTCGCCACAAAGGAAGACCCGATTCTGAAACGCCGTGGTGAGTACCATTCCCTCTTCGTTTTCTGTTGAAAAAGCTACTTGGCGGAGATAGAGGAAAGGCAAGCTTTGCAGACGTCGACCCCGCTCATTCAAAATGACGATACCGGCGACCGTCACTTGCAAGAACAGCGACTTGTTTGACGCATCGGCGAATTGCTCAATGCAACGAAAGTAAAGTCGGCGAGCACCCAAGAGGCGGTACAAGAGTATCTTCCCTTGCGCTTGTCGACGCAGGCGAGCTAGCAAGGACAGCAGATGGCCTTGAGCAGCGCATGCAAACTTCAACTTGGCCGACCGAAAGCGGGACTTCTCGAATCGAAGCACGAACTGGTTCTTGGCTTGTGACAGCTCCACGGCTTCAATGTCCGAGATATCCCACTGGTCGGTGCAATGGAACGTCTCTGGGTTGTACGTGCTGAGCGTCGAGGGCGTGACGATGAGGATGCGCGGGTATGTCGCCCACCACGCCACTTTGGTGACCAGATATTGTGCGATGACTGCATCCCCTCCGTTATTGGAGCTATCGGAGACCAGAGACGAATCTTTGGCAGCAGACGTTGCCATTGACTACCGCGGTTTTCGCGATTCCACCCGGTTGAACAAAATATGAAGTGGACACTGGCTGACGGTTGTGAGCACCTTGACGCGTCCAGTGCGACCAATGCTATCGTTTCATCCGTTCCGGATTCTGGTTTCGCAATTGTTAAACGGACCAAAGATTGAGCTTTTCGAGCCAACGATAGTGGCAGCTGGTTCGCAAGTCTGTCAGGTGCTTGCTGAAGCCACAGAGGAGTCCACTACAAGAAAGAGGCGATGTTTCTGTGACTTCAGTAAGGAGTGTAACGCTGGCGTTTTGTTTCTTGGGATGTGGACCAGAAGGGCGTAAACAGTGAGTGCATTGGTTCTTTGCGGTTACGACCATCTTCTGTAGCTCGTTAGTCTGTACTCGCAGTGATTTTGCAGATGGTCCTTGACCTTTTTTATCAGGTGTTGTTATTTTGTCTGGAAATGGTACCCATACCTCTCGGTTGCGATGCCTTACGAAAAGCACCGACCTGCACACGGTGTTGCTCTCGTCCTTCTGTAGGTGGACCTTATACAAGTAGTGATTGCTACTGCAAACATGCAAGTAATCGTGTTCATGGAAGGCACGGAGTGACTAGCGCAATGACGAGCGTTGTTGATGGTGATGGTGCCAAAATGTTCAGGGCAACGAGATCGATATACGGATGATAGCGATGTCTGCACATTGATACTGATCGTGCGCATGTCGTTGTGAGAACGTAACGAACAAGAAGCACGCGAGTGTTGTGACGTGCTCGACCGTTGGCCGTGTCGCGAGTGCTGAACGCAAGCCCCGATCCGTTCACAACCACAATAAGTCTCGTCAAAGTGCCAACTCGAACAACGTAATGCTCATAGCGCCTTCTTGGTAAAAAATGTTGTTCATCTTCTGCGCTCGTCGGATTTCGTTCAGGACTTTTTCACATGGGTGCAGCGACATCGGGTGCGATAGCAGTGCCGTGTGGCATTGCTCGGGATGGATCGAGAGCCTGCGTCTGACGAGAGTCTGCACATGGTGTGTAGAGCAACCAGACTTTTGACGAAGGAGTGGGTATGTGAGAAGGATGTGGCATTGCAAGCTTTTGCTTGATGCGTTCCGTGCAGTCGTTATCGTCTCGTCTGGTGGCGATGAGCTCACGCACGAGGCAGGATGTGCTGCGTCGGTTATGGCTGGAGATGATCGGAAACGGCGTCGAAACCGGGAGAATCATAAGCTGTATCTGTAAAGTGTCGTTGTTGTCGTGCCTGCCATTCCGATACGTTATCGGTCCAGTAGTCTTGTCTTCTGTAGCTTCCAAGGTAGCGTTTGAGTATGGTCAGGCTGTCTAGCTCTGTCCCGCACTATTATACATGCAACAGACAGTAGCAACCTACGTACACGCAAGCCCTGCGTCTTGACTCGATCCGATGCAGACCGTTTGTGTCTCTTAGTGAGGGAATAATGCGCCACAAGACGTGTCCTGTTGGCACGTAGTTGATGGAAGAATGAACACTGACATATGAAGTCCGTTGATCGTGCCGACTCGAGGGTCTGTTCATTTATCTGGGCAGGTGAGGGTGCAACTGCTTCGTTGCTGTCTATTGCACTGCAGTCAGATGCTCGCAGAAAAAGGGTTTGCTGACCTACTCGGGCCCTTTGACGCGCCATGTTGCGTGGAAAACTTGTTCACGACATGTCGATGCCGCGTGCACTTTGTCAGGGAAAGCTTTCGTGCCCACGTGTCTACTTGCTTTGCATGCACCCACTTGATCTGCCGGTGGTCTGCTGTTCCGTAATCTGTGTGTTTATCCAAGCGCGTCGTAACCTGTAGTTACCAGTGTGCGTGGAAATGACAGGACAAGCCTTTGCGAGATCCCGACGTCCCCGGCGAGAAGAAGAGCACCGGACGGGACGGAACACTGACGAGAAGCGACTGCTGCGCGGGCATAACCCAGCGGCACTAGAGCCAAACGAGGGCTCGAGAATGCGCTGCAGCTTTCTCTGATTGTGCCAAGAGTGCAGGAGGTGCCACACGACGCAACAACTTGCAGAACGGAACCCATAGAGCAGGGCATCCGATCTTCGTGGACCGACATTGTGCAGCGCACGTTGACTGGGCAATGGAGCACGTGGCACACGGCGGCGAGGGAGCTCTGTGGTCTTGTCAGACACAATGAGGGACATTCCGGCTGCAGCAGATGATCACAATGCGATCCGCACGACCTCTTTGTAACTTGCTTTGACCCTGGCACAACTTGTGAACGCTTGAGGTATGCAGTGCGGAACGAACCTGGAGCTTGCAGCAGCCGTCAAGTGAGGGCAGAGGAAAGTCCTCATGCAGGTGCATTCAAGCATGGTTCTAACCATGCAATTACGCAATTTGTTTGGGCTGCAAGGTGAAAGTGAGTGGATGAAGCTGCGAGGAGTCTACATACAATGAGCAGGCGTGTCAGTACTGATTGATGCTTGTTTTTGCACTTCTACGGCACCATCTCGTCTTTTCGGCGCACCAGATGCGCCACGTGCGGAATATCTGCTTGTCTAGCGCTTCCGAAAACTCACGGTAAGTCCTGCGCACATCAACACAATCGTCTGCAACTTCTTGTTATTGGCATCGAATACATAACCATAGCGTTGTTCAGTTTGTACGATTTCTCACGACAACTGACTTGCTCCGCCCTACCGTTTCCGCGCTCTATGTTCGCGCCCCTTCCTCTATCGCGCCTAGCGCTCAATTTGCTGTCTCGCTGCATGCCTTACACAACCGCTCCAATTGCGAGTCCACATCGATCCAGCACTGGCTGATGTTTGCGCCAACTTCGTTGCCAGCAGCACTCAGGGCTACGTTTAGCTGCTGGAGGATATCATGCACCTACACACACACGGCAAAGGCTGTCAGCGTTTGCCATCATGAAATGGAAGCCCACGCTTGACATCGATACAATCAGCTTACGTATCCCAAGTGGCGGAGCAAGTCTTGAGTTACGAGCGTTGTGTCGCTCGTTGCAGGGTGTTCACGCTGTGATAGTATCTCGATGGCTTTGGCATACAAGAGCTCTCGAAACTCAACGTAGTTCATTCCTGTGTTGGCAAGCATGACTACTTGGCACTGGTCGACAAAGTCGCTGCCAACAAGCCCCACATCTTTCAGATTATCCAGCTCGTGCTCGACCGCAGCGTACTCACGCCTCAAGAACCCCCAGACTTCTCGGATGTTGTATCCGTTGAACCAATTATGGTTGATGGAAATCGTATCCTTCACATTCTTCACTTGATGGTACCATCCACTGGGGACAAAAATGGCATCACCCGCTTCTTGGACAACATACATAAGCTTCGCTTCGTGGAACAGAGGATACTTCGTCTCGTCGATGACCTCAGCCGTCACATCAGGAACGACAAAACGACCAAAACGGTCCTTTAGCTTTTCTTCCTGCTCCATGATAACAGCATTAGACACTGTCAAACCGGCAAACGATTTGCGATAGCACCAACAGCACATACATCGTCTGGCGGGTAAAAGATCCATTCTTTGCGGCCGCAGATATTCACCGACCAGCTGTAATGAAGGCTATCAGTGGCAAACAAATGCATTGCCAGCAATGACATGGACACACACGGTACGGTACCTATACGAGCGAAAGACGTCATGATGGAGCGGCGTCCAGCTTCCAGCAGGACCTGAGCGCAATGCGTGTCAGTTACAACATCAGCGAGTAACGCAGGATACAGCTTACCCAAATATACGAACCGGTAATCACTCTCACTCTTCTCTTTGTGATCCCACCACCTAAGTGATACAGTCGCGACCGCTATCGTTAGTTTGCTGCTCTCCTGAACTTCCAAGACGATGTCACCATCCCAGTCATGCTACCAGTTCAGCCAGTCGTCTTTGAAAAACGGCGGTGTGCTGCAGCGTACATCAACGATCATTCGTTAGCAAAAAGTCGACACAGTCCTGGCTACGTACTCCAACGATCTTCTGTCGTACTCGTAGACGTCGTGACCAAAGGCGTGCACGAAGTGCCAGTCCTTCAGATAGTTTTTGCCTGCTGTTTTGCTCTCAATAAGATCCAGGTACTCATCTGTACTAATGTCAGTCTTGTTTGCTGTATCAACCGATCAATACCACAGCCTCAGCCTCACCAAGTTGCATCTCCCATCGGTCTTGTGCTCCGTCCTCCGCCACGTCACCACCTGTTACCTAAGCCCCACAACAAAACACACGATAACTCGACTGTTCAATAGCAATAGAAAATAGTCATTTTGCTCGACACATAGTTTGTCCATTCTATGTGGACGAAAGAATGATCGCCTACCGGTACTAAAGCGCTTCCGTAGCACTCGCGCAGGTACTGAAAATTCATATGAGAACCGGCTCGCCACTGCTCTGTCTTTGGAAACCACTCGGCCGTCACGTTGCGGAGGAGCACGGGACGATTGAGCGCCATATACCGAGTGCAAAAGTCGCTGTACTGCAGTGTCGTTGCATCCTCCGTGTCGATTGTATCCATTTGATGACGTGCGTTCATTAGTGTATGTTTCTGTGTGCGCCAGGGAATCAGCGACGCACTATTTGCTACGCGCAGAGCACAAAAACAGAACCACTGACCAATGGAAGGGCATCAAATCAGATCATCAGGTGGTCGATCGATCGTCGCATCTATGTATGAATGTATCGAAACAGAACTACTGAGATGCATATTGAGCTACTTATTGTCGCATCTATGCATGTACTCGTAAAACGATGTACCCATGCGCCAGTCTATTTAAATATCAATTTGTCTGACCATATATTTATGTATCTCCATGTATCTATCTATCTATCTATCTATCTATCTATCTATCTATCTATCTATCTATCTATCTATCTATCTATCTATCTATCTATCTATCTATCTATCTATCTATCTATCTATCTATCTATCTATCTATCTATCTATCTATCTATCTATCTATCTATCTATCTATCTATCTATCTATCTATCTATCTATCTATCTATCTATCTACTGATCTATCTATCTGATCTATCTATTGATCTATTGATCTATTGATCTATCGACCGAAACTTTGATCTCCATCAGTGAATAGCGACTGGGAGACTGATTTCCCACTCTGTCCACGACAATGGAGCAGCAGTCACTGCTGGCGTCTGCCTCGGGATACGGCAGCGTCCCGGAGGTCCGTACCATACAAACTAACAAACCCTTATCCTCATTGCCAGTCAGCAGCGACTCACGTGCGCATGTCTCTTGTCCTCGTAGTCCGTCCCGCACCGAGCGAAAGCTGCGTCGCACTTGAACACGCGTGAGATCTTTGGGAATGCCCGCGACATTGAGCGCTTGAGTCGGTCCGTGACTCAATTGCTCTATGGAATCCGAAAATCAATTCGGACGTGTGTGTGTGTGCGATTCGATTACTGGAGATGTACTGACGTGTGTGCGTGTGTACGTACGGAACACAGGCACTTGGACAATGGGAACCTCGGTGCTGCTATTGACAGCTTCATGGCGCTCGTCTCGGTCGTCTTTGCTGGCACATACGTTGCCAATACGTACATTCCGTACAACAGTGTACGTGGTTTAGCACAAGAAGGTCGCACTTGTGTCAAAGAAAGCTGCTGATGTCCGACTTGTCGCTGTGGCTATAGATGCCCCATTCGATTTGGGTCGTCGAGTTGACCTGCGCGTCACTGTTCACGGCTGACTTTGTCTTTCGGGGTATCTACCTTGCCGCAAGTCGACGCCGAGAGTATCTGCTGTCGCTCACCACACTTGTCTACCTCGTCAACATTTTGCCGGTGCTTCCAGCCTCCTTTTTCATCCGCTACCAGTTGCGTGCTGCTCAAATGTCTTGTTCTCTGCTTGGTCCAGTGAATGATGACTCACATTCTTGTTATGTTTGTTGCTGCTCAGCACGTTTTGGTACGGCGAGTCATGGTGGCGCTTTGTCTACCCCTTGCGCTTTGCCATGTGCTACTTCACCGGCAAAGCAGTGCTAAGCCGCTGTCACGCGGTCTTGACTCCGGTGCGTCAGTTCGCATTCTTGTGCTATCTGCAGATTACCTGCATTCTGTTGGGTGCTGCGGGCATCATTCAGATTGCCGAGACCATGGATGGCAGGCTCTCCGTGAAGAACCTCGGCGAGTGGACCTTCTTCAACTCCTTCTTCAACTCCGTCATGACATTCGTGACAATCGACAAACCACCGTCAGACAATAACTTGTCCAAGGTATTTGTGGGCGTGCTCGTCTGCGTCTTCATCCTCGTCATCCCGTACCAGATCTCGAACGTGATGGACTTGAGCAACTCCGTGTCAGCATACGAGGAAGCTAGCTACAAGCCTTCGTCAAACAGCCGGCATGTCGTGCTTTGTGGCGATCTCACTGCTTCACGCATCTGTCACTTCTTCCATGAGATCTTCCACAACGACCACAATTTCGCTGGCATTCACACGGTTGTGCTAAGTGAGGACCCTCCAGCCACGTCGCTGAAAGCACTGCTGCTGGACCCGTTCTTCGCGAAGCGTGTGTGGTTTCTCCAGGGATCGCTGCTTGATATTGACGACGCAAAGCGTGCGGCTTGTGACTCTGCAGACGCCATTTTCATCTTGTCAAACCGCGTGGGTGACGAACAAGTTTCCGTCAGTGATCACCGCACTTTGATGCGGGTGCTTGCAGCCAAACGCCAGGCCCCGAACGTGCACATTTTTGCACAGCTTCATCGATCCGTTCACTGTCAGCTCGTGCGTGACATGGGCGTGCAGAACGTGCTATGCCTCTCGGAGGTCGTGATGTCTCTACTTGGTCAAAACTGTATTTGCCCTGGCTTTTCGACCTTCATGTACAGCCTCACGTCGACCTCGAGTTTTGACAGCGACAGCAAGGATGGTACGCGAAGTGATGACAAGCGTGCGAACCGTTCTATAGCCATCAACAACGGCGAAGGCTCTTGGATGGATAGGTACTTGCTCGGAGCGAGCCATGAGGTGTATGTGGTGGAACTGCCGCCGGCATCCGTGATTGCAGGCAAGACGTTTTCCGAATTGGCTTCTCTCGCTTACTCGTATTGCAAGGGGATCATTGTTTTTGCGGTTGCAGGAGACCACAAGGGCAAAGTGGTGCTGAATCCTGGCGACTCATACACGTGCGTGGGTGGCGAGACGGCGTACGTGATTGCTCAAACCCAAGCCGATGCCAGCGCGCTAACAGACCTGTCGCCGAACGTGTCGATGCCGCTGGCGTGGCGAGAAATGCAAGTTTCGTCTTCTTCGTCATTCGCACGTAGCAAAACTGGCGCTAGTGAGGACAATGATGCAGACGATTTTCCTAAACGGCACGAAGCGCGCTTTGTGCACTGGCATGCCAAGGACCGCGAACATCTCGAGCCTGAGGACGAGACTGAAGAAGAAGAAGAAGCAAAGGTCGAGAAGCCTTCTCTTGCCTCGAAGCGCGCTAAAGATGCTGCTGTCAATGACGTGAAAGAGCTTGGGCGGCTAGAAGTGGCGCCTATCGTGATATGTATGATCACGGCGTCAGCTTTTGTCAATGACCTGGAGCATCTCCTTGGGCCTCTTCGCACTCGTTCTTTGAAACAGTATCGTCCCATCGTCATCCTGACCGCAGAGCTCCCTGCTGACGATATCTACGATGGTTTCAGCCACTTCTCTGATGTCCATTTCGTCGTGGGCGATCCGTACCGTCACAACACCTTGTACCGAGCAGGCGTGTTGGATGCGCATCGCATTTTGATCTTGAGCACCTCCACGTCCACGTCTGACAACGGTTCTGAATTGCTTCAGGATGCGGTACGACCCTTGCAGCGTTATAGCCTCTGACTACTACTGCCCCGATACTGATCACTGTCGTCTTGTGTGTGTGTGTGTGTCTAGGAATCTATCGCGTTCCACAAGTTTATCACGAGTTTCATCGGCGTGAAGAAGGCACCGCGCGTTATCACAGAGGTGGGGAACCGTGCCAGTGTGCATTTCATCGCGCAGAACTTGTTGGCAAACGGCTGGTTTCCCGGTCCAGACGGTGCGAATGAGCTCACGGTTTTCTCCTCGTCGGAGACGTTCTCGCGCAATTTTTTCCTCTCACCGGCATTTACGTCTGGACTGACCTACAGCACGTCACTGTGCGACAGTCTGCTGATCAACCAGTTTTTCAACCGGCAGATCAAAAAGATCTTGGGGGAGTTCATGTTCACATCCCGAGCGAGCGATGTCTGGGCTGCTTTGCGTGGTGACGGGTCGAAGTCGGAGACCCAGCGCAGCTCTCTTTTCGCTGTGGAAGTGCCGCTCGACTTTGTTGGCCGCTCGTTTGAGTTTGTGTTTCACTATCTGCTGTCATCGGATGATATTCTGGTCATTGGACTCTATCGCTGCCACGCGTACATGAGCGCAGGCAGCGACAGGGAATCCAAGGCGCGAGTTGAAGTACCCGAAAAGGACCGCAGTGTGCCTTTCGGCTATGTGTACGTGAACCCACAGCCCTTTGAAGTGATCTCGGGCAACGATCTGCTATATGTTCTATCAGACAAGCAACCCTGCTGGGTCGACCGTTAAGGTGCGGAAGGGAATGTGGTCTAGAGCTCAAGGATTCCCGCAAGATGCATCGAAGGGATCTCGTTGTAAATGTTCTGTACACATTACAGGACATTTCCAGCGTGGACGTTTGCGACTAACACAGCGTTGGACTGAAGCTGTTGGACCATGTGAAAGTGCGATCGTGTCGACCACAAGAGACCACATACATGTAAAATCGATCGGATCGTGTTGAGTATGTCCTTCCAAGTGGCAGATCCACTCAAACGCGTCTGCTGTGAATGGTTCACTTGATGCGGTAACTTCTGCGTTGTGTCGCCCTGGTCGGCTTTTTCGGTTCTTGATTCGTGTATGGTGGAGTCAATGTCTTTGCTTGTTGGTCAAGGCCTTTCTAGGACGCAATGGTGTGCGCGCCTATCCTGTCTAGGTACAACCCACTGAGGTGCTGAATATTGGACCCGTTAACGAAGCAACCGAAGATGTTCATGATGACAAGCTGCATGTGAGTAATGGTACTTCCCCTATACATCGAGTGATCTCGCGTGCTGCAGAAGATCGAGTGCGAACGCTCGACAACTGTGGTCAGTATGCAATGCGTCACGACGTAGCAAAGCTCCTTCGTCTCTCCAGCGCTTCTTCGGCGCTATCAAGCAGCAGCTTCGACCAATTGATGACTCAATGTGTTGACGCGAATCACGCAGTGTCGGGGACTGTTCACGTTATCACGAAACAATTCGACTGTTGACGACCGCTCATACCAAGCGAAGCGGTGCTGGACCTCTTCGGTTGTCGGCGCTTCTTACATTGTGCCGCTGATGTACACGTCGCCCTGTCATTCATTGTCGACACAAAATCTCGCGTCGAACCCTCTCACTCGAAGATGACCCTCCATCGGTATGAGGATTCTTCGAAACTATCCCGTAGATCTTCTCATCGGCAAAGGCAGATCGACAACGTACTGGCCGCCTGTGCTGCAACGACAGCACTACCAACAGCGCTAGAGCGGGACGTTGGAAGTGGCTTCAGCAGCCAGCAAGTCTGCTGTGGGTGGTGCTCAATTGATGGACGACCGCTATTTATACCGCTCTGCACTGCAACGTCTCGTCGTTTGGCACCTCACGTTGTCTCATCTGTATGTGGATACATGTCGTCGAATGATGCAGACGCACTGCTGTGTGTAGCAGTCCGCTCTTTATTGACTATGTAGTCGTGAGGTAATACACGAATATGCGACGGCCTCTATCCTAGCGAAACCGCGCGCAGCAGTCGAGCACGTCTGCGCTTCCTGTTGGCTACTGCCGCTACTACTGCTGCTACTGACCACCACGTCCTTTCCTGTCTTTCTCACTCTTGTCCTCTTCAACTTTCTCACTGCTTGGACAACACCACCGTCTGTCGATGCTGCGTCGTAGGTCAAAGGCCTTTGTGGTTCATCAGACTTTGACACCACGTCATCAGCTCGAGCTCCGACTCGTAGGACATCCGTCGTCTAGACCATGGGCGGCTTGCATCTGTCCTTGTGCGAAGACTTCCACCCTTGTTTCTGGCAATCAATGCCACAGTATCGTACAGTCTTGCAGCGCGAGCACACGAGCGTGGACGGCTCCTTGCACACGCGACAGCGCAAAGACGCCTCGCACCTCTCACGCATCGCCTTCTCAAAGCTGTGAAACACAAAACAGCAGCGTTACTGCACCGAACCAACAGCTCAACAGAGAGACGGACACTCACACACCACACTACTCATCTCTACAAGACAAGAGAAGAGAGACGAGAAGGGAACAGAGGGAGGAGAAGAGGAAGAAGCACATACCCGAGTTTCTGCAGGTCTCGCCACGTCTCGAGCGGTTCAGCGCTAGACTGCGTATGGTACATGTCTTTGAAGCCCTTGAGCGTCAGCCCCTTGTTCTCGTCGCATTGGAAGTACGTCTGGATCTCCTTGATCTCGTCGTCCGAGAACGCCCGACCGTTGTTGCACTTCCGGCTAAAGTCCCGCAGCTTGTCGAGCGTCAGACTTCGGTCCGTCGGCTTCTCGAGGAACGAGATAAAGAGCTGCGTGAGCACCGCCTCAAAGTCGCGCGTCAGCGAGCCGTCTTTGCCAATGAGCATCGCGCGCGCGTCGTTCTCCGACATGTTCAAGTGCAAAAGCTGTTTGCTCTTGCGAGGGGCCATGGCAAAGGACAGAGAAAAGACGGAGGACGGACGGACGGACGGACGGACGATCGACGCAGAGCGCAGGCAGGACGCGTGGAAACAGGTTGCGGCAGTGTCGAACCAATCGCAAAGTGCTGCGAACGGGCGAGCGCCCACGTACGGTGCAAAGTACCTGCGAGACTTGATGCTGCACGGCCGGATTTCAGCCACTCACACCACGCGATCCAACCGCGCGAGCGTCCAACGGACGTGCGCAAAGTGCTGCTCGGTCGCTCGTGATTGGCTGAAACGAAATCTTAGGCCCAACGCGGAGAAAAGCCAGAAACTCGTGTGCGGAACACCACGTGCCGCGTGGCATCGTGCTTGCCGATCGTCGGGACGGCAAGTCCCACTGTACGTGTCGGTGTCGCGCAACGTAGGCGCAGAAATCGTTCGGTCATAACAAAGTGCCGTCGCGCGCAGAGCCACAGGGACTCGACGTGCAGGCAACAGATCAGTCAGTAAGTGTCAGTCGTCACGGCCACTGCGGGCGCGGCTCGACATATATCCGTCTGGTTGTGTGTATCTCTCTACCGGGTGTGGAGGTATCTTTCGTTCAAGTCCGACAAAACTGTTACTGCACTCGCTGCACTGCACTGCTCAGTCAGAGCCAATGGACGACGGCGGGTGCATCCTGCGGTTGGATACACGTAGACAGACCGTAGCTGCCGGGCGTGACTGCTGGCCTGTCTTTGCCACGTCCTCGACATTATCACCAATCAGTGCTGCTTTGGTGCCACGTTCGACCCGTTCGTGACCTCGTCGGCTTCTTTCGGCTCGATGAACAACGAACGACATGGCGATGTTGCTCGTGTCCCCTGTTGTGTACCACGCGCACGAGTCTGCCTGCACAATAGCTAGCGCCACCGACTCGACGGCCTCTCTCCCTCTCTTTCCCCCTCTCTCTCTCTCTCTCTCTCTCTCTCTCTCTCTCTCTCTCTCTCTCTCTCTCTCTCTCTCTCTCTCTCTCTCTCTCTCTCTCTCTCTCTCTCTCTCTCTCTCTCTCTCTCTCTCTCTCTCTCTCTCTCTCTCTCTCTTGTCTTCCACCACGCGCCCCTCGAAACGGCAACCGTCGCGGCTTTTCGCCCCAGCGCGCGCCCATCCCCCTCCTCGCGGACGAAAACGAGAGTAAAACCTCACCACTAGTCAGTCCGCGCGGGCGGGGGGTGGGGGGGTCTCATGCCCTCGCTTCGCATTGGCCAAAACTCTCAGCTCCCGCCGCCTTCCAATCACAGCGCGCACAAGCGGTGCGGCTTCTCCGGTCATCACCAGCAGCAGCAGCAGCTCCCGTGCGTCTCGTCCGGACGGCCGCGTCCACCCCCTTCTCCCCCCACCGCCGCCTCTCTCGCTGCACATACCCATCTGTGTCTATCCACCACCCGCGTTCGCCGTGCCACTCCTCGTGACGCGCTTTGATGGACGAGGACAAGCGGCTGCCGTACCCGCTTTCCACGCGCTCGACCAGTAGCGCGACTCTCTCGGGTCGCTCGCGGTATGCCGTTCCGTCAATCGGTAGCAGCAGTAGCAGTAGCGCTGGGAGCCGCTTTCCGTCCACCGAGCGCTCGCGACAGCTGAACCTCAGCCAAGTGTCGACGCTCAGCGCCGTCTCCACGTGCTTTGACGAGCTGAGTCGCGTGTCGCGCTACTCGTCCGCGTCATCGACTTCCTCGACGTACTCGGCCACGTCGTCAGCTGCTTCTTCCAGTGGCAGTGGCGGCGATCGTTGGGCCCCGCAGCACACGTCCAACTCGTGCACTTTGTGCCGCGAGAAGTTCTCGTTGCTCCGTCGGTCGCATCGCTGTCGACGCTGCGGCTACTTGTTCTGCGCCAAGTGTTCGCGGTTCAAGGCAGCGTTGACGGGCCACACGCACAAATCGAGGCTATGTGAGACGTGCTTTCCCAAGGTCTTGTCCGGCAGCAAGCCGCCGATGAATGCATTTGTGCACTCGAAAGCATGGGTGCCCCGTGGTGTGTTTACGCACATGCTGAGTTATTTAAACCACGTGGATCTGTGCTTGGCGTCCATGACGTGTCGCTTCTGGTACAAGAGAGCGCTGCTGGACATTACGTGGCGTCCGTTGTACATTAAGGGGTTTGGAGATGACGAGAGCAGTCCACAGCGCAAGTCGTTGGTGGCTTTCCAGCGCGAAGTGCACGGCATAGGGTTTGAGAACTTGTCGTGGTACAACAAGTTTGCGATCCGCTGGACCGCGCGCAAAGCTGCGGAGAAGAAAAAGAGCTTTTTGGTCATGTCTAGTTTGCTGGCATCGCTGAAGCTCAGCAAGTACGCCCCGCTGTTTGAGGCCGAGGAGATTGACATTGAGTCGCTGTGTCTGATGAATGCCGGCCACCTGCGTGATCTCGGCATTCCTTTCGGTCCTCGCATGAAACTGCTGAATGCTGCAGCGTGTTTGGCGGACTTTAACGAAGATGACGACGAGGATGACGACGACGAGCGACCGTCCATGGAGTCCCAGCCAATCACGCCGGTTGCTCGATTCAAGCAGAAGCGTGCCGAGATGAAGCATTTTCGAGCTGGCCTGGTTCGCCGCGTGCAGCAGTCAGCGGTGCGGGTTGCTATCCTGACCAACGAAGGAGAGCTTTGCAATGTGGGCTCTGGCATCATCATTCACGAGGACGGACTCATTGCTACAGCCCGACATTGCCTTCAGGGAGAGCAGTTTGACTGCATTTATAGCGACGAGTATATGATCTTGGTGGCGCCTACGGAATCGACGTCGCTGCCGCCGTTATGGAAGTATCACGCCCGCGTGATTCCCGAGTGCTGTAACGAAGAGCTTGACTACGCGCTCTTGCGCTTGGATTGCGAGGTCATTTCAGATCCGCCGAGCGGGCTGTACATTGGTGACGTGACGGATCGCACGATTGCGCGCAACTGGACAGTAACGAAACTAGAAGGCACGTCTCGAGAGACGATCGGAAAAGTACCGGCTGTGCGCATTGGCAACTCGAACAACGTCGAGCCAGGAGACGAAATGTGGATGTTTGGCTACCCGAGCAGCGGCCACAACACCATCACCGTGCATCATGCAATCTGCTCTGGAACAGACTCGCAAGTGTACGAGGGTGAAGAAGTGGACAAAGCGATGCTCCGCACGGCCGCACAGCTGGACAATGGATTTAGCGGTGGAGCTGCTGTGGACAGGAAGGGTCTGCTTGTAGGTCTGATTTCCTTCAGTGTATTACGTCAAGACCGCGTGCGTGCGATCAACATGGTCAAAGGAGCCATTGAGTATGCCAAGCGCGAGTATAATTTCTCATGACGCGTGCGTCGTCCCGTTGAGCGAAGAGCTGGTTCCGACTGAGCTGTAGCAACTCTCTCTTCTCATGCGCGTAGTCGACAGCAAATGTCTGTCTGTGTATGTATGTAAGTCGTGTCGTACATACAGTACTATTATTCAACGTGGTGGCGGTCTATTTGTTTGTTTAGTAAGTCGAGAAGAGATAGGGCCGAAGCTTGAGTAAGGCGCGCGGTAGCAGTCGCCGACGTCACTAAAGCGCGGGAGCTCCCGCGACCTGAGGCCACACCATTTTGTCCAAACAAAAGTGTCGACGTCGGCCCTGAGCGCGTCCGTGTGAGTGCGTGTGCAATCAGCTGAAGGCGCTGTACGTTGCGCTTGGCATCGAAACGAACAGCACATGGAGCTCAGTATGGACGAGAAGAAGGCGGAGGCCGTGATGGTGACGCTGTACCCGGCGGACTACGAGACTGTGGAGATGGTGACGGACCAGGGCAAAGAGATCATTCAGCAGTAAGTGGCGTTGTCAAACTTGCCTTACAATGCGTTTCTCCACATTTCATGACTCTGACGTACCGTAATGAATGGCTGGATGGCACGTCTAGGGAGTTCACAGACGCGCAGCTGTTTGTGCACTCGATCCAAGAGCTGGAACGCTTGCGAACGCAGAAAAAGACAACAAAGAATGCGGAGGACAGTGCAGCTGAACAGGTTCATACAGTGAAGACAGAGGACAGTGCGGAAGCGATGGAAACGACTCCTTCCGAGACTGCTGAAGGGACGGAAAAAGATGCTGCTGCTGACGAGGAGAAGGAGGAGGAGGAGGTGATTGATCCGAGGATTCACTACCGTCCGATGGTGGTGGAGCTCCAAGCGGCAGTTGCCGAGCTGCATCAGCTGATCAATTCGATCGACCTGATCCGTCGTCACGAATTTCTCGAGGAGATGCGTTGTATCCGAGAAAACACGGCGCCAAAAAGAGAGGAACTAGAGCATCTGGTGGAGGCAAAACGTGCTCAGGTGAAAGAAAGTGGCACGATATTGCTCGACGGAGTAGAGGCAATGGCCAAGACAGTCGAAAAAGAGAGTGTTTTTTTTCAGGGTGTTACGCAGATGCTGCGCAAATGGAAGATCTGCGCACCTATTCATGGCAACATACCGAAACCATTTCGTGCGGGCGAACCGCTTGCGGTAGACTGCAGCTACGGCAGCGGTGAGAGCATTTGTATTGGGAAGATGGAAGTCACTTGAATGTGGTGGAGCTGACTGCGTGTTGACGTGGGCTTGTTATCAGCGGGGTCGTTTTTCGTGCCACAGACTAGATCCATCGCCGATCTCGCTTATGCCGAGGTACGTTACGATAACGGCAAGCGGAGACTATATTCTGCTAATGCTTGGGCTCGTCCGGTGCTATAAATGCTAGCTAAGTCGCACGGAGAAGGGACTCGTACGTGTCAAGACACCTGAAGAGTTCTTAGCCCGTACACTCCAGGTCGGTGACTCACTGAATCGTCGTATCCAGCCATGCATAATGTGTCTTTTGCGGTAACAGTTGGACTCGTTGTGCTTGTTAGCTCACGCTCGAAGCAAAAGATACCGAAAGAAAAGGGAGCTACATTCTACCATCGCCCTCCCTCGTTCACATGTGCGTGAGAAGTACGAATCAGATACTCGTTTTGAATGTACATTGACGCATGCGGATGCGATTGTGATGTTTGTAGGACTAAAGCAGACATGGACAAGCTGGAAGATGTGCCCGAAGACCAAAAACTTTTGGACGAGCGCAATGCTTCAGTTTTGAAGGCTGTGCAATTCTCCGTATTCTGCGAAGAGCTGTTTTATACACTCATGAGGGAAGCACTCGAGAACACATCGAAGTGGACAGATACGGCGTACAATATTAGCAACTATGTTGTCAAGAAGCACAGAAGGGAAGGAAAGGCTGCCGCCAACACGCACATTTCGGTTCTGCAAGTGCTAGATGACGAGATCGTCCTCCGCGTGAATGAACGATACCACCTGACGATTAAACTTGTAGATGTGAAGAGTTTGGCTCAGAGTACTAACACGGCAACAGAGAGAGAGGAGACAAATGAAGCGTCACGAGCGATTGACGAAGAACAGGAGAAGGAGAGCGGGCTTGTGATGGATGCACGAATGAGCGAAGTCAAAACTGAAGATACCGCATTGATGAGTAGCAGTCCCGCGAAACGACGACGTGCTGCATCTTTTTCGTACTCGGCTTCTGCCGACAGCGTTGAAGTTTTCTTGACGCAGACATGTCGATATACTCTCCTTCTCCTGCAGCAAGAAATCCGAACTCGTCACGGCCGAAAAGAAATATCGCGAGCTTTGTTGTACAGAAGCTCAGACGTTTCGACAGTGTCCGGAGGCGGACTAAACTCCGGCAGCACTGGTGCAGGCAATGCTGGCGGTATGGGCGCCGCAAGCGAGATGGTCAAGCACGAAAACACCCCTGGAACGCTGGCAACAGTCTTGGCTATTTTGGCCCATAACCTGCTGAAGAGTGAAGTGACGCAATACTTGGACAAGGTGTCGTCGGTTCTTGCTTTCCAGAAACTGCAAACGTCAGCTTCGGGTCGCGTCTTGGATGATGGTTTGCTCCAGCCGATCTGTGATTCAGTGCGTGGTGTCTACGTGAGTCCACGTTGGAAAACGTGTGCGTTCGACTCGACACTATCAGCGTTCGACTTGAACATCGGTAAAAACTTTTCTACAGAGGTGCTCATATCTGGTGCCCGAATCCTCGTTCAGACCGGAATCGCGTCTCAACGTGAGGTGTCAGGTGTCGAAGGGCTGCGCGAGTTTGTCGAGGCAACCGTGTGCTCTCAGGTGGCGCTAGCACTTCACCGTGATGCGGTGTCGTTCGGACTCAAACAGAGCTCAATGAATTTGGACTGCACGAGCGTCCGCCTCGTGGTCACGGGCGAGTGGGACGGCAGCTGTATTGGCGAGGGTCGTGTGTCAGATTCGCGTTCGGTGGGCTCAATCTTTTTGGAGCCATACTTTGCCGACGATGGCATCATCGTCATTGACTGCTTGCTACAAGCTGTTGATGCGAGTAAACTGATGCCTGTGCAAGCTGCACTTTGTCGCACTGCACACGGGGAGATAGTACACAAGGTGGAGTGGAAGCGGATACCTGGCAAGAGTGACGCGATAAAGATGCTCTGGCTCATGCAAAAGACTGGCGTGCTGTCCGACAAATTCAATGCGTCCATAAAGTCGGAGATAATGCCGCTATCTAACGGCAGCTAACGTCAAGTGCCATCCGTCTTCATTCTCCGGGGAGTTTACCGGCGTAGAAACTCGACAAGTGGAGCAACTTGGACGCGTCTAGAGCCCAGCACTAACGCAATAGCAGCATTCTTTTTGGTGTACATGTGGACCCCGCATCTGCTGCAGAAGTCTTGACGAATTGACGTAGCAGCTTGTGGTAGTCGGGCTGAAGCAGGGTGCACATCCAGAAGGCTCGTTCATTGACTTTGCCTGTTTTCACTAGGGTGTGTCTGTTTGTGCTTGTAGTGCGAGATATGTCGATGTCGAAGACGTTGTCAGCAGCTTGGGATGGTCAGAAGGGCACCTGCGGAAGCGACCGCGGATCTTTGCTAAGCCAACGGCCAGACAGACCGCACAAACGCACGCGATTTGGCTCAGAATGTAAGCGCCCATGTGGACCAGAAGCACTTTGTCGACTGTGAGACTAATGCACCTGTGAAGATGATGCTGTAGAGAAGGCCCAGTAGCGCGAGAGCGGTGCGCCTGAAAGACGTTGTGCGATGCGCAAACGAAAGGGCTGTGTTGAGGCAACGAGATATGCTAAGAAGCAAGTTACAGCCGACACGGGGCGCAGCTAGAAGAGCAGATAGTGCAGCGAGGAAGCATCGAAGACTGCTCGAAACGATGATGAACGGTCGAGCTGAGTGGAACGCACCGGTACTTCGAACGCGTCGCACGCGTAGGAGACATGTCTCTACGAGACAGTTGGCTCAGTGCGATGGCCCCTTTCGCAACTGGATGCAGAGGTTGGCATCCTACCGGGGCAGTACGACTAAGCTGCATCGAAAGCAGAATAATGTACGATGGCTGCATGAAGCTGAATGTGCAGCGAAGCAGCAAAAGCTGCCGTGGCTCAACGGGCACATTTGTTGACGTAAGTGACAAGTTTGGGAGCCGCCTGGAGACTGCATCTGCGATGAAAGTGGTTTGCTGTTCACGACGAAGTAAAGTGCAGAGAAGCAGAACAACCCGATGCAATCTGTGCGTATGGGCAAAAGCGTTCGAGACGGAGTTGACACTATGGCAATGGCTATCTCAACCAGTGATGAAAGCGATTCTTCGACACCACTTTGGGATACTTCGGCTGGAACTTTCGCTGCGTACGAGCAGCTGATGCAACAAGGTGAGAAACACCTGTGCGCAGCTGGCCGGCTGAACAAGACTACCAGACATCGATGCACTTTGATGATGGGAAAAGGACAAGCGTGTGCCGCAGTCTTCTCCAGAATGGGGCATGGTTTGATGGCAGCTGGTCAAGTGAGACACGACTGTGAGGGTATGACACGCTCTTGGCGAGCATGCCAAGTTAGTCACGCCAGTGTGCCTGCCTCGAAGTTGTCGGAAGACGAGTGCGTGCAAGCGAGTACTTTGGCTCGCTTTGGACGTGAATGGCATCGTCTTCGTGCTCGATAGATAGAGCCCCAGACGGCGCGGAACCGCGTTCTTATCACTTGCTCGGCGTCAAGGAGTTTTGGCGCTCAAGTGTGTACTCTCGTGTGCCACGTGCAAAGGCTGCTGCGGTACCGAAGGACACGCATGGTCAGCGGGCCGGAAAGTGTCCAACCTTGACCATGCAACCTGCAAATGATTGTTCGGGGCTGACTGGCTGCGGTATCGTCGAGAAGAGGCTGCGTGTGGCAAGTAGACCAGCTTCGGACGAGCTACGACAGTTTTGGCGACACGTCAATTCCAGATCATTCCAGTTACAGCCGAACGTCCCTACGCTCTGGTCCGATGGTAAGCTGTGGGTTCTTCGACGACAACCTCACGGCAAAGGCTGAAGCTGTCAAAGCCAATCGACACCCCATCGCCTGCGCATCACTTCCGACGAGGCGCGCATCACTGCCGTGGTCCGCAGCTGTGATCAAAGCACCCAGTGCGTATCCGCAAAACGTGTGCACAGCTTAGCTGTGTGTCGCCCGTGGGGCCGGGTCAGTTCCCGACAGACGCTTATAGATTGCGTCCAGCTGGTCCGCCACGAGTCCGTAGCCGCCGTTGTCCTGCAGCGCACAGTGCACTTGCTCGTTCAGGCCACCAGGCGTAGCAGCTTCATGGGCCATTTCGCCAAAGCTCTCGGACGACTCAGCTCCTGCCGTTGCTAGTGAGTGGAAGAAGGACGAGATGAAGTCACGCGACGCCTGACCGCCTGTGGAAAACAAACGTAGCAAATGGTGGGTCAGCAACAGCCATCCTGGAACCATACCAGTATCAAGAAAGGAGAGACAAAATGGACAGACAGATAGACCGACAGCTCAGCCGAGGACGTACCCACGCCATTGTTGACACACCACTGCTGTGTAGTGTCGCACGTGGCGTAGAAGAACGAAATGAGTGCTGTAATGCCCGTAAGCTTTGTGATCTCCGCCTCTTCGGCCACCATCACAGGGGTGCCAATCTGCGCAAACAGGTCACGAGCAAACGCGTTGTCCGGGTACGCCAGAATCGGACCAGTCCGCTTGGCAGCAACAGGCAGCGGGACGGACCGCACGACGCTCTCCGTGGGCAGCTTCACCAGCTGCAGCAGCTCGTCGTAGGGGATTGTAGCCATCATGGACACGACTTTTTTGCCGGCGAACGCTAAATTGGGCAGCTCTTGACGCGCTATATTGGGCAACAACCCAATAAAAACGACGTCGCTCTGGTCCACGATCTCCTGATTCGATGCGCTGATGCTCACGCGGTCCGGGAACGCGGCCCTGAGCGCCTCTGCTTTGGCCTTCGTGCGCGCCGAGACGTACACGTGCTGCGGCTGCCAGCCATGGGCACTGCAGAAGCCGGTGAACACGGCCGAGCCGATTTTGCCCGTGCCTAGTAGACCCAGCGTCGTGTCAGGGGAAGGGGCCATGGCGGTGCTCTACGTGCGGGTGGTGGGTTCACTTGCTGATATATGTTGGTGGGACGCAGGATAGAGCGGACACGTAGACGGTATAGACTGCATAGCGTCCGTCTGCCTGCGTTTTCGCTCGTAGTGCACAGCTTACGCGGAGGACACAACCCCTTTTTAGTGTCCTTCACGTCAAATCGAGACACTGGGAAAATGATTTGCAGTCAGATCTCCGAGGGATCGACTCTTGGGAAAAACCTCATTCAATATTTAGAACGACCTACATGCTTGCTGGATGATTACTCTCGGTGTCTTCGTTTGTTTGTTCCGCGGCATGTGCCACTCGGTACGCCCTGCATGCACTATAACTATGACGTCTCGGTTCCCCTTCACACGGCTCTGTTTCGCTGCAAGCCGTCCAAACTGCACCCAAGTGGTCAGCGCCTTAGCTGTGGTAGCGCCATGCCGTCGATAGAGCGGTTCAGAATCTCCAGTACCGTCTCAAAGCTAGGTCGCTGCTCGGGGGCGCTTGCCCAGCACAAAGTCATGAGCTGCTTGAATAAAGGCGGGCATTGCTCGGGCACCGTCGGCCGCAGGTTGTTGTTGAGCACACCGAGCGCCGCCTGGATCTGAGTGAGGCCTTCGTACGGACACTGCCGCGTGACGGTTTCCCAGACCACGACACCGTACGAAAACACATCAGCCTTCTCCGTGTACTTCTCGGCAGCAAGCACCTCTGGTGCCATCCACTGTGTTGTCCCACAATTCCCGGTCATCGTCTGAAAGCGAGCACGCACACGCGCTAGACCGAAGTCCGAGATCTTGAGTGCGTAAGACGAATCGATCAACAAGTTCGGACTCTTCAAATCGCGATGTAAAATTGGCGGCTGGAACGAATGCAGGTAGTTCATACCTAGCGCCGTATCACGCGCGAACCTGCAATGCAAGACACAGGAATCAGAAGAGATTCGAATAGCTTGTCGACTACTACATGCAAAACAACCATAGCTGCTCTCTCACCCATACTGTTTCCCCACGTCAATGACGACGTCTTGGCGAATGACATTCCAGAGCGAACCACGAGGCAAGTACTCAATCACAAGGCAGCGCGTGGGTGGTTCCAGACATGCACCCATCAACAAGCAGATGTTGGGGTGCCTAACGTGATAGGCGGCACAAGTTCAGTCGTGAGTCACCCTATTCAGTCACGCTAGCTGGTCAACGAAGACGGAAAGCACAACAATACCTCAATATGCTCATGATCTGCACTTCGGCTTCAAACTCCTCAAGTATGTCAGTCGTCATGTACTGGCAGACCAGAATCTTCACGGCCACTACAGTCCCTCGCCATTTCGCACGATGCACCGTGCCAAACGCACCCTGACCAATCATCTCGTCAACTTGCAGCTCCTCAAAATCTAGGTGCAAACTATCACTTTTGGCTTTCGACAGTTTAGGCCTCTTTCTTCGCGTAAGAATTCCCTTTGCACCTTCTGCCATTCCACCTCCCGCACCATTCACTCGGTCAAGTTCTACGACACCTTGTGCCAGCGCCCCGCCATTTATAGCACCCTGTTGTTCCTTCGTTTCCTCCACCGCAAACTCTGCTGTAAACTCGGCATCAACCTCGTCAACCAGAGGGGTCGCAGAGGTTTTTACATACATCGGCGAGTGCAAAAACAGCGGGATACGTGCCTTTCGTGCGACCTCGAGCTGCATTTGGGCTGGCGGAGCAACGTCCCGCACGAACTGCCGCTCGACGTTCGTTTTCAGTGTTTTAGCATCAGCAAGCGCTTCCGCCACGTCGGGTGATTCCAACAGGTCCCCACCGCTATATTTCTCTCCGATCTGCATCGGCTTCGTGCCGCCGTCCAATCTGTCTGCGACACCAAGCAAACGGTCGTTCGGCCGATGGTTCTCCAGGTCGTAAAACCCTTCGTCCTCAACTTCAAACGACACACTCTCTAGTGGAACATGCGCTGCGTCCTCATGTCCAGGCGGCGACAAATAGCCCATCTCTTCGTCATAGTCATCCAACACGATTCGATGCTGGTTTTGTCCAAAGTCCTCCTGTAGTCCCTGCGCTGTGCACTGGTCATAATTCGCTCCTTCGTAAATCGTCGTGGGCAATTGGTCCATGATGGCCTCTCCAACGTCCACGGCAGCACCTGTGATCTCACTGTTGGACTGAGCCGAGGACGCCGTCGTCCCGCTATGCGCTCGCCTTCGCATAGGCTGATTCTTGGGTAAGTACTGGACACCACATGTAGCTATGGCATCGTCACCAGTCGTTGTGTCCGCAAAAGACGTCGTCTCTCTGCTCGGCTTGATCCCCGCGTACCCACGATGAGGTTGCGGCGGCAATGGCTGCGTCTTTTTCACTTGCTGGACCACTTGTCGCCCTTGACCTGGTCCTCGTTTCTGCTGCTGGCACTGCCCTCTACCAGCAGGTGACGCCGGGTGCAAAAAGGGTCTCGTGTCGGTGTCAGTCTCGCCGTCCACTGGACTGCTCTTGTGGTCCGACAGCTCTTCATCACTCCACGGCTGCTCACGGATGAACTTGAGGTACATGGCGATCGCTAGTATCAAGAAACACAGTGACCCGGACAGCACAGGGTCCATCTCTAACATCGATTCGTGCAGTCGCGGACCTTCTCACGGCTGGTAGCAGAGCAGCTGATCGACGCCACGCGATGCGCACGTTGCACAGCTCTTCCACTGAGATCGCGAGAGCGCTGCAGTCGCCAGTGTCCCCAGTAGTGCCCCGCTGGAGTTCACCGGAGCGGCCTGTCGTCCGCTAGAAGTTGACGAGTTCTCCCCCTACGTACTTTATGTGGCACACACCAACTACGACCGAGTGGACACAACGTACATGGCTACACTTGTGGCCGGCTACAGACCAGCTGCCTCGATGTCTGGCAACTCGAGCGACAGGATGTGGTGCAGAGCGGCCTCAAACGTTGCGAGGTAGTACCCAGATTCGCTTCGTCGCTTTTCAAAGTCACACAGGCGGTTCAACAGCACTTGCGTAAGGATTGGCGCTTCCAGACCACTGTGGACGATCACGTAAATAAAAATGGGCAAGAAGTCGTCGCCGCTTAGCACGTCCTCCTCCTGTGAATTGGTAGACGCCCCGCTCTCCACTGCATTCCCTTCTTCTTCTTGTTCGCCGTCTCCTTCTTCGTCCTCTTCTTTTTCATCGCCTCCGCTCGATTGCTTCTCGTCGGGTATCTCAGCTTCGTCCCTGATGGTCAAGCCCCGACATGATCGATTGGAACTGCTATTCGAGGGCGATAGCATGCGATTCATCGGTAAGGGCGACGACTGAGACGGCCACAAAACGCCAGCTGTAGGCGTCGAGTTTCGCCGACGGTGGCGTGGAGTCGTGCATATGTTGTGCATCGTGTGCTCCGTTTTGTAAAGCACGTGGATCTGGTGGGCCGTGTGGACTAATTTACGCATTTTGTCCAGCGGCAGAAAGGCTCGATCGACCTCCTTCACGACGTCCACCACGGACCGCCAACTGCTCAGTGAAATTTTGTCCACGGGAATGCCAAAGTAGCTCTGCGGCTTGCCTTTTAGCAAGAGCACACGCTGACGGAATTGTTGCTCCTCATGTCGCACATGTCGGCGTAGATACTGCGTCAAATCGTACATGAGCGGTACGCAAATGCGATCCTCCAGCTCGTGCCGGATGGCGTCGGACACAAGTTGGTGCAGCTTGTCCTGGTTGCTTACGGTGTCGGTTGTCATCAGGCTCACAAAGGAGCTGTGCCGACCAAGCGCCGGGCTGCCAGCATTGCCCGACAGAATTTGCTTCATCAAACGCTGGACAATTAGTTTCATCTCCTCGAACCGGTGCTCAAGCATGTACTCCTGCACGCCGTCCAAGATGTCCCCGATTTCGTCCAGCACATTCTTCCCCGAGCTGAAACCACTCTGCTTCATCTTCGTAAGAAACTTCTGACAAGCTTTTCCTTCAGGAGACGTCAAATCGTTCACAGTGTGGTATACGAAAACGCGAAGCTCGCGAGAAATGGGCTGGGTTCGATTGCGCTCGAGAATACCTACGTGCGGCACTTCCAAAAACTGCTGCAGTTGCTTGAGAGCCACACCGTGAAGAAAAGTCAGTGGTGATGGGGCAACAAGCGCGGCTGTCGTACGCAAAAAGTTTTCCAGTACGGGCGCACGATCGTACGCGAGCTGATTCTGCGAGTTGCGGCCGTGGGCACGGCGAGTTGGGAACACACATTCATTCACCTGCCCGGACAAACGGCTCAGCTGAAAAAGAGGGCAGTCAGTACAATGTCCATACAGAGAGACAATTGGAGCGGGATGACGTTACTTCTAGTGAAGCACGTACTTTGCGGTGAAGCTTGTAAAGTTCACGAAAGCGCTTGCGCGTGAACCAGACGACGCCACTTTCCACGTCTACAACACGGACAATGTACTCCTGGAACAGCCCACCCACATCGAAAATAACATGAGTGAGCGTGCACGTGCACGTGTAGAGAGTGCGCGGAAGTGAGTACGCACCATGTGACCGCTATGTCGGGCAACTTCGCTCTCTTCGCGAGAGATTCGAATGCACAGAGCATGACGAATTCCTGAAACAATGTACAAAGGGTCAGATCTTGCCGTTCACATCTAGCTGCGACGTTCATTTACCTTTTGCCTTGAGAATGAGCAGGTGCCACTCGTGATCTGACATCATGCTGTTCATTTTCATCGTCATGTCCATCAACTAGCACCTCATAAAGCGCAATACGTGAGTTTGGCAGCAGTGTATCCCGTAACGCATTCTTGATACGCACCATTTTGGTGGGCTGAATCCTGGACAAAATCATGGACCGCAGGCAGTCAAGCTCGTGACTCGAGATTACGCCGCTGCGGTAAATCTCACTTGCTTTCGACAGCAGACCGAACACAAGATGAGGCTCGCGATGACGGATACGTGCTTCGGCTTCAAACAAATTCAGCTTGCTCTTCTTGATCACATCAATGTGCGCCGTATCAAAGATACTAGGACGCTTGTTTCGCAGCTCCGCCGGGAGAAACTTCTGGTTCATAGCATCCGCCACAATCTTTTGGTTGGCACGAATGGTCGCATCGTCAAACACACGAGTGATCACCCCGTCCGTCGATGCGCTGTCGTCATCAAACTCTTTTCCATACAGCGTACCATCGTCTTCTGCCAACGTGCTACTCGATCGATCTGACCGACTGTCGTTCACCACGTCAGACGCCTCCACATCATCTTCCTTGTGCTCGAGCTCGCCTTCTTCTTCCTTTTCGCTTTCCCCGCACTCCTCATCTTCCTCTTCAGCAATCCCTTCCTCGGACGGCGCATCCTTCGCTACCTCATCGTCGTCTGGCAACTACACTCAACAAACAAACCATGTCAAGATGCCACGATATCTTCACCAAGTACCAACTGGGCAGACGCACCCGTAGAAAATCGTCCGGCAGTGGGTGCTTCACAGGCCACCGAGTGCTCTCGCACGCTACTTTTGCACCGTCAGACTTGGCTGCTCGCACCGCCGCGTGTTCCGCTTGCTCCATGTTCAGCACCGCTGCAATAGTGTCCTCCATGATGAACCGATTGGCCTCCAGCACCACCTGCAGCGTCTCCGACTCCCACTTTGGAAAAATAGTGTGCAAAATCTCAACCCCACGGGCCAATGCTGCTGGATCTGGCGTCGGCGGGGGCACGCGGCGGCTCGGACTGGACCACGGCGGGCCGTGGGCGCTCCCGTGGGCGCTCTTCTTCTTGGAGAAAATGGCTTCCAGCAGGCTCTTCTTGCCGTCATCGCTGGCTCGTTTTAGCTGCTTCGACAGGCCGCCCCGTTCCCGTAGACGGTGAGAGTGCGATGGCGTGCGACTGCCCATGGAGCCGCCAGTGCGAGGAGGAGTGATCGCCCCCCGCCTGCCTGCCGAAGACGTCGGCTGGAAGTGAGACATTCGAATGGGACAATACCGGTATTCGCACGCAGCATCCATCGACGCGCCGGCGCGACGGCTAAGTATGCGCTTGTACAGGTTTGCCGCCGACTGCCCCCAAAAACGAGCGAGTGACCATCACTCTTTGTTTTGCGCAATGTTCCTGACGTGGATCTCCAAGTGCGATCTGGTGCCGACGTCTGCCGACTCGTATGTGCTCAAGGTGGGTACGCACGCGTGCCTAACGTACGCATGTGGGGTATCTCTGTACCCTCACTGCAGTTGACCCTCGCTAACTGTTGTCGATGCGTCGTGTACTGTCGTGTCGGTTCTGTAGAAATTCTCGGAAAAGTGTCAGCGCGGAATGTGCTCAATGGTCGTGACGTCTCTCACAGAGGAGAACGTGGACACGCTGACGGTGCTATCTAGTGGCCACCACATTCGGTGGGCCATGGAGGTCCTGGGTCACTCGTTCGCGCTGCCGATGGAAGATTCGGACGTCATTGCCGGCTCTCTGGACATCTACCAGCGCTGGCTCGGCGTGGACGAAGAGGCAAAAAACGGGAAAGACCAGCGGCCGGTGTGCATGCAGAAGGTGGAGCAGACCTTTATCCAGGACGTGCTGGGTCAGATGACACTGCTGTTTGAAGAGCGCTCGAGCAACGGCATTCCGAGCGGGGCGGCAGAAAGCAACATGGCTACGCACGTAGATTTGTGCACGAGGTAGGTTCATTTCTTGTTCTCTGTGCCATGATGATGCCTAGCTGACGTTTTAGTTGCTACGGATAGAGTGTTGGCGACTTTTGGTGCTCTCGTGAAGCACCGAGGAGCACAGCTGTCCACATCGACGTGGGATCGACTCATCCGCCTGGTTCTCGGTGCATCAGATGGGCTCTTGCATAACTTACGCAACCAGTTGGGCAATCATTTGTGTGGCCAGCTTGTGCGGCTTTTGTTTGAAGTGTACCTGCGGTCACTGCCGCAATGTGGACCGCGAGGGGAACTATGGGGCTTACTGCAAAAGTTCTGTCGACGCTGGATCCATCGGACGCTTGTGATTGAGCAATGGAATGCGGTCACGCTTGGACTCACGCGGGGCTTGATGCGGCAGATTCACGATCAAAACGCCACAAAAGAGATTGAAATCAATTGGGCAGACAACCGACAGCCTTTCAGGTTCGAGCTCGAGAGCTCCATGCTTGCCTACGCGTGGTATCGCATTCTCCGTGTGATCGGTCACCCTTCTGCGATTTTTGACCCGGATGTGTACCTTGCTGCCGTGAAAGGAGTGAGTCGGCTTTCTGACGAATTTGCCAACATTGAAAAGGTGCCACGCGTACAGTGGGCGCATGTGCTGGGCGCACTGAACCAAGCGCCGAATCGCGACAGCCCGATGTTCAAAGGAGTGCAGAATGCCGGCGCTGATTCAGCTAAAAACATGGCCACAGCAGCCACTTCGAAAAGTATTGAGCTACCGCGAGCTCCGCCTGACGTTAACACGATCCTGCGGCTACTCGGTCCCTGGCTTTTCGATGCCTGCTTGACTCGCAAGCCACGCTTTGCCGCTGGTCGTAGCGAAGCCCTCCGCTGTCTTGGAAAGCTCCTGTGCCGCTACTCCAGTGGCCGCTCCAAGCGTGTCAATTGGGCGTTCAGCGTTCGCAGTTTAATGGCTTTACAAAACGCGCTGCTCGACGACGACGAACGGATTGCAGCTTCTGCGGTGTACAACTGGTCAAAGGTATTTAGTTTGTATGGAAATCATACGCTGCGTGGCGCCGGCGTTGTTGCAGGCCCATTTCACCAGGCTATTGAGCGCGTGTTCCGGTACGGAAAAGTAGCGCATCGTCACTTATTTGCATGCTGCTAAGGATGTCGATGTGTATGTGCAGCCTTGCTGAACGCAAGGACATGTCATCTTCTTCGTCTACGAAACCTGACGGCCGGCGGTGCGGGGACTCGTTCTTTGCCCAGGACGATCAGCATGTCGGAGGAATTCCGATTGTGCTGCTCCGGCGAGCGTGCATCGAAGCCTGTAGCTCCCTTCTTACCATCCATACCCATGTTCCAGTGCGTTTTAGCTGCGACGTGTTACATGTGTGCCCGAGGATGTCCAGTCCGACTAACATCCTCTGCTGTTTCGCGACTTTATTGCAGACCGCGATGATCAAGGATGCTGAGCAAGAGATCGTAGCACCCTCGATAGCCAACATTCCAGGGCTGTACTCAAGCCTACCGAAATACACCAGCTCGAACGTTGTTGCCCTACTGATGACTGCAATTAAGACGGAGATGGACCCGACGAACCAACAGATGATGATGTGGATTTTGACGGTGGCCATTCAGCAGGAGGCTGCTCTTTGGGCAAGCGGCTTGGCATCGAGTCGCAACTCTCAGGTACCTTTTACAATTTTGCTGGTCAGCTCTGTCATCAGCAAGTCGCAAAAGCACCAGCCACCGGTGCTGTTCACTGCGTTTGACTGTCTACGCCATTTGTCACTGGTATGCGAGGAAGTGTTCTTTCACCACACGAACTCGGTTGTCCACCTGGTGAATACGTGCTGTGATTTTATCAGCAACAATGCGCCGGTTCTGCGCTCTAGAACAGCGCCATTCTATCTGGACAGTCTCATGGCAGCAGCATATCATTGCATCATCGAATGGATTGTAGCAGCGCCTCTATTGCTGAACAAGCAACAAGTCATCGCGAAGATCATCACGACCATCGTTGACGGTAACGAGCGGTTCCAGTCGTTGTGTTCCGATACCACAAACATGGCGGCGCGCGAGGCTGCCCGGAAATTGGTGAACATGCTGATGAAGCATCATTGTTCGCACACCAGTATTGTCGGTTCCATCGAGACGCACTACTCGGGTTTGACGGAAAAGGTGAGGCGTTATTCTAAGCCAAGTTGTAGCAGTCTATGTTTTTCGTTCTCACGCTTTTTTCCTTCAGTCCGTGCTTGCTGAGTTCTGTGACCTGAATGACGAGACCGACATATATCGTCATTGCCGTTTCTTCTCCGTGAACAAAAATTCTATCTTGACGGTGATCGAGAAGCCTGCGAATGCGGTAGAATCTGGAGAAGCAATTCTGATTATGCGAGACTCTACCGGCCGTTATGTTTGGCGGTCTAAACCCCGGTACCGCGATGGCCCGCGCCTCAAGAGCGTAGCTGAGTTCGACGACTTTACTGAAGACGTCGATGCGCAAGCTCTCAGTAGCAACGTCGATTGCGATTCTGACGCCAACACTCACGAGAATAGCGACGACGGCGATACTGAAACTGACGAGGAAGTGCATGTGGATGACCCTCTGCTCGTCGCGATCCGCGATACTCATGCAAAGACTCCCATGACAAGCTGGCGTTCCTCCCCTGATGGCGGGGCAGAGATGGGCTCGGCTTTGATGGAAATCTCACCGGGCGAAGGCAACACGGGGATGAGCTCAATCGAACGGAAAGCTACAGCTGGTCGTGATGATGCCCGGAGTACTCAGGATGCAGTGTTCATGAGTTTGCTTGTGGCACAGAGCCAGGAGGACAAGCGTGCTTCTCAGCCAAAGGGCTCTGCGCGTGGCGTGAGGTGTTGCAAACCAACACCACCTGAGAAGGATGCTGCACTGCAGACGTGGGAAGTATCAAGGCGGATGATGAGTGAACTAGGTTTTCTGTCGGTGGGCAACTGGGGTTCTGTATTCGCGATGGATGCGACCGTGGCTACTGATTTTCTCCGTGACCTGGAAACGCTGGACAAACTCCCGGAGCGCGAAACACTTGACATTTCGGTTGCCTATACATTCGCTGGAACTTCCCGGGGTGGTTATGACCAGATCCATCTAGCTACCTCGACTGACGTACGCGCTGGCTACGTCGTACTGTCAAAGGACTACCAGCTCTTTCTCTCGTCTCTCGGAGAGCAAGTTGATGGCCGCTGCCGCAAAGGATACTGCGGCTACGATGCTGATTCTACGAAAGGCCGAATACTTCACTACGCGCACTACAGCCACGAGGCATACATCTATGTGCCGACCCTACTTGTAGAAGGAGAGGAAAGCGGCAGTGACAGTGACAGCGAAAGTGACGCAGAAGACACCGAAGGGGCGAACGCGAGAAGGGTATTTCAACATGCCAATGTGCTCATCGTTTGGAATGAGTGCCAGCAGACGTATCGTCCGGGGAGCGTGTTGTGGGACGCGGTATTCAAGCTGCCGGTGCCTACGTCAGGAGTGGTGTTGATTATCGACCCACTGGGCAACGACCTGTACTGCGTGCACGTCAGCCACGAATCGTCACCGCTGTTCAACCAACGCGACGTCATTGCAAACCAAGAGGACAGTTATGTGGACGAAGCCGACGTATATACGAGCCGTGTACTTGGTCCGTTGCTGGATGGCATGGTGGTCAATGGCGCTTGGTTAGCCCCACTGGTGCGTCAGACGGCCATCAACGCTTCTATCCTTTCACGCTCTTTCCATCGTTACCAGTACGACATTGGTGCTGTTTCGTCTTCTCCTGTAGGCGCCGAAGCCAATCGTAGCAACGTGATTTTCTCATTCGTGAAGAAGTACATGCGCCCGAAGCTTCCTGGTGAATTCTACGGCGACTTGTTTGCGGATCTTACCAGCCAAAGCTAATGCACCAGGTTTTTTTCTTGCAACGGTGTTGACGCTGTCTCGTTTTTCCGGGTGAAGTTGGCTCGTTCTCTCGTGTGTTGCTGCTACTAGGCAAAAAGATCGAAAATGGACGTGAGGGTCAACGGGCGATCTTGAGCAGCCTGGTCGACCGGTAAACGATCAGCAAAGCGCTGGTACGTGTGACGCCGCCATCACAAGTTCGCTAGGGCGTTCGACCTCTTTCTTCATAAACGGCGGACGAAAGAGTCGACATCCAGCTAGAGTACCGGGAAATACTAAACAGGCACGTAAGACCTCGGCGTTTTGAACGAAGAGGCAGGTGCACGTTTGCGATAGCTCGACTTTTGACAAGGACGCAAAAGCGCTTCATTGTCCACTCTTTCGACGAATGCCTTCGTTTGTTGCGTGACTATAACACTGCTGCGCGCCAACGCTGTAGCAACCAGATTTGCGTTGGGCTACTCGCTTCCTCACGCAGCTTTGATTATGACCTGGATCCGACAGGCCTGAAGTCTTGCACGAAACAAATTGTACGGGAAACGTGACAGCGGCTGAACGAAAGACAGTTTCTACTTCGAGATGGGCTTGCACCAGCGATGGCAACCACTCAAGCAAGACGGCAACTCCAACTTCCCCAATTCACCACTGATCGCTCATTCAACAGCTTGCGATCGATAGATTGTCTGAGCTCCCCGACGATATCACGTAGAGCCCAATATCTCCATCTTGATCACTGCGTATCTATACAATGGATTCCGCGAAACCGTAATAAATCCATTCCTCGCTCATTCGGTCGCGGACCACTCCAAATCTTCGATTCCTTGCATGACCGGTAAGCTTTTCGAGGACAAAGTTTCAGCTGAGTCGTATCTTTGGTCATCCCATACAGTATCCATCTCTTCTTTCTCGATCCTTTCCATACGATAGCCTCGTTACTTTCTATTGAGGCCTTCGGCTGTGATCGAGATCATTGTCCTATCACTATCTCATGCAAACTTCTTGCATATTGTACCAATCCTAACAACCTGACTCTTTTGGACACAAGTGCCTTCCTCGTGTGTCTTCACTACTTCGACACAATCCTTGCTTGCCCAATCACAATCAAAGTCTTCTGGTAAGACGCCACAATTTCTATCGGCCTCGACAACATACGATGTCTCGCGATGTCCTTTTAAAATTTACTGGAAATTGTCATTGTACTCTACAGTATCGAGTCTTGAGCCCTGACCATACACCTACAATCTCATCCACATAAGATTGATCGATGTCCAGCTTGCCTTCTCAAGTGTCTTCCGGCAGCACAACTTCATCAAATCAGCGCTCTGCATCTTCACCCACCAGAACATGATTGACAATTCATTAAATCTCACTCGTTTTCATTTGGAAGTATGAGTATGTGGAAACAGTCGATATAGCGCACATGCGACCTTCTAACGAAAGTGTGCTTCTCCACACATCATAACTTCTCGAAGAGTACATGTATCATACGCGCCTGATTGAAGGCATATACGCCTGTACAAATACAGCTATATTTTCCGACCGCTGTCTATCTTATGTGACTCCTGATCGACATTGATGCAGGCCGTCCCGCTCATGGACCGTGGTATGACGGTGATCATTCAATTTAACTCTTGGACGCTCGTAGCTAAGTTCAAATTGGCACGGCCGTCTCCGAGGATTCGGATCGCGTCGTGTGGTGCTTTCTAGTGGCAATATTGCATCGAGCGTCAGGCGTGGATCCCGGTCTTGAACCGAGTAGAAAGGTAAATCGCCTCAAACGCGATCTTGCGCCGATATTGATTAGAACGTCAGACATTCAGCGTTTTTGTATCAAACCTTACTATCGATACCTGTGATGTACGTCTCATATGCTCGCGTCATAGATAGCAACTTACTCCCAGCCGGCCGATTTATTCGGGATGTCTAGGACCTAGTTGCCCGTTGCATCTATAGATCCGAGTCAATGTCCGGAAACATATACATACATGGTGGCTGTAAATCGTGACGTATCGCTTCATTCGCACTGAATCTTGAAGAGACATCCTTATGCATCCTTTCAGTATTCTGAGCGTTTTGGACAAACAACCTTTGCGATGAAGTGACCTATGAAGAGGATCTGTCGACATCGTCGGCTCGATATGTTTTATGACCGAAATAACAACGGAAGTCCAACCATAGCAATGATCTGAAATGAGTAGGTAGCCTATACATCGATATGACATCACCTCGGTTCGCGAGATAGATTTACCACATGCACATATATACTTTATACTCAACATTCGATTGTACCATCCGGACTATTCCCCCAGCACAACTTATATCTGATCAGTCGATGATTACTACCACCCCGACCCGATGCGCCTGGACTAGTGCGGTAATGGCGTAAGGTATGTTGTTTAGTACTCTCCGCACCACCAGACCAGGTAGTTTATATGCGACTTCCATATTCCACCGCCAATCTGGTGCAGATGATAACAACGCACTCTCGTCCACTTCGCAATCAGACGCGACCACAGCACTTTTCTCTACCATTCAAATTGGACACATCTCGAATCGAACATGCTTCCAAAACAACGATTTAGGTTTCTTTTTCCTGTCATATCTCGACGCCCGATTCATCATTGCTTTGCGGTCCTTATATGCTAAGCTTCAGAATGACATAGTCTTCTCAAGGCTAATCAGATGATAGCTGCACAGTATCCACTCAATCGACACGTCTTGAGGTCAACCATCTACCCAACCAGATCAAAAAGAGATCAAATCCGCGAGGTCTTGATGATGAACCGCTAGTGACTTTTCTCATTGCAGAGCCGCACCCGATAGAAAACCGGAACTTTGATGTAAGTCTTATCTTCTTGGCCAGTTCTATAATTCGGAATGTTTTGCTAATCGCACTACTGTTGAGTAACGACATACATCTCTATACCGCGCAATTTTGGACGGTGTAGCATACTATGACACGTGGGTAGAAGCTAACAATTATTTCTTTACCATCTTGTGATTACTTACATGGAGCTAGAGTTTGAGGCTCGTAAATGCCATTGGATAAGATACTTTGCAGAAAAGATTTTGATACAGCCCGATTAATTGGATCTATCACAATCACTCGGGGTCCTTACGGATCGAAGTGCTTATGGATCGGGATTTTATTGTTCATAACGCTTAACATGGTGAACGAATTGTTAGTTTTCTGGGAGGACTATGCGTACCATGTTGTATCTGTATTCATTCAAGGGCGTGATCATAATGGTTTATAGTCTCATACCATTAATCGCTATTGTGTGTAATAGAGGGGAGGGTGATCGTGATCGTTTCATTTTTAGACCAAGTCTCAATTGTTTCCATCTCTAATCGGGGTCGCGAAAATATGGTAAAAGTTAAGTGTTAAGCCTTCAATCTGACACTGACTTACTACTTATGCCCAGACGAATGGTTGAAGGAGAACGTAATCCATTAACAAGGGCAACGTTTCTGTGTCGCCTCGTGTTCCTTCGATAGGGCGGGTAGAAACTTTTGCTGATCGACTTGACACCCTGTTAGATTGCTCGCTGGACATCAATGATATTTACCATACCTTGATCAAACACCCTCAACGGGCGGTCACGTGATTGCAGTACGATTCGCATTGCACCATTTATTACATCTATGGTTCACATATTATTCATAGCCACAAAACCCAAGCTTCAACACAAGAGCTGTGATCGAGTACATGCATTATGACAGACGACGGCACATAGTAAAGTGCTGGTTAAAAGTAATTGCCTTGCCATCACCTGGACCCAAAGGTCATTCGTCTTTCCTTTTATTCTCTCTTCTCCCTTTCCTTCAGGATAAACACTTTTAGCACCATTCCATTAATCGGATCCGATAAGCACCACCTATTAGTAACGAATTCATCCGTTCCATTTCCCCATACTTGCCTTGGTCACTTTGTGAAAAATTCTAGTAGCTTAATGAATGGACTGATATAAAAAATGTGCGCGGCTGATATTATGGAAGACCGTTTCGATAAGCTCATATAGCACAAAAGCATAAATTGCGAAGTCATCAATAGAACGAATCTGATGATGTAATCTACCGGATTATATTGCGTGGGTCATGTTTTCCGATAAAATCAGATCTCCACGTGCGATCAAAGATCTTTCGGGTGGGCGCTGAATCTCGCAAGTAAGACCTAATGACCTAGATAAATCTTTAAAAGGCATCACCAAGTTATTTTGGCCAGGCGATCGATGCGTTTTAGCCATAACACACATCCATGATTCACTCTGCTTCCCCATATAGATAATTCCATGACGTAGCATTAAATATTATCATCAATATGTATCGTACTTATAATCATACGAGGAAGCTTGATATATGTAATTTAGAAAAAGTAGTACATTTGATTTCGCAAACTTGCTGTACAGCCAACACTTACCAATCACTGTCGTTAATGACCATTGTTGTTGGGTTGAACTAAATTGTTCCGGACGTAGACCGCCTCGTGCTTCATAGTCACCAGCATAGATTTGTGCAGTAGTATACAATTTTTACGACTGAGTATCAAACGTGACTTTAACAATCGTCGAATCCATTCATACGGCTTCTTATCGGCGTCTATATCACCTAAGTACACACATCAATTACGTTTGGCGGTTTAGCGAAATTCCTATTTGGATCTGAACTTATCTCAAGAAACGCAAACAAAGCATTATTGAAAACGCGGGTAAGTCTGATAATTGTTACTTGACCCGAAATACACCCGTACCATCTGAAATAGATAACGTGGTAAACGCTTCTAGCTTTCACGCTCGATCGCTCCATCATTTTCACAGTCCATATCTTCTTGCCATATATAATGAGCAATAACACGCCGATTTGTATAGATCTCGCAACAACCCTTTAGATCAGAAGCATAACATAGACCATTAATCTGGATATCCGAATCATCCATTTATAACCGAGAGATATCAGTGTATCCACACCGTTCATCTTTGTTAAATATCGTGATCGGAAAT